CACCAGCCCAGCTGCCATGCCTAAGGACCAATCCCAGTCCTGCTTACTGTTGGTATTTTGTTTAAGCTATTTGGGGATTATAAAAGCCAAACAAAGCACATGCAACAAGTTATAAATTCAAAGGAGATCTTTTTAAGTGCCCAACAGCAGCTAACTGTAGTTGTGGTTATTATGCAGAGACAGACATAAAACTATAAAGCGAATCAACATGTTTTATCGCAGTCATTCGACAGCATGCCAAGTCCATGCAGCTTAGCTATTACCTTTCTACAGCTTGCAGAGATTTACCATAGTTTCAGCTTAATCTGGAATTTTATTAGGTATTTATTTTAATCTCACTTTGATAACGGCACTCCAAACAGTGATAAAACAAAGGAAGATCATATTTAGACACAGCAATGATGAATAATGTTAGAAACACCTAAAGCAGAAACAGAATCCAGCTATCTGTTCTATTTTGCTGTACTCAGTGGAAACCATCGAGAGAGCCTTTATGAAGCATTCTATGAGTGATAAAGGCATAGCTCCTACTGGCGGCAGAGATGAGTGCTTAATTGGATGTTCCCTGTCCTTGTTGCTTATCCATATGAACATTTCTCACCCATCACTGGTTTGAAAGCTAGCAGAGGCTACGAGGCCACCTTTTCTGAGCCCATGACTGAGTACCAGGCACTAATCTGGCTATGCAAACTCCTCTATACATTTTGCCCAGGTGCAGTGCTTGTTCCAGCAAGACAAACCTCCTGCATCGTGAGCTCTTACTCTCTTATTTATATGAAGAGAATCTGGGATTCTTTTCTGAGACCAAACAACCTCAGTGCTCCCTGGATCACCATGGTGGGGCTGATGCTAGGAACACACCACTTTTCTCTCTGATCATCTTTTAGGTTCAAACAGGAGTTATTTAATCTGTTCTTCTCCGTGACCATGCATGCTGCTGGTTCAAAAAGCAGATTTTTCTACAGCCTTGTAACAAGGAGATAAGAGACCGGCAGCAGATAAAACTACTGAATAGCAATTGTCTGCTTCACCGACTGCAAGAGCATGAAGGGCAGCAGCTCCATTGAAACAAGGGATGAGCACGGGATGCAGGCAGGAGCTGGCCCTGCAGCTGCTCTCAGGGGTGGTGGTGCTACAGGGAGAGCCATGCAGGAGGCTCCCAGCAGAGCAGCCATGCTGGCTGCTGAGGATCAGCTTATCCTCTTCTCCACCACGTCTTGATCTCTGCAGGTTACACCATAACAGACTGCCAGGACTACAGCCTCAAGCATAAGTTACCAATGACAGCAGCACCCCCAAGAAGGAGGACCTGGAGCTGCAGCCTCCCACTCTTTGGCACAAAAATTGGAGAGGATTTTTGCTGGACAAACAATCCCTGCTGTATGAAAATATGAAATTTATTTCAAAAGTATGAAATAAAGTTTTTCCTAAAACCAAGCCATAAATCTGTGGGCACACTGCAATAGAATGAAAGCTCTCATCAATATTTATACTTAGCTCCTCAAAGAACACAGGAGCTCATTTACTAAATATCTTTGAGAAAACAAGCCTTCAGCCAGACACAGGCCAAAGGAAGCATTTTAGCCAGGCAGGATGCTTCAGGAATCATCTTAATAAGGAAAAAGCTCCACGGGAGAGCACCGTTTCTCAAAGCTGCCCACTATTGCTTCACACATGATGCACCAAGTGCAGGACCCCAGGCTCTGGGAAAGGATGCACCAGCAGGGGATCTGTCTGCAGATCCATTCCAGCTCCTGTTGGCTTTGGTGAGGCTTGGAGCCATCCCACAGAAATGTCAGGTATCATTAATATATCAAACACAAGATCAGCATACACCAGCCCTTGGATCTAGCTAAACAGAGCTAATGGAAGCCACTCCATGAGGCCCCATGGTGCATAACCAGCAGCCATCCCCATGGCCTGCACACAGGCTGGCAGGTGGGTCACATCCTGCATCAACAGGTAGAAACCTGGCTCTTCATCACAACTAGATCATGAGACCAAATGCCCTCCAGGTGGGAGCTGCAGTTTTCATCAAGTCTGTTTCCAGCACAGCAGCACATGGCATCTCCTGTATCCTGCTGCAATAATTGAAACGTAAATCCTCACTCTCCCAATCTGCAGGAAATTGATACAGGCAAAAGGCAGGTGATGATTCATTCACTTGCTATCTCAGAGCCCAACGCTCTTTCCCTGAGAGCAGCACAGGAATGCACCTTGCCACCCACCTAAACATTTGATAAAAGTTAAATACAACTACCTGTGATTGATGCCTCTCCTCACATATGCACTCCAGCCACAATCTGGATAATGTGTAGCGTTATTAAAGCATCAATTATCTTCAGCACAAGTGGAGCTACGTTAACAGGGCTGCAGTCTGTTCATTTTGATAAGGTTTTCTCCGTTCATTTATCAACAAAATGGGGACACCAGCAGGGCAGGGCTCCTGCAGGGTTTAACTCTGCTGGGATGGAGTTAACAATCGCATCCTCTGTAAGTGTGTCTGTCAACAACAACACCCTGATTGAGAGGGTTTATTTCTCAGGAATTTGGCACGGCAGCCTGTGAAGAGCCAGTGTTCATCTCTGACAGACACTCCAGCTGTAAGAACGGGGTGAGCTCACTGGGTTGCAGTGTGGTGCCAGTGCCTGACCAATAGCTCCAGATCCCTAGGCAGAAGGGTCAGAGACACCAGGCTGAGCAGCTGGTGTTCCCAAACAGCTCAGGTTCTGCTCCTCTCCTGTGCATACAGGATGGTGGCTGAGAAACCACGGGGAAGCAAGGCAGTTACCTCTGAAGCCATGCACTGACCACATCCCCGTTCACCAGCTCTGAAGAGAAGGTTCTCTCTGCTGTTTCTCTCTTCTGGCTCTAATAGTTGTGGTTCTCTCTCCTTTCCAAGCCTGGGGACAAGGCTACAAAACTACAGAAAAGCAGTTCCTTTTAGTTACAGACCTAAAAGTTCCTTCATAAACTACACCCAAGTAGACAATTGGCTTATTAATAGCAGAAAATCCCCAAGTCCAGTTAATGAATATTGACTGTGATAGTGCTGGAGAAGGCTGGTGTCAGTCAAACTGATGTCTGGTAGTCCTCCTTTGTCTGAACAGGGCTGTAAATTAAACAATAGCTCATTTGTTTTTCAAAACTAGGCAGCAGAAAGATGGTCCCAGCTGCACTGCAGTGCTAGGAGACTAATGCTAATAGCAGCTGGTCATCAAGGCTAAGCACTCCCTACTGGTTGGCTTTCTGAGTACTTGTGAGCCTGTGGGTCTGGCCCTCTTGAAGCTAAAGCAGGGTTTGTCAGCTCACTGTCCAGCCCCTGTACACTGAGAGGAGCAGCAGCCACTGACCCTCAGCCCACCCAGAGCTCCACGGAGCAGAGGAGGACTCCCATTTGGCTAAGAAGACGGGCAGGGATTCCTGTTGGACACTTCCAAATACCCACCAGGGATGTCCAAATGTGTGGTGTGAAATGCTATTTTTACAGGCAAATCTAATTTCTTAGGAGGCCACAGGCAGCCTGTAGCCAAGCCTTCTTATGTCCCCCTGTGCTGGAAGAGGACAGGTGAGCACTGACTGCCCGAGTAGATAGCCCTGTATTCAGAGCAAGCCTGCACCAATCTCCAGCTGCATTTGCACTTCTCCATCTGTTTACAGTCGCTTCCCTCTATCCCCCAATGAATATCTCAAAAGAAAAATCCAAGCTGATTAACACAAACACCATGGTCACCTGAACCTTAAACCCACATGATAAATCTCATCATGCTCCTGATGAGCAGTGTCACCTTTTACCTTTGGGCTAGGATGACTTTAAACAGCTTTTAAATGAATGAAAGCTCAGAGAAATAAACCAAAGGCAGTCCACTGCAAACTGGAGACCTTATCACTGTCCCCTGGTGGGGGAATGAGGCAGTAACAGAGCAGGGAGGCAGCTACGTCAGTGTTTTCATAAAACCACACTTTCTGCTCACTGAAATAACAACAGAAACAAAACACAACAGCTCTGTCTCCCTCCCTGCATCTGATAACAATCAAATAATAACAGGAGTGACTTCTGCGCTCTGTGCCTGGTACTTCAGCCTGGACTTCCAGTTAATACACGCTATGATTAAAGCATCTATAATCTGCAGTCCGTGGAGACCTGTAGAGCACAGCAGCAGCGGGTGTGCAGCCTGATAAGGGTTGTTCGCTCTGTGCAGATGAAACTTTCAATATTTATAACTGCTGATTTTTTTTATCCTGATACCTCCTATTGAGGGGAAGAGGGTGAAAGTTTAAAGATAAAAGCTTGTTGAAAGACCAGGTGGAATGTTTTCCTAAGGACAAGCAGAGGCTTACAGCTCTCTTCTCCAAGGAGGTTTAAGGACATTGCTTGGGGATGTGCAGCATCAGAGACTGCGGATGAAGTCTTTGGACTTGTGTAAAAGCCATCCAGGGTTTAAGCTGTCAACTCCACTGAGAAAGAGCTTAACCCTCCTTCCAGATACAAGAACCAAAGAAAACTCCCACATTTTCCATATCATGAGACTGTGACTGCCCGCTGCCCAAACAGTTTAATATTTATGTATTAAAAAAGAATCCCAACACTCCCATAGTGTCAGTACTATGGAAGATATGAATGACATTGTCCATCAGTAATTTCAGCAAAACAGAAAGATGCAGAGAAAGGCATTCAACGTACACACATTTCTATGGTACACCATTTCATTTAAATGATGATACACATATATATGCATGTCCTTTAAATGTAGTTACATGATCTGCATTTCTGCAGAGTAAGAGCACTTAGATATTTAATAAACACAGAAACACAGCACAGATATAAGGAGACACATTTTAAAGCTGAAACAGGTTGGGTGAACCTGAGCTGAGATATCTCAAGCTGTAAGTTATCATCTCAGCTAATCTGTCTTCCTACCACACTAAATGGGAAAGCAGGCTGGCCAGGGAGGAGAATGCCGTGCTTTTTCACAAGAACTTTTTCAGGTTCTTTAAAAAAAAAAAAAAAAGGGGGGGGAAGAAAAAAAAGTCCTGAAAACATCTCATCAGAGTTAAAAAGTACCAGAGGAAAAGGAAAAGAGGCAGAGCTCTTGTTTGTCTTGTTTAGAAAGCATGAAGACAACTGGATGAAGAAAACATAACACAGTGTGCCTGACAGCTACGGATTTTCCTGATTTAAACAGATTTGTCTGCCAGAAATGAGCTTTCTTGGCCTAGCTCCCTCCACAAAACATGATTTCAAAGCAGAGTTGAAGCCTAATGAGATAACAATAAGTCGGTGAAAATAATTAGAAAAATGGTCCTGAGTGAGTTCATCTGCATTCTTAACAAGGAGTTTACCTCAAACCAAGGCAGAGCACTTAACACCTTGGAAAACACTATCAGAAGGAATTTCTGCATGACTTCCGGAACGTATGAAAAATCCAAATTAACAAAGCCATTCTAATATCAGTGGGGTAGTTAAAACTTAATTAGCACCTGCATACATACTGGCCACAGCTTCTGCAGTGTCTGCAGGTTGTGAGCAAAACTACATTAAGCTGCTTATCATTCTGAAGCAAAAAATCAAGGATTAAACTACTTTCCACTGCACATCAGTTGGCCGCCCTACACAGTCACCATGATTATGCTCATTTCCAAAGCTCGTGACTGTTTTGAACTAAGAAACATTACAGCATGAGATGAACGTACATGAAGGAACATCAGCAACACATCATACATGGAATTACTGAGCATCATCTGAGAGATACTTTTTGACAAACCTTTCCGTGTATCAACATGGGCATGTTAAGACCACTGTATAGAAGCTAAATCATCTCCCTGAAGTGAGTTTAAAAGTAAATATATTAAAAAATGTATAATTAGAATATGATGTTTACAGTTACCTACTGAGGTCACTCACTAAAAAATGGTTGCTGGCTCTTGTATGAAATGAACACATCTGAGACACAGAAGCAAGACCACCCTTCCCCTCAGACCCTCTGAGTGGCAGCAAGGCACCGTCAGTGCAGTCGCTGATCTCAGCCAGCACCTGAGAAAAGGGCTGGGATCCCAACAGTGAACAAGTCCAGAAAACATTACTCTGAGGGGAAACCCCTCCAAAACACCAGGAAGCAATAAGCAAGCATGGGACATGAGGAACAACGAAAGAAAGTCCATACATAGATACTGGAAAAGGTCACTGAAGAAGGCCACTCCTTTCGAAGGCAGTCCAGCTTTCACCACTTAGATATTTCAAAGGCAGAATTGTCCAGCAAAACACATGAGTTTTGTGCAGGTCCTTAAGATCCGTGTGCTGTGCAGATGTGTTTTTAAGAGATCTCATCAATCTAAAGCAAAGTGTTCTGCAAAGATATCATTTTTCTTCCCAAACAAACCTCGTACTTGCTCAAATTCCAGCGGCACATTAGCAGATGTTTTCTTTATTTCTTTGTCAAAAAGCTACAAAAAGAGAAAATGTTGACAAAATTCAGTACAAGCCCTTTACCGTGGCTGATACCAATGCTCACTCTAACATAAAAGATGCAACAATAAACTTTTTAAATACAAGCCAGTCCTGCCACTACTACTGCCAAATGCTCCGCCATTGAACTGACATCTTCCCCTTTTCCCTGGCTGTAGGTAAGCAAAAGTCTGCCTAGCTCCTTCCTCAGCAAGGCTGATGACCAGGACATGCCTACTGCATTCAGGAAGCAGTCTCCCTTCCTCGTTAGAATCATTCACAAAAGCACAGCAACGCTACCTCAGAAGCTGAGAGCTCCAAGAGCCCCGATATGTCATCCTCTATTTCAGACAGCGACTGGTTGAGGATAGCAGCTGCCTGGGCCACATCTGGGTGATAATGGTTTTGTAGAGACTGCAAGATAAAGAAGAAAAGGTCTAATGAGCACAAGGTAACACACATCCATCTGGCTTCCCACACAGGGAACAATCAATCTAACAAACCCTTTGGTCATGAATATTAATTCTGGCAAAAGAGGCAAGTCTGCTGTACCAGGTTACTACACAGCTTCAAGAAATACAGATTTTAGCCATGCTTGAAACATATTAAAGCACCCTTTCACCAGGTTCACATTCAGCCCAAGACAGATGGATTCCTCCACTGGCCACAGCTACTACAGTGCACACCTCGATCCTGTTACCTCCCAGAGCCCTGATGCTACATCTGAGCTCCTGCTCTCCAGCAACACCCACCTTGCACAAAATCCTTGTAGCACTTACATGGAATGTGATAATCCTGCCACTAAGGTTTTAGAGTAACCAAGTAGTAATTTAACTAATTTCAGCCTTCATACAGCATCCTACAAATGTTCCAGGTTAAAAGTGAACAGTGCAATCTTCTCCAGCATTTTAAAAGTCATTTCTACAGGTTGACCTATCTGTACTCGGTTTCCACAGTACTCATCATGCTCTTCTCTCCCCTCCAAAGCAAATAAAATGCCTCATACGTTTGCCACTATTTACTCTGTTTCAGCTGTTGACAGCCCACTTTCCAGCTGCATGGTCAGACGTGTACTCACAAGACTCCTACTAATTAGCAGGCACTAGTTGTCATGTGTGTAAAATCCTTTGCCTCTTACACTAAGGATGGAAAAGGATGCAAAGTAAAAAAGTAGCCATAAATTCATCTCATTTACAAGACATGTGTCAGCAGGTTCATGGAAGTGATGCTGCTGACTGCCACGCTGTGTCAGGAAAGCAGCAAGGGGGGAAAAGGCTGTACCATATACACATGTTCCTTGTAAGATGACATACCTGGATCTCCCAGAGAGAGCTCTCCAAAGCCCTGCTCTCAGATGGCTCCTCCTGCTCCATGATATACGGATCTTCTGACAAATCTAAGGAAAGAGATACAGAGCTAATACCTCCTGTGATGTCCATAACGCCAAAGGGAACACAGGGAACCAGCTGGGGCCGGGATCTCTCCAGGGATCCTGCTCTTCACGATGCCTAAAGGTGTATTACAGAAGTCCCCCCTTTCCCTCTTACCTTGAGGCCCATTTGGTCTGTGCATCAGCACTTTGCAGGCCGGGTGCCTCCGAAAGAGATTACAGATGAAGGGAATGACCATGAGCAGAGCCTCGGGAGGAGCAGTGAGGGCCAGCCGGGACAGGCGCTTTATGAATGCTGCCACCAGGTATGCTGGCAAGTGACTGTAGGGAAAGAAGAAGAAACCAGCAAGTCAGAGTTCCAGCAAGTGAACCAACACACTCATCAACCCAGACAGCATGTCAGGTTAAGGACCAGTGGGATTCTTCAGCTTTTTGGACTGTGAAGTGAAATGGAACTATACAGCAAAGAATCATGATTTCAAGCAGTTACAAAGGGTCTTGTGTGCTGTCTGGAACAAATCTGGGGGCATTTCCATTCAGTGCATGAATAATCTCAGATCAGTTTGTGATTCAACCCAGACACATGGCACTACTCCAACACTTGCTGCAGCCAAGCACAGCTCTTGTACACGGTCATTCACACTGCTGTCTTTATTCAGTCATTTTATAAACTTCTGAGTGCTTGGCCAGGCAACCTTAATTATATTTTTCTAATGTAGTTCTGTGGGTTTAATTAATACATGTGCCATGGTGTTAAATTTACATAATACTTCCAGGACTAGAGCAAGCAGTGCAGCTGGTAATGGGAACATAAAGCTGCTGGAACGTAAATGTGCAGAATAGTTCTCTTTTATGGTAGAAATGCAAATTTTTAACAGCAATCAGCTCATGTAGGCACGTTCTTCAGGTCAGCAGAGCTGGGATGAAAGATGACAATTTTCAGCCACTCAGCCTCCAGCCTTAGGACTCACTACACCTGCAAGGCTCAGCAAAGCCACCCCAAGGTACAACCATCTGCCACGTCTTGTTACTTTCTCCGGAGAACACTATGAATACAAGGGGGATGATATTAAATATCATGTGCTGAGCATTATTCTTGGTTTATTTTACAACATATGATGGCAACTATATGACCAGCTGCATATCTAGTTTCTTCCCTGGGCATGATGACAGCATCGAGACAGAGTGTCAAATGCTTTATATTTCAATATTACACGTCTGCAAAAAGGTCATCAATTTCTCAACAGATTTATGATACTGCATCTATAAAAAGCCTGCAAATGTTCCTTTTCCATATTCATAAAGACAGAGAGAAAAATCATCACTTTCAGCCAAACTGGAATACAGATCAAAATACATCCATAATGATTTGCCGATCAAACTCAGATAATGAACTGCATTTTTACTCTCTGAAACTAGACAGATGTGTGGTGCATCTTCAAAAACATCACATGAAGAATTACACAGCACTGCAGTAACACTCTTGGATTCAGATTTCTCAATAAGAAAACAAATTTAATTCAGCAGCCACTCTGAATACATTAAATCCAGACATGGGAGACTGTTCAAGAACGGATTCTGGCCAACAGGAAAGTAGGAGCAAAAGGCATGTGTGCATATAATAGAGGTTCTACTTACGATGAAGACAAAAACAGATCAGCCAAATGGAAGAAGCGGGCTCGGTACTTCACGTGATATATAGAAGGGTCCAGAAGGCTGTACAGCTTTTTGTAAAAGTCAGGGTATTCCCTATTGAAAAGGCAGAAAGGAAGAAGACAACATCCTTTGCTGATAAGTGACGTACAGCAGGACCACGCTGTGTCTATAAATGCCTCTGTGTGTTCCTCATAAACCACCCCAGGCTACTGCTGTGCTGTGGGTGACTGTTGAGCTTTCTTGGGTTTGTCTTCACAGCCACCACTTGAAATCAAGCTGTAAGGTGAACTTCTGGCTGGTGCAGTGCCCAGCTGTTCTGGAGATGTGAAAACACATCCACTGACTGCAAGTGGCACAGGATCCAAAGACTACAGTTCTGCTACACTCTCAGATCAATGGAAATTGATTTCCAAGAGCTGAGCAACCATAGTCTGGAGAAGAGGGTATTTAGGCTCAGCTGACAAAAAAGCCAAGCTGTCAGAACAGCTCAGCATCCAAACAGCTCAGCTTCTTGGGCAGAGCTTGGCTTCCTCACAGCCAAAGCCTGAAGATGTGGAGAATTCTTTTCAGTTCTGTTTACATGAAGATGTAAATGCAGACACCCATATCCCTTTAAACAATGTGCTCCTTTTACTTACAGATTATGCTGATGAATCAGAATAAATAATCCATTTAAGGCTAGAAGACTAATTGCTCCACCTGTAAGAAAGCAGGCATCTATCAGTACAATAGATAGATAGATAAAATGATCAGCTATGACCTGTTTCATTATTAAACCTTCCTGGAAGTAGCATAAAACCAACAGTGTCTGTAAGTAGAGGCAGGGTGATGGCTGTAAGGTGACAGAAGCTCAGCCAAAACCTTCCTGAGGATCACAGGTTACTTGCATAGATTAAGCTGTACTTTAGAAGAACAGGCAGACACAAACATTCTGCTTTAATTTCCCAGGAAAGCTACAGTGGCAAGGAAAAGACCTCAGAAAGGCCATTTCTGAAGGAAACCACACATCTTGTTTCTGGATACAGCACAGGAATCAGCAGTGATGCCGGAACTGTGTCAAAAAGAAATCATTCCAGTATTCAACTCTTTCCAAATTCAAAAATATAGTCTTCCTAACATATAACAACCAACAAACATTAACAGATACAGGTAAATGCATCTCACTTTTGGGGACAACAAAACTCACCCCAGTCCCTTAGCTTCATCCCACTTAAAGCTGCGGTGTTGCATCCAGCAGCCCTCCTAAGTACGTATGTACTGTGCTGCAGAGCCACACAAAGGCTAGAAGCCAGTTTTTGCTCACCTACTCCATAGGCCACTGTCAAGAAGTCTATCATGAGAGTGGGCTCGTTCATATGAGGCAGGATGGAGTCATGCAGAATAACAAGAACTTTTTTGTAAAGGCCACTGGGTAGCTGTGAAGGACAAAGCAACACAGTCAAACAATCAAAGCAAGAACTCGAGGAGCAACAGCAACATACAGCTCAAAAAGACAACGTAAGCAAAAGGAAACATGCCAGGACAAAACAGAACAGTTCACAGCAACAAATGGGAGAGCATAGAAGTGACACCTGACAACTGTGTTCATTCTAAGAAGTGGGTGCTCAGCTAGAAGCATCATCACAGCTCAGAAGGAAAAGCAGTAGGAAAATCACTAGCAAAAAGGCTCGTGAACATTCAGCTCAGAAACATGAGTTGTTATGCTGCAGATAACTCCTCATGGGCAGGCTTGTTTAAGGTGGAGAAAAAGGCTGAGAGTACCATACACGAGGTAATGTTCCTTGCCAGGAGAACAATCCAGCAGAGATGGTGTCTGGGCTGATCTCATCTAATAGCAGAAGCACACAGGGGTCCTACCAGGAGCACCATGCAAAGGATGGCCGCAGCCTCTAAGGATTAGCAACTGGAAAGCAATCCGGATCAGTGACAGAAGTACCACTCACCTGGTGCTTCAGAAAAGTGAGCCACATTCTTTCAAACGCCTGCTTGTGTGCCTTAAAACAGAATTGCAAGTAGTGAGATAAACACAGGGGTGGATATGAAGTTCTACTTTCAGTAGAAAATTGAACTCTGAAGCACCAAACGAAGAGTTACCTGCAGCTTTGACACCTTCCATTCCTTCTGGTTATCTAAGAAGAAAGGTAAAAGGGAGATGGAACTTGAAATGGATGTTAAAAGCAAAAACGATGACTTGTTTTATTTAGTCCTTCAAAACAACCCGTTATTACAAATACCCACATAAAACTTAAAGAATACAAACCCACTCTGATAAAGGAGCAAACCTGTATGCAAGGAAATTTGCATTATATAAGTCAAACTCTTCCCTCTTCCCCTAAGCTTAATTGGACACACTGAAAGTAAATGGCACTTTTCTTCCCACGCTGCAGCCTAACAAAATGCAGTGACAGACAAGCTTATGAATTAAGCAGAGCAAAGATCATAAACGTTCCCATGAGACATTAAAGGTCGATGTTTGAGATTTCCCTCTATCAAATGCGTTGGGACACATCAGAATTCAGTTAAAAGCATTCCAACTCAGAAGCATCCCTGTTGCCTCCAGAGCCACCTTCTCGCTGTGTGAGGAGCACTCCTTTCCTGGCTGTTAAGCTGAGACCAGGAGCACAAGGAAAAAGCAGTGCTCCCCAAACCAGGGTCTCTAAAAAATTTGCTCTAGGTTCTTTGCATTGATAAAAAGCTGTGACAGACCTGACTGCAAGTGTTACGTGGATTTTTGTAATGCTACTCAGAATCACTGTGCTCACAGAAGACAATTTTTTGTTAGCAAACACTGACAAAGCCTCTACACAATAAAAATCAGAGATGCGATTTTCCTCTTCGTGTGGAGTTTACTAACCTTGCTTCACCATAAATTTGACCATGTCACGCTCCTTGTTCGGCATGTTAATGGGTGAAATGAGGGAAAATACGTTCTGCTGGTAAAATGGCAGCGGCCTCTATAACACACAAAAAGCAGAGGATCAAGCATGAAGTGAGGTCCACACAGAGGGAAGTCACACTGGGCTTCCACAGTCCCCTATTTCCCAACCACTGAAACGTAGAAGAGGAAAGCTCTGATGGCTGTACTGCATGCTGCTTCTCCATCGCTGCCTTGTCCTGGAGTTTGCTCATTTGCCTAACACAAAACTTGCATCTGAACTGACTCTGATTTAACAGGTGGGTCCAACAAAAGAAAAAAGACTCCTACCACACACCAAAGAGAATTAAACCTTTATGCCCTCAAGCTGCATATCTGAGCAAAACAGAAGCAAGAGCTCTGACTGCGAGGTTCTAATCAACAACGCAGATCTTGAACTATCCCCAATTTCAGACTGTTTTCAGTCTTACACATAATTAACATATGCTACAAACAAACAAAAAAAATCAAATGGGTGCACTTATTACTCCTGCTTCCAAAGTCATTCCACGTATCAGTAATTCCTCCCCACTTCACAACCAAAGTGCGTGCTTCAGAGCAACAATGAATTCATCCAGACCCATCCCAGCAGCCCAACTCAGCATTACCTCTTTTGTCTTTTGCATCACTTGCCCAATGCTCTCAGTGACCGCCTTCATGACGAAGTACCGAACGTCGTCGTACTCCATGTATTCTTGGAAGCGAGAGATCAGCAGTGAAGCATCCTCGTGTATGGGAAGTAAGCCATTAACAACCACCTAGCAAGAGGGGGTCATGAAAAGCAAGTCAATTTCTTGCTGTACTGGAGCAGACAGCTGAGAAGGCTGAGGGCAACCCCTGTCTGGTGAGCAGAGCTGTGTCCCTGCCTGCAGTGCTCACCAGCCACTGTGATGGGTGCTTCCAACCCAAATCCCTCACATCACAGGCACCATAACTTAGAAATGATGCAGCGGCTGAGCCAGGGACCAGGGGCGGCAGCTTCCCCCCAGAAATCAGAGCTGATACTTCAGAAATACAAGAATCCAGCCAGGCCCTGCACAAGGCAGCTGCTCCCACACCACCACCCATCCAGGGCAGCACCCTACAGGCATTTCCACCTCTGCAGCCCACATCGCTCTTCTCCATCCCAATCTCCTTGCCTGAAACCTCAGCTCTGCAGGTTCTGCAGCTCACCTTCAGAAGATGGCGAGGAAAAACGCCGCCCTGCCACTGCTGTGCGACCAGCGGGCATTCTGCCTCCACCTCCACGAACTTCATGAGGGTGCAGAGCGACGATTCCTTTGAAACACAGATTAGAAAAAGCCCGGCCTCGAGGAGCACAGCGGCGCTCAGGCCCACAGCGGCTGCTCAGCGCAGGAAGAACGAATCTCTCCCGCGAGCCACGCGGATGCCATCACCGTCCTGAAGGGCCCTGCGGCATCCCGCACCGAGCGGTAACTGCTTCTACCGCACAAACCCGCACCCCGCAGCTCACCTTCACCTGGAAGGAGTCGTGGCCCAGCAGCTCGGACAAGCACTCCACGCAGTCGTTGTAGCGGTGCCTCATCCATATCTTGTATTTATCCTCGGCGCTGCAGATCCCTGGGAGGGAAAGGCGCGGCGCTGACGCTCCCACCCCGCGGCGGTCCCCGGCCCCACGTCCTCGCCCTCCCCGCTCACCACTCGGCACGTCCTCCTCCGCCGGCAGGCTGCCGACCATCAGCTCTCCCCGCCGCAGCAGCGCGGCGAACAGCCGGCGGCAGGTCCGCGCGGCGCACAGCGCGTCCTCCTCCTCCTCGGCCTGGGGGAGATCGGGGCCGTGAGTGACGCCCGGTGCCGCCCCGCGCCGCGCTCCCCGCCCCGCCCCGCCGCGCCCCGCACCGCCAGCAGCTCCAGGATCTCGAAGACGCGGTTGGCGTTGCCGCGGTCGCCCAGCACGGCCTCCACGCTGGCGGCGAGATCGGGCCGCGCCATGCTGCGCTGCGGAGCTCCGCCCAGAGCGGGGCCGGAACACGGCGGGGAGGGCGGGGAAACGACGAGCGGGACGAGGGCGGGTTACAAAATGTACACTTTATTACAGCTTCGGGTGGGATACATCGCCATTCCTCACAACGCTGCTGGGGCAGCTACAAACGCCCGACAGCGAAGGAGCAGCGGGCACAGCCGCAGCGCGGAGCCGGGCGGCGGTAACACGCGGCGCTCAGCGCACCGCCCGCGCAGGTTGAGCAGCGCAGCTCACACGCCGCACCGCCCCGCCTCGAAACGAGCAGAGCAGCGCCTAGGAGTAAAAAGATCACAATGAAAAAATAACTTTAAAACCATCTCGGAAGAGGAATGCTGTAACTGTCTAGTTGTACACGTTGTGCAGCACGACGGCCAAAGGAAGGGAAGATAAATCCATTTAAGCCAGCAGGAGTTTTGTGATTCCTCACGCAGTGCTGTTCGCAAAGTTTTTTCTGTTCATGCCAGAAAAGTAAAGAAAAGCTCACGGTTCTGTGCAGCTTCTTGCTTTCTTCACAACAATAAGGCAAACTGATTTGGAGGAAGAGGCCGTGCTCCATTCACATCCAAAATACCCACCTGAAGATACATTCATCATTAGCTTTAGTAAAAGAATAGTACAAAAGTTAGATCTCAATCTTTACACAGTTGTCACCGTTCCCCCCTTTCCCACCCCCCCAGGCTAAAAGCTGAGTAGAAAGTACTGAACATTTCAACATGTTGCAAGAGCAGAACAAAACCAAGTGGTTCCATTTGATCCATGGGAGTTTCCCTGGCAGCAGTCCTGGGACAAACAGCTGCAGAAACTTTGGCTGAACCCACTGAACATACAAAAAAAAAGGCTACACTTTAATACACATCACACAGTATTTACTCAGTTCATGCCTAAAATATCCATTATCTTAAAGTGAAGTATGAGAACGAGCACACAGGGAGGGTGCTGCAGTAAACTGTACACAAAACTACTAACAAACATTTTAAAAGGCTTACAAAAATGGAGAATGAACCTTTCTTTTTTTCCTTTAATTACATATACTTACAGGTTTTCACATTTACTGGCTAAGCTTTTCAGGGAGCACTTCAAATGTAAGTTAGACCTTCCAGGTTATCTACCTGAAGCTCGAACAACCTGCAGCTCTCACTGAGATGTAAGATACTTTGTGTTAACCACAGCAGGGTCTTTGAACAGCTTCAACGTGGATACTGAGAGCACATCCCAACTCAAGCAAAGAACTGCACGGTCCCACTGGCAGCTTGTGGTATGCTAACACAGATGGATGGTACTGACATTTATGGCATTTCACCCATTTACTTTTGCGAAGCTGGACATAACTTAAATCTAAGAAATGTTTGATTTATCAGGTTTGAATCAGCACAGAGAACAGCAGCAGAATGCACCCGGTACAGATTCTGAGTGCTGCAGAGCTGCTAACACACTGAACTTATGTGAGAGTTTTCATGTCTAAGTGTTGCAAAGTCCTTCTGTTAAAAGTATAAAAAAAAAAAAAGTGGTTTGACTTCATTTGGATGTTTGGAGTAGCTTCTTCTCACTTGGCTTAGCAAACAAGAAATGCTGCACTTCCCTGTTATTGCATTTAACCATTAGTTCAACTTGGTTTAGTAGGTGCCTTTAATCTGACAGTAGGTGTCCTCATTTGGACTTTTGCTTGCTGGTTCTGGGCTTCAGATGTTGCTGGTGTCTGGGCTGGATTCTGTACGCCTGGAGCCTGAATCTGGGGAGATGCTGTGGTCACAACTTGCTGCTGTATCAGTTTCTGCTGCACAACTTGAGCAGTAGCAGTTGTTGCAGGAATCACCTGAACCTGCTGCTGACCTGCTGTGGTCTGAGACAGGGTCACTGTCTGGGGTTGAGCTTGTACCTAGGCAAGACAGGAGGACAAGGCAACCATTAGATTCCTGCTCTGCAGAAGGTCTTTGTCGGCTTGAATGACAAACATCTTAGACAAAGAAGGACTGGAAGCAATACTGGCATTGTGGTTTTGGTAAGAAAATGTTCTGTCACTTTTTCTTACAAACAGTAACTAAGAAACAGGATGGCTGCAATGCAGACCTGCTCAGTGCAGATTAAACAACATGCTCCTAGATTCTTTGCAGAAGGTATGTGGAAGGTAAGAACACACTACATAAACAGGAAAGGCAGTCTTTATATGCTTTGAAAAATTATCCAAGAGCTCTACAGGGAATAACTCGATGTGTGCTGACCAATGAGGCTCCTGCTCTCTCTGCTTACCTTGCCCTTGCAGCCTCACATCCGAGGTGGTGACCAGTCAAGTTTACAACACTTCATCATCATTTTAACATGAACAGCCACAGATTTTATCTCACACTAAAACACTGCACTTCAAACTGTGTCAGATTAAGAGCTGACTGGGTTAGATTTCTGAGAGTAACTGCTTCATCCTCCATCCAAAGTTAAACACTCCTGCCAATCAGCAGTGTAAGTACGCCTGTTGCTAATGATCTGAAAGTTGTTCTAATCAGTATTAAATAAAGGGAAGGGAGACAGAACCATTTGTCCTCATCCTCTGCTCCCAGTCTGTTACCACACCACATTTAGAACAGATACCACAGCACTCTGACTTCTATTAAGCACTTCAAACAGCTGTATGAACTGGGACTAAACAACTTCTAACTCCCAATTTATTCCAGGTTTTGCATAACAAACTCAGATGGTATTCATTAGTTCAATTATTTGACTATACATCACAAAAAGCTAATATTTAAATTTATTTCAGCTTTAGAAAATATTTTCCTCAGCTCTTCTCCACTCATGAAGAAAAACATTGCTGTATATACCAGAATTTTGACTAAAGAATTTACAGTAACCTGACTTGGTTTTCATGTGACCCATTTTTATAGAAGGGAAATGGTCACATCCTTCCCAAATTCCACCCATACCACACAAAGGGAAAAAGTTATATTTCCAAATACATCAGCCTTCAGTAGGACCAGGTTTCTAAGTGCTGCAGGCAAAACATACCTGTTGGGAAACTGAAACCATCTGTTGAATGTTGGCAACAGTAGCCTGTTGCTGGACCACTTGAGGAAGTTTTGCAACCTTCAGTGACCACAGAATAAAAAAAGATTTAGTCACAATAAAGCTGCTAATAGCTGCAACACACCATACTATCAAAACCGCTACCAAGAAACCTTTCCTAAGCTGTGTTTACTGCAAGTTGGTATCTTGGCCTCCTCAGTGATAGCGCAGCTTTGTAAATGAAATAAATTTAGAAGAGCATGTCAGAATAGCATACTTAGCTAGGAGGGAAAGAGGAAAAGTAGAATTTTCAGCTATAACTGTAATTATTGTTTCCTCTTAACTACATATAACACCGAAGGAAGCATGGCCATTCTAATGGACTAATTTATCTTTGATACAGCTTTGAAAGAGTAAGGCTTCCACAGTTCCTCATCCCCTTCCTTTCCCATGGTTAGACTGATCTAGTTATGCAGAGAATTAGGTAACCATCAGCTCCCTTTTAGCTACTAGAGATTAGGCCAGGAGGCAGCACCAGAAAACAGGATGAAATACAATTTAATTGTCCTTAATAAGAACAGTATGAATCCATTGCTAATAAAAAGGAGTGACAGTTTATTTCTTTTGAAAAGGAAAGACAAACTTTCCAGCTGGTTTCTCTGACTTGGCAAAAGCCCAGATATTCACTACCAATTGATTTTATTATAAAGTTAAACAAATATGTAACTGGAATTAATATGAGCAGGTGCTAAAGTGTTACTACATCTGTTACCTTTAGTGTTATCCCATCACAGTAGTGTTTTAGAAGCATGGAATGGTGTTACCTGTACCTGAATCTGAGCCTGCACCTGCTGGGTTCCACCTGGCTTCTGGGTTTGGGAAATCGGGGTCGTTAAGAACTGAGTTTTAATGGCAGGCTGTGTAGTATAGGTTACTTTTTGTTGCTGCGATGTCTGCTGTTGGGTTTGGACTGTGACCTGTTGAGCATTTATCTACAGAAGGGAAAAAAGCATCAGTGACTACAACTCACGTATTTCAAAGAACAGGTACATAGCTAATGAGATTAATTACATTATTGAAGTAAATCCTCTCAAATAAAAATAGCCAAAGGAGCTGGGAGAGAGAACTTCCATGCATTTATACAAGTGTCCTGAACCATTTAAAAGGTTCTCTTACCACACAGGCACATTTCATATGGCAATACACTTCCAAAATACCACATTAATATAACCACGTTTGTGGCTGTGGCAGCCAAGTCCACGAGATAGTAACATTTCAGGGAAAAGTGTATTTTTCACAGTTTACAATATAAAAATGAAAGTCTGAGAATTTTTCAGACTTAGTCGTATTACGGTTCTCTTTAGTCACTTCTAATCTCTGTTACTTAATGCAGAAGACAAAGCCAACAAACTTACATTAAGCTTGAGGTGTGAGAAATCACAAACACCTTAACAAACAGTCCTCTCTAGATACATGTAAGACTTACTCCTAGGAATATTAACTGACTGCCTAGGAGTGCCACCACAACCCAGAGCTAAAGCTTTACAACCACAGAAACATCACGAAATTCAGTGAAAGAGCAAACTGTGAGTACCTTCTGCTGCACAGTAGCTTGACCCTGTGCAACCTGGGGCTGGATAGCTTTCTGTTGCTGTGCTGCTTGATGATGCTTGAGTTTCAGAAGCTGCTGGACATGCAGTGGCTGGGCAACTACAGTCTGACCTCCTGAAAATTATAAACAAACTGAGTTTTCATTTACTGCTTTGTCCCAAGCAGCTTGCAAACACAGATTGTGCTTTTACAGGCTTATACATCTGCATAGCTTTGAGCACTAACAACCCACTGATTTTAATAAGAATAAGACATATGATTTTGACAGTAGAGTTGCATGAGCAAGCTACAATTGTATTCTAACAATTATACTTCCTACAGGAAAACTTCTGTCTGCACTACAGGAGACAGTTACAAAAGACAAGTTTTTCTGTATCTGCTTCATACTTAAAAAGAAGGAATTACTACAGCTTTATTTTCAAAACCATATCTGCTCTTGCCTATCACATGCAGATTTCTGGCTTAAGAATGATACTGACCTCCAGATTATGTGGAGTAAGCACAATTCTCTTACCTCATTTTTGGAGCTCAGCCTCCATCACATTAGTTTATTGAAGTCTAAGTCCCACAGAAGACATTACTTGAGCACCCTTCTTTTATGGAAGCAGAAATTAAAAGTGTATTGTATTTTAGCAAGCGTACTGACATACCTGCTGCTTTCTGTGGCTGCCCAATAGCAACACTGATGCCTGCAACAGTAACAGGGAGCGTAGTGACTCCTGCAGATGACACCACAGCAGCTGGAACAGATACCACTGGAGGTTTTGCCAAAGCAACCTGTGTTGCTTGTGGAGTTTGGGCCTGGATTTGTCCTTGTGCTTGAAGCTGGGAAGCAGGAACACGAGTCTAAGCAGTAAGGAATGAAGATTATTGTACCAGCCAAAAAAATATTTGCTTCATATAACAGGTGATTAATAAATGACAGTGGTAAATGTTTCCAAATATGATTTCTCCTTTACACTAACACACTTCAGAGATGTGTCTGTCGGTAAGTGCTATTCAACTATTTGTGTTAGGTCTTTCATACAGCCTAAGTAATGCAAAGGGCACTTAGGTGCACAAATAACCAACACCCAGTTCATTTAAATCAGTAGTGAGAACAAGGTGTCTGCAGCTGTTTTCATGAAGTCAGAGACAACTTACAAGACGAGCAACTTGCAGGTTTGTCACAGTAGTGCCTGTGAGGACTGCACCAGGACGAGGTGCTGTAACAGCAGTGAGTTGTTGAGTTTGCTGTTGCTGCTGCACTTGTACTTGTGCTGCTTGCTGCTGTGCCCCTTGCTGTGTCTGCTGTGCTGCCTGCTGCTGAGGAAGCTGTAGCTTCTGCTTCTGCAACTTGATTAGCTGCTCCTGAAAAAATACACCACTTTCTTTATTTCCCATCTTTTATAGGACTACAGGAAAAAGAATAGAGATGGACCTGCAGCTTTGAAGTAGCATTCTATGCCAAACTTTAGTTAAGATCACAGAGCTAAGGAGCAACTCCTTTACACAACAGGTTGCCAGTAGGTAAGCAACAGTAAGTGCTTTACATCCTGACCTGTGGCAGTAGCACTTCTACTTGAAATGGCTATCAGTCTTCCCCGCCTTTATGAAATTTTCATAGAATCAACTTTAAGAGATCTACATTTCATTCTAGCCCATGAAAATGAGGTACAACAGTGCCAACTATGCTTACTCACCTGTGACAGTTTCCCAACAGTTTTTATTTGAGCTGGAGACTGGCCTTGTGCCTGAGCCTGAATCTGAGGGACCTGCACCTGAGCAGCCTGCTGCTGCTGTTGCCTCAAAAGCTGGAAGTGAGCAGGTGTGATTGTTTTGCCAGAGAGCTGGACTGTTGGTGTCGCTGTGAAAGGAAAAGTAAGAAATGCTCTGAGGACACTCAACATTGAATTTAATTCTCTGATTTCACCTGAGAAGCCAGGTGGTTAAAGAATGTTTTCTGCTACATTCTGTAGACTTGGTATAGACAACGACCCATTAGCATAAACACAATGAAGAATAATAAAATATATACTCCTTTCTTCATAATGTTTGTATTTGTGATACTCAATATTTTACTGTTGATTGCTAACAATCTTTTTTAACTGTAACCCCTATGGGCTAAGCAATTCTCTACTGCAACACCTTGTCCAGAAATACTAACAAAAAAGGTAATCTGAGCACCAACAATCAGCAAGTTAGGAATCATAGCACTGTTTAATTGTGCAGCCAACAAAGCCAGACTTTCAATGCCGTTCGGGTCAAGCAAACTTCATGAATTCTGTAGGAACCCTAGGAAACAATCCCTAACATACAATTATTACCTGGAGTAACTTGAGTCACCAGTGATCTTGTCTGGGTCTGCACAGGAGTTAAGTTTGTCGTTACCACAGCTGATGCTGTCACTGACGTTACTGCACGGACCCCCTGTGTAGATGCTATGGTCACCAGCTCTGTGGAGGCCGCAGGTGCTGCCGCCCGCTGCTGGGTATGCACAACTTGTGCAGCTGCAGTACCTCCTGAAGTCTGAAGAGGAACACAGTCAGTCATTACTCTGCAGTCTTTATATCTCATATAAAGCTATGAACTTTCAGGATATAGAGTTTTAGAAATTGACATAAAAAAGCAAAAAAATCCAAACCTTTCTAATAAATGTTTGAATATATCTCACAGTTGGTATCTGATTAAATCTTTGTCAGGCTGATCACCAAACTCTCAACTACAGAAGTTTGATTTTACTACCTGTCATTTTTTGCTTAACCTTCTATAGTCTTGCAACCTTAAAACAAAGATCACAGTTACCTAAGCATAAAATATTAGAGGCTGGAAATTACATTGACATCACCCATTTCTTAAGATAATACTTTTAAAAATGGTTCATAATTAAGCACTGTCTCTTAGGTACATTATTCTGATAATCTGTCCAGGTTTATGCTGGTATTTCCCTAAGGGAGAGGAGTTGATACAGAGTCACAAGACACATGAAGTTAATAAGGAGTGCAATTTCTGATAACTAGTACAGCTAATGCAAGAAACAGATCCAGATGTGCAACCAAAATGAACCCAGAGGTACAACTAGTATGCAGTCTACTCACAGTCAGTGTTCCAGGTATAACAGGTGAAGCCAGACGTTTATTGATGGGCTGAAAGGTAGCTGCAGGGACTCCAGCAACAGTATTCACTATGACATTCCCACTCACTGTAGCTGAAAGAAAAAAAATCAGGATTAAAAATAATATTGTAAAAAAAAGAATGAAACTTGTATGTCCTATCATCTCCAATGCCCAATTATAAAATCTTCTTACCAGTCTGTATACTTGTTCCCGTGACTGCTGTTTTGATTGCGCCTGCCTATTGAGAAGACAATTGAGATAGCTTCAGAAAACAATAAAAGAAAACTGAATATAGCTCTTATACTGTTATGCTGTTTAACACAGTGCTGTACTCCAGAAATGACAACTCAAGAAAGAGACAATAAAATGCAGAGATAGTTGTAAAATTTGCTTTCATTCTGCACATCAACAGTAACTTCTGGATAGGTCAGGATTCTGCCATGTTAATAAGCAATTGGATGCCAGTCAGGTGTTGGGTAAGTACTGGATATTTTTCATCCTTGTCAACAGACGAAGAGAGCGAGGTAGCATCACTGGCACACACAGGTAACCTCTCACACATTAACATTGAGTGCTAGGAGATACAGAGCAGTGTTATCAGGATAGAGCCCTTTCTCTGTCTCTGGAAAAGCTGTACTATTCTGGCCCTTCAACAAGTATTAAAAATCACTGCTGCCTGAGCACATTAGTAAATAAACTGGACTGGCTTTAAAACAAGAGCCTTCAACCAGTTATCAGATTCACTAATACAGACTCTACATTTAAAGAAGCTATGAAAGCTTTACAATAATACAACTAACTGTAGGTCCTGTAAGACACAAGATTCCACTTTCCCAGCAAAGATTAATTTACTCAAAGCTTTGCTTTTTAACCTACTTTAACAGAGTAGCTGTTACAGCTACAGTCTCTTTTCTGAGTTCTTTGGATAAACAGTGTTAAATGCTAAACTGAAAATGCAAGATATCTGTACAAAGAATATAGCATTCTGAGGTGGAAAAATGCTAACGCCTATTATTGCTATAATGATATTAACAGTTTCAGACAGTGAATAAAAACAGAAGGTGCCCAGCACACTCAGGAGAGAAAGAGAAAGAAGAAAAAAATAGCCTTTATTTCACTACACTGACCTAAAATTCTTACTTTCCAAAGCAAGTAAAAGCACGCAGATGTAGTACACAGAAAAGAAGAACTGAAGTTACTACATCAGACACCAAGTCCTCCCTTTCTTACCAATACTGCTGTGTTGGCCACAGTAGTTACTGCAGTCTGCACTACTGCCTGTGGCTGCTGAACTACCTGTGCCTGAGCCTGTGGCTGTGGTTGGGCCTGTGCTTGCTGGACAGCTGGCTGCTGAGCTTGCTGCTGGCCGGCTTGCTGCTGCTGAGACTGTGGGCCTGCCTGTTGCTGTGCCCTCTGCTGTTCAGCCAAAGCCTAGGAAATCAAAGCATGAGTTTCACAGTTGTCAAAACCAGTGCACGAATTAATCAGGATGTATTTAAAAAAAAAAATTCTAAGCATACGTGCAGACAAAGCATGCAAGTCTGACTTCCTTGTAAACACATAACTAGTTACAAGATGTAACTGGTTCCAAACTATGAGCTGCAGTCAAATGTTATACAGCTTAGAACATAACAGAGCAAGCAATTTACCATCTAAAAGCAAGAACAAGCATTTCCTACTGAATAGTTTAAGAAGGGAGGAAACAGAACAATCAAGAATAAAATGAGATAGTTTCATGTTTTCAACAGATTTTAATTTTTTTTTTAAAAACATGTTTTCCAGAATGCTGCTTGTGAGCAAGAAGTATCAGTGTCACCTACAGGCCCAAGGTTCCAATTTGGACCTGGTGTAAATGCTACTAAATAAACAACTTGCTGCAACTATCATATCAGCAAACTTCTCCCAGAAGTCAAATTTTCCTCACGTTTCCTCTTGTCTATATTTTTTATTACTGCAGTCATACATGTAAGTGAAATGGAGATTGCACCTTTTTCTCTTTTGCAATACGTTCTGCTCGCAGGGATGCAACTTGAATTGGAGGAAGTGGCTTGTCATAGTTGATTCCACTAGAAACAGTGATAAGACACAGCATGCAATAGTTAAACAACTGATTTTTTAATTTTTATTCTTTCAAGTAAATAAAGAAGCACTTTTAAAGACAGAGAGTGCCCACCTTTCTGTGAGAACAGACGCATGCTTTGGATTCTTCTGGAAAGGATTCATGCCAAGTCTAAAATTGAGCAAAATTGTATTACTGAAGACAGAAAAAAAACTTTAAAAGAGCATTTAATTTCATGTTTTAGTAGGAGACACTGTGGTTTTAGTGAAGTTTTCATGATACTCCCATCAGCACTGGAGCCTGCATGAAGACAGACATTTTAAGAGATGTGGAGTAAATGATAAATGAGTACATGCAAGTTACTGCTGTAACTTTTGGACAAAGAAAACAACTAAACAGCACAGACATCAGAATGTTTGCAACACAAGTAAACAGGAGGCCTACTTTATAAAGGATATCTTAAAAAAAATAACAGAACTCTTCATATGTATGTGAACAAATTCATGCAGCAAATAAAAGCTAACTTAACCATGAAACGTGAATACATTCCAATAACAGGCCAGAAAACAAGGAAAGAGGTCAAGAACAGAGAAACAGAACAGCAGTTTGAAACAGATGGAAAAATCTCTCAGTTGAGAGAGCAATTTAGAACAAATGATCCAGGAAACGTGTGGCGAGGTTGGGACATCCCAGTTAAACTCACAGCGGTTTGATAGGTGGACTTCTTTTCCCTGCAATCATTTTCATCATCTCAAAATGGTTAGTATAAAGCTGCGTGTGGGTGGCACCTTCATCCTGAGCATAGATCTGATTCGTACGAAGTGGGCGACTGTTTTTAGTCTAAAAAATGAAAAGAAACAAACGTTTAATGGTGAACACACCCACACAGCATCTTGTATAAACACATGGTGAGCTTGTAGATTATTTAAAAACGAACTCCAACATATCTATCACAGACTGGTTTCTGCCTCGTGTCATTGATAACTTACTGTTACACAAAATTCTATGGGAAATGTATAAAGAAAGAGCAAAACAAGGAGCAGTTCTCACGGTCACACTGGCATCAGCGCTTGGGGACGTACAAAATGGCAAACTAATTTGAAGAAGAATTTTGCTTTAAGTTTAGATTTCGTAAGTTTAATTCAGTACTCAAACCAAGAGCCCATTAGTTTACAGTTATGCATAGCGCAAACGTCAGAGAGTAACACCATCACTGCACTGCTCTCCCAACAAAGCTATGTTAACATCTAGCACAGCATGCCATCCTAATTCTTGGCTCCTCCTAAGCAGAAGCTGCCAGTCAGGGACAAACCTGCTTAATGGTCAGAGAATGGGGCTACAGTCAGCAGTTCTAGATTCTCTACCTAGTTCTGTCACTAAATTGCAGAATGGTTTGGAAGACGTTGTTTATGATCATGGAATTCATTTTTGTTTCTGTGGAGTATTACAACCCTCATTTACAAAAAGGCACTTCAAGCATTAAACTCCCTACATGTCTGTGATCCGCTCAGACCCCAGTATGAAGTACATCCTTACACATCTTAAGTACCATAACAATGATCAGGATAAGTTACATGGTGGTTGTCAGGTGGAAAAATGCCTACTACAGTTAAAGTGAAATGAAAGATTTCTTGCATGACAAAATTAATCTAGCAAATCCAAAAGCTGAAGTCTGGTGTCAATCCACTGTATCAACAAAGAAAGGAAAAATAAATTTGGAATTTTAATTGATGTTTGAGAACTCAAGTAACACTGAACATGGATCTCATATGAAGTATCTGCCCACCTCCATTGCTGCTAAATACCACAGTGTCTAGATTTGATTTTGAAAGAATACCAATGCACACCTTATAAATACTTTTTGTCTTCTTTTTAGGATTAGCTTCGTACATTAGCTGTAAAATAAGAAGGAAAGTTAGATGATCTTTTGTGGAAGATTTTGTTCAGGTGCTTTTTCTTTTCAAAGAAATCATATAAAATAAGTGGAAATCCTGATGAGGATAATTTTATAATCTTTTAACGTTATTTATTTACACTGTTGAAACATTTAACAACAAAAAAGTGTTTACGAAGATAAGGAAAAAATACTCTAAAACTTAATGTAGTAAAGATGCATCACTCTAAATAAACTCACCTTTCCTTCTTCCCTTGGGATAATGACATTTTCGTATCTGTTTCTGCATTGTTTTGGTGAGCGATAGACTCTGCTGCATGAGTTAACAACATCACTAACAAGGTCCCAATTGGGAGTGTGTGCTGGCGATACAACAGCAAGATTTAAAGGGAGCTCCAACAGCTGCTTCACTGCCTACAATACATAAAGGTACAAAAGCTTCAGGTCACAAATCATTCCAATCCTCCACACTCACCCTTATCTGCATCCCTCACCATCGTTAGAATGAATAGATAGTTCAGACCTCAGTACATGGCTTCACCTGTGTTCATAGAGAATAAATATGCATCAAAGTTTTCTACGCAGATAGGTGTGCAAAAACACAGAGAGTGGTACAGTAGGAACAGGAAGCTGCCATTCAATCACTGTTCTCTTCTCAAAGGTGAGGAAAACTTTAGCTGCACTATCCAATATCCTGAGTGATCTGGGCCATTACAGTAAGCAGTCTCTAAAACAAAAATAGGACTTCACTATCCTCAACCTTTAATTTATCCTTAAAGAAAGAAGTGATGTGCAATCTGCTCTGAGTTAGGTCAGCACAATATGAAACTGATTATCAGGAATTTGAAGTAACCTTCAAGAAAGAAAAATATTGAAAGAGCTATTTATGAAATTATAGGGAAAACGTAATATGGGACAGCAAAAAGCCAGATGTTGTCTGACCTGTAGAAGTGCCCAGTCCTCACTGATCAACCACTCGGGGTTATCCTGTCCATTCTCAGCAGCCGGTTTCACAAGAGTTGGCAAAGGCTTTGCAAACTGTGTTTGTTGTTTCAGTAAGATGTTCTTCTTCTGCTCCTTGCCCTCTCGGCGCATCTTCAACATTCCTGGAGTTGCTCGATCAAAAAGTGAACGAGGAGGAATAACCGTCTCTCCGTGACGCTGCTTCTTCTTCCTACCTGCAGCTAAGACAAGAGAAATAAAATTATTTGTAAATAGGCACTATCATTGTTTGATTTCTTTGTTACAGATAGCTGCAAAGTGCTCCTGAATGTATATATCCATGCTACCTCTTAAAAGCATCCTGCCAGCAACTAGATTTACTATGGCCAGAGCCTTTGTGACGTAAGACCAGCCTAACTGACACAGCAGAATGTCTCTCTTCTAGAACTGAACTTCCAGAAGTAAAATAACCACATATAATTAAATCAAAAGATACACTGTCTAAATTAGAGCTTTCAGTGTCTGAAGATCACTGTGAGACAAAAACTTTTCATCTCACACCTACATGTTTTGATCATTACGAAGAGGAAGTAAAGATATATATATTTTAAACTTTTACCAACAAAATTTCAAGCAGCTTTGACATTTACCAGAAGGATCTGTTTTGTGCCGTTTGCGTTCCTTCCTGACATACACTGGAGGCAATTTTGATTCTGGAATAGGGGTGGTATCATACATCAGGCACATCACAGAATCAATGTAGATGTCATTGTCATCCTGAGGTGGAGTTGGGGGAGTCCAAAGCTGCAGAGAACATAAACTTTTTAGTTACTGCCATATTAACTAAGCACTGATATTTATGTTTCAAAACTAAGAAGTCTTTTTAGGCTGCTGGGTGTTACTGATACTTACTGGCATTATTTCAGTTTGTCCATCTGGACCTTCATAGACATACTCCTACACAGCAAAAAGAGAATGCAATCAAATGACACGACTGAACTCGGAAGGAAAAAGCATTCTCAGAATAACTTAAGAAATACACAGTTAAGAAATACAGTAATCAGGAATTACTTTGTTGTATGCATCCTCCCGAGTGTAGGTGAGAAGTTCCTCTTCATCCTCCCAGAGCATTTTTTGCTCTTTTTCCTTTAACTCCCTCAGATGTTGGACTTCCCATGCTTTCTTTGCTGTTTTCAGTTCCACCTAGGGGAAAAGTCAGACTTCTTACAACCTTCATGCAGTAGCAGACACTGGATTAAAAGTTACTGATTGTGGTATTCATGGATAAATCCTTTAAGCTGCAACATTTTCAGGCACAGAAATTTTGAAACCATTTCTTTACAGATAATTTCACAATCTCTTAAAGGAAATTTTTTTGTTCTCTGTTGCAGGAATTTAAAAATATTGAAATAAAGCAAATTCTGACTAAACATTCAAGACAACCAGAAGAAGATCCTTTAACCAAATAAGCAATCTCACTGAAGCTGATGACGTTTTTCCCTGCTGCCTGCCAATGGAGTACAACAAATATTTGCTGAATTGTTCTGAAGAACATCATTTTCATTTTACAAGAAATTAAGAACTGATACGTTTAAACCAAAAGGATTACAAGACACTTCTTGAAAAGCATTCTGGTGTTCAAAAGTATAGCAAGAGGAAATAGCAGAAGTTCTTTACAATACGTCCTGCATCACTGGATAAATTTCCATTCATGCTGGAAATATTAATCCTCATTGTACACATTAGGAAACAACAAGGTGGAGTAGAAATATATATTATTTTACCTCATTCAGTCGTGGTTCATTCTCATCAACTGAAACATGGAAGAGCTCTAAATAGTTCAAAGCATACTTCTCAATTGGAGTCAGCTGAGAGAACACATTAAGGAAAAAAGAAGTTACTATTAAGAATAATAAAAGAAATGTGAAGGAAAATGTATCAAAGCTCTCCTTTAAACGAATCTCTTTTCTGACGGCATAACAGCTCAAGTCAGTAAGACTTTTCCCGTTCATTTAATGAAGTATCAAACCAATTGAAAACAAAGTTGTTTTAAGGCAAAACGGCAAAGAAATTGAAATATTTGAACTAAACATTTATTTTAACTAAATATTCATAGAAAAAGTCATGGTACCTGATCCACAACAGCAACTAACTCCTGCAGCGGTGAGGGCTCCTCATTGTATTTTGATTCACAGAGCTCTGAGACCAAAGGTTCAATGCTTGACTCAGGTCTTATGTCTTGTATGCGATCATCTGGCTCTTCATCCTCTCGTTCAATACTATTGAGGGCCTTTCAGAAAGACATTTTTAAAATAATAAATACTTCAAAAACATGAAAAACATGAAAAGAAATCCTTGAAAGAATTTCACTGTAGTCCAACGCAAATTTCTGCAATAAATTGCTCCTCATGCAACAAGTCCCATGCAAGCTTAAAACTTAACAATACAACCAAAGGGACACAGTTAGGAGGAAAATTGACTGTCAAAACAACATAAAACCAACAGAAAACCAACTGGCAGAATTTACCTCCACCTCCCCAGAAAGATAAAGCAGCCATTAAATACTAATGTCCTACAGCTGTATCTTTAATTTGGGTTAATAATTACCTCTATGAATGGTCTTGCAACTTTAGGTGAAATGGTTTCTGCTGGAGATGGCTCTTGAGAAAGTACTACAAACTCTTCCGCTTTCACTCTAAATCCAGAATCCTCCATAGGAGAATGAACCTCAAACAACTCCTGAATCGTTTGCTTGGTAATTGGAAGGAAAAACAAGTATTATTCAGCTTTAGAACCATTCTAGTTTTTTATATTACTTTGAATAAACTTAGTTTCCAGTGACCTTATAAACTGCATACTATCTATTACTTCTGGAAAATTGTCCTTTTTCTCTTCAGTATTTTCTGCAATTTTCTCTTGTAGGAACACACAACAGAATGAAGTTATCAGGCAATTTACAAGTCAGTCAGAAACACGCACCCCAACATTCTACATCACAACATCAGGAGTGTCAGAAAGGGATGGACTAGCTTTGTCAGTGCAGTCACCATCCTCTGCACCTTCAGAGCAGTTTATCTCACCAAATACTTTTAACTTTGTATTTTGGCTTTTTCAAAGTTGAAATTTTCAACGAACTACAGAAGTTTGTAGCAGGGTGCAAGAAATCAGAATATATTAAGTCACATCAGTGATGCCTTACAAATAAGGGAACAAGAGCAGGTAATGCCACAATTTCTCAAATATTAACACCTAAGTTCAAGCAATCACAGTATCTAAGACATTTACCAGCCCAAACACATCTCTAGTACTGTTGCTCTTACTCCAAGAAGAGTCTGAACTTACTAAACATTGCAACACTAGTATTTGAACACATTTTAATGTTAACTTACTTGTGTTAAAAAGGCCATTGAATAGTCATTTCCCTGAGCTGCTACTTCTCTGATCAAATCCTTTGTGCCATTTTTCAAAAGCTTCTCCTCTACAGAATTACCACTGACAAGTCTAAAAAGGAAAAATAAAAGAACAGAAATTTGTTAAGTCATTTCCAAAATTGCTTCCAACAGCAAGGAGAGGAATTGCCACTGAAAAATAACGCTGAATTATTGAAATGTAGCGATGCTTGCGTGTTTCAACAAAACAGATACTACCTGTTCTGCTTTAAAGCTTTGTTTTCCCTAACACTAGTTGTTAAAAGAAAAAAGAATTGTAATGAAAGGTATAGTAGCATCCAGAAAATTTGAATGATTCTTACAATTAGATGTAGTGTTAAGATGGTCTATGTTCTCATATGAAAAAGCAGTAAGCGGGTACTAAAATGAAGTGGTTTTCAGTACTGTTTCCATTTTATTTCAGATTATGTAGCATTATCTGAAATGACCTTACATTAAAAACGTTAAAGAAAGGTCATTAATCTGTAACGTCATTAATCACCTGTATATATGGATATCTTTACATCTCCCAATCCTGTCACACCACTCCTGTGCCTTTGCATCCATCACTGGATTTAGATCATTGTCATAGAACACAACAGTGTCTGCTTCAACAAGATTGACACCAGTGGAACGACTGTGAGAAGAAAGGATGGCACAGAAAATGCGCTTGTCTCTGTTGAAGCTTTTCATCAGCTCCTACATAGAAGGAATAAAAGCAAGTCACACACCGAAATAAAAAGCCAAAGCAAACCCACGAGCCTAATTAGGAAAAAGGCAACGTTTCAAAGTAGGAACAATGCAAATTTCTTTCCACTGCTGTAGTACATAGAAGCCTGTGTAGCACATGCTGTGGTACCAGCAGACAACTGTTAGCACACACTTACCTGCCGTTGTTCGTGATTAGCATATTCATCAATCCTCACAAACGTGAGAAAATGGAAATTCAGGAACAATTCCAGTATGTCCAACATTAGAATCATCTGTGATAAAATCAGCACGCGTCGCCCTTCAGATTTCAACTTCTGAAGCAAGACAGCAAGAGCTTCTAGTTTTCCTATATTTAAAACAAACAGTAATGCTTTCATTTAGATGTACCATTGCTGTACAACAGGAAATTACAAAGTTTCACCATTCAGTGTCCATCTTTACCTGAGTCGTACTGCACCAGGCGGAGGTCAGGGAACTGTAGCAATTGTGGAGTTGTAATCCGTTGCAACTGATGTAAGTGTGGAGCTGCCTTCTGCTTCAGGCTGTGTTTGAGGACTTTCAGTCTGTGACTGTATGAAGGGGGAGGGTTTGCTACATACAAGCATGGGGGAGCAGCAACTGCAGCTGGCAATACAAAGAGAGCCCTGTGGAAAGCATTTTAAAGTGTGAATAGCAGGTTGTGAAGCAACATGCAAAAAGATTATAATTTCCAGCCTGTCAGCAGTATAATTTTGCTCTATAACACACATTTTGTTGAACTGACTTAATAAGCGCTGCAAATCTTAGGAATGTTAATATTCTCTCCCTCCCTTTATCTTTGTTTTGTTTCATCTGTTTTGATCATAGATTCTGGTACTGTGTTTGTTTTGTGGCTATTGTATGCAGTGACTGGAGTTCAAACACAAGAAACATTCATAACACCAAACTTTTTTTGAAATACTTTTAGTTGAGTTCTTCTGACTGCATTCTATGTCTCTAGAAACACAGTTATTTGCTCTGCACACTAAGTGCCATCTTTAGCTAAGTTTCTGTCTGCATCTCTGTGCCTTAATGTACCTTGTGGATGGCTAATGGCAAGAAGTCAAAACTAAACCCAAAGCACGAGAACATAAACTGACATATGGTCAGCTGAATTTCAGTCTGAAATTAGGAATGAGGTAGCAAACAGTTTTGTTATCAAGATCCTAAAATAAACCAAAGGGATGGCTATGTGAATCCTGCAAATTGTTTACTGCTAAATCAACCAACCTAAACCAACCAAGCTTATGATCAGAAATAAGGCTTTAGAGCTCTTCCAAAAAGGACAGATTAAGTAATATCTAAATATCTAAATGCAGTTGAGCCCTACAAGGACAGAGTCACATATTACCTGTCAATAACATCCTTTAGAGATTCTTGCTCCCGAACCAAAGTCTGGATCATTTCATGCAATGGATCACTTGGGCCTCCAGAGGCACTGGAAAGGCAACAGTTGACAAAGCCAGCCCACCTCCAACTGCTGTCCCCAGAGGAAGACACCTGGGATGGCCTCCTTTCACCAGTCAGTGAACAAATACTCAGCAAGTCACTGCCATACACTGGAGCCCTTGAACAACGGCGCTCATTGCCAGAGAATATTCTGTCCAGACGCTCCTTCAGAAGTCTGTTCTTTTCTTCATATGTTTCCTTTGCCAAGGAAGGTTGAAAAAAATATTTGCTGCTTACAACAATTCCTTAAAAATTTGAGTTTCTTTAGAATGAGGCTATCAGGATCTGTCACCTGTGTCTTATCCCACTAACATGGTCAATTCCAACAACTGCTTGAATCAACTACAAAAAGTGTAAGTTTCAGATCACATTTAAATTCAGCTATAAAAAGTCAATTTCATTTCAGATCAGTGTCTTGATTTCATTAAAGTACATTCTCATATATGAAAAAGTGTCATTGTGAAAGAAAATTATATTTCAAACACTTCACTAATTGCATTCATGTAAAAAAGTTGCAGTTTCTTACAATTTGTTCAATGTTCCCCAGTGTTTTACAGGTTGCTTTATGAAAAAGATACTCAAGCAACCTGTAAAACACTGGGGAACATTGAACAAATTGTAATACAACAAATTGTAATAAAACAAATAGAAATCTTGACAACTTTGCCCAATTGCCTTTGTGTTCCAAAGACAAAATCTGATCATCGTAATTCTGTAGTAATGTATGAATGTGTAACAGCTATAAGAATCTGTTAGCTGCTGTGGACTGCATTTTAAAAGATGGACTATAAAGGAAAATATATAAAATTTGTCAATCTAAAACACTAACAAAAGAGAGGGGTTCGTGTTTTTTTCTTTGCCTATTCTATAATGAAAGTTCCTAATTAATTCCAGTGTTCTAAATTACAAAACCTGAAAAGTTATGTTTTCATAAGAAAACAGAAGTGACATACCTGTGACTGCCCATGTATAGGTGCTGGTTTTAACACTGCTCCCATGTCACCAGATGACAAATTAGTAACTGCAGTTCTACCTGGAATACAAACTGAGGATAAACCTTGTGTTTATATATTTATTCTTCTGAAGACTGGTTTCATTTATTATTTTCAGTAAATGAAAATTTCATAGTTGCACAACCCTCTAGTCGGTGTGAAATTGCATGTACAGGCGAGTCCACACACCAATGACTAACCAAATTCAAGTTAACAAGTAGCTATTACGTTAAGAACAGACTCTAAGGAATAAGCAGAGGTGAAAGCACATTTTTAGGAGACACGAACAACCCTAAGGGAATATCCAGCATACATCCAATTTTATTACACAGCTAAACCAGCTCAGCAATTAGTTTCCAGTCATTCCAAGCAATTGATTTTGCACTTTATATCCAAAATGTAGAAAGTCAAAATAAGGTATTTTCAATATGCTTTACAACTTCCTCCAAAGCTGAAAAGTGAGAAGTTTCAACACTTGAAAACAATATTTATTATTACTTTTAACATATTTCTCTTTTTATCATCATGAGAATAGCAAGATGCATGAGATTTTGTAGAAATCTTATTTTCTGAATTATCAATTTCTGTTGTAAACTATGGTCATATTAGGAGCACCTGTAGCATTATCCAAGCTGGAGGATGGAACATTTGAGCCACAGATCTTCTAAATAATGACAGAAATCCTTTACCTCCCGACAACTGGGAGACTGCTGAAGATCCTCTCTTTTTTTGTGATGCCTAGTGTTCACAGTCTCAAAATATGAGCTCAGAGGGCACATTAGGACGTCAAATAGAAGCAATAAACAGCCTGTTTTAAGTGAATGGTTTATGTCCACAGAAATCTACAGCAGATAGCAATTCCAAGGAACAAACTCCTAGCATTGCATTTACCATCATTTAACAATCTGCTGTTACTGCCTAGACTGTTACATACTAGACTGCAATTTCTATTTTGTTGTTATTTTGATCAACACCTTGGTTATGTTTTAAAGCAAGACACTGATCACATTTGCAGCAAGGCACCAAATATCTGAGCAGACTTTACAGGGTGAAAGGGAAAAGAGTAGCTTAGGTAAACAGAAAGGTAAAGAAAATTAGAAAATCAATGTGGAGAAGTAAAGAAGTGCTAGACATTCTACATAGTACAGAACAATAATCACCCTGACCTTTCTTTGAAAATAGAAACAAAGTATTTCAAACTTGCTTCTTCCCACAAAAATCTGACCTAAGACATAATTGATAAAGAAAAATCTCTACATTTAATTCAGTTTCAAGCTCTTTTAAGTTCTGAAGAAGACTTACTAAAACTTCAGTACACACCACTCACATATCATTTGTCAGAAGGATTTCTTTCATAGTTTACCTGCTTCTGAACTCAACTGAATGAATTCTAGTCTGCAAAACTTTGGAGTACTTATTAATTTATGACATTAGTAATTCAATGTTTAGATACATTTCTTTGAGCTAGAAGGCATACCTTGCTGTGTCACTGCTGTGGAAGTTGGCACCCCAGCTTGATGCTGGTTTCCTAAAGCATTCAGAGCATTCTGAACAGTTCCAGCTTGGGAAACTGTCTGCATGACAACAGGACCCTGAGGTCTCAAATACTGCTGACCCGGTGCTGAAACTATCTGAAGAACACTTCCTGCAATGAAGGATTTTTAAAAACATTAGACTGGAGAGTGTAAAAGGACCAATAAAGTTCTGTACCAAAAGATACTGCTGTTACAAACTACTTCAAGTTATGCGATAAATGTGTGTGGGGGGAATTTAACATCTATTTAAAATTCCATAATCTCTACCAGGAGAGATCATCATTGTCTCCTGCCAGAGATTATTAATGAAGTCCTTATAGTTACACAGGAGTTTAATATATCATTCTGGATCTAGCTAGTTTATATGGAATTTGGATGAAACCTTCACTCAGGGTTTCCTCTATTTTTTAGCCACAGCAAAAGATTTCTAGGTTCTCCTGAATATGGTGACCCATGCCACCAAGAGGGTAAACATGAGAACAAAAGTGTAAGTAGGGCATTCAGATCAGGGTAACAATCATACACAAGAGTTATTTACACCACTTCAGAACAACTGAAGAACGTCCTCAGTTTTGTCTGTTTCTGCCACCCATTGTGTAGCTTATCTGAAATAATCTCACCTTACTTTAGCTGTATTGCATGTGTGTGAAAACAAATTCAATAATAAAACCTTCAAATATAATATTGTAAAGGAGCATAACCATGTCTTTCACATTTAATCTTCAAAACAGAGCTAGCTTCTAATTCCTATGTCTCATAGGGGAGACAAGGACAATAAACGTAGTAAGGGCAAAGATCTTAAGGTACAGCCAGAAGGGATGTGCTGTCCACATCAAAATGGAGCATTCTAAATAAAGAAAACTCACTGTTTTGGAATAGGTACCTTGTAACTGCAAAGGCTGCCCTGCAGTGAGCTGACGAAGTTGACTATGTGACAAAGTAAACTTGTTGCCTTGGAACTGCAGTGTTACAGGGGTCTCTGGCTGAGCAATTCTGCCTTGTGCTCCTGCTATGGAAGCCAGCTGCGCTATTTTTACTACCTCACCACCTGTCAAGGAGGGAAACAAGCATTAAGAAAAACAAAGTGGGAGGAGAGCCGTTCAACACTCACAATTTTAAGCTTTGGTTAGTACACTGGTGCCAAAGCACCTTCCATGCATAATTATACTCAGTGCATCAAAAGTGTCATATAGAAGTTAAGCAGGTATTGCTTTCTGTATTTGTTGGACAAACTGGAAAAAAGCTGATTGTTTAAAAGCTAAGAACATCAACATTTTAGAAGCTATCACTTCCATTAGCAAAGATGTGAGAGCGACCTGAAAACTCATGTGACACTTTGAACAGGACAAGTATAGACATTGAAGTGATTTCCACTGCCTTTTCAAGAGCGTAAAGGAAGAGACAAAAACTTGCTATGCTTGTAGCAATATAAATACACATTAAAAATAATCTGAAATTTGCTGATGAAACCTAATTCATATTTACAAGCAATCTGCACTAGACAAACCAAAAAGCTTTAAAATGATGAGGACCAAGCTTTTTGTGTTTTAAATGCAGAATGGTTGGAGGCATGTAAGCATTAAGTTTTATGATCTCGAGAAAAGACCGTTGTGAGATTTTAGCTTTTGTAAAGGCAGCGCGTTACCCCAGAGATAAAATTAATACATCAGTGCTCTACTCTACACACATGCTAATAGGCAGTGCACATCCAACCTTAAGCAAAGCCTCATTGCTTTTCTCTGCCTAACAGTTGCGACGCTCCTCTCTGCGAGAGGCCTTTAGCAGATGGATTAGTGTTTAATACGAAAGGAACAATTAGGATAGAGCTAAAACGTTTGGTCTGAAGGAAATCTTGCCAGCAGAAGAAACATGCAGAAATAGGAGATTAAGTTGACACCGCTAATGTATGTCCACAGCAATTCTATTGTTTCTTATCCAATTTTCGATTTTCCTTGGTCAAAAGCAACATACTGAGCAAGGCTAATCAGAAGAGTGAAAAAAAACAATGATTTCTGTACACATTTTAGGGTGCCTAATAACTTAACCTCGTTGTAGTAAAAAGGTGGGAGAAACCTCGAAAGGGGAGGCCACTTACTAGGCAACCGTGCCTGGGCCTGGGAGGTGAGGACCAGCCTCTGAGGCAGCACACTCTGTTGGATGGTGTGCGGGGGGGGCTGTGGCTGGGCCTGGCCCAGCTGGGAGGCCTGTGCTGCGGTCTGGCCCCGCTGTTTCACAGGATGGGCTGTGCTAGTTGCTGTGGTGAAGGTCGCTGCGGGCTGGTGTCTTGGAGCACTGGTGGAAGCCTGAGTTGTCTGAAACTGTGCTGCTGCAGCTGCAATCAATAAGGTTTGTTTGTGCAAGCTGTTAGAGGTTAACTCCACTGCTTTAAACAACCTGCATTGAAAAGAAACCTTCCAACAGGATATTAAAACAGCTACAGGAACGGCTTTTCCTTACAGACTGGGATTTCTAGCCATGCCTCCATCCTACTTTTACAACATCATTTATTCAGTAAGCATTGTTTAAAGGTTAAATAAATACACAAAAGCACTGTAAACTTCCACATTTGACAGAATGTTACACGTGATCAGGTTTTAAATACCACTACACCGTATTTACTCCACGCACTATCAGTTAGGTTACACAAAGCTTAGTTTTGCATTACACTGACAGATCATATCATAGAAAACTAGTGGGGAAGTTTACTGGCAATTAGTTCGTTGGTATTTTTAAGCCATTAGTATTCTAGACCATTAAGCTAGAGGAAAGAGTTCTATTACCAGGCTGACTGGTACCAGTATTTAGAAGTTTATGTGATTAACAAAGCCCTAAAACTCTCTTACCTTGATTTGAGGACACTGTAGCTATGGGTGACCTTCCCCGTACTTGTCCCTGCTGAGTTACTGTTGCTGTGGTCACCGTGCGTTGTACCTGAGTGCTTGGAAAAACTACAGTTCTGCCCTCTGGTTTCTGCCCATACTGAACTGGTTGGAACAACCTGAAAAGAAGATGAGAAGTCAAAGGCCACAGGAAGATCATACTGCAGCTCTTAAAAAATAAGTTCTGTCACTGGGGAAAGCATTTACTGATCCTAGAGTTAATTATCACTTGCTCACAAAGGTGAAGCTGGCAAGACTCAATACTTCAGCAGACTTCAGTTATGGAAATCCCATAAACTCAGTTTGCAAAATATAAGAAACAAAACAACCTTTCTTGCCATGCATCCAGTTAGATGCAAGAAGTTAGCAGAATTACAGCAAACAAGTTCAACGCTCCAGCTCCAAATCTAGAAAAAGAATGGAGCCCTTGTATCACTTTCAGAGTGATGCCAACATGTCATCAGGCCTTTTCATCAGAAAAACATTTCCACATAACTTGGAGATCACTATTTCTGTGAGAGAAATACTCTTAAAAAATGTTACTGATAAAATTTATGTCTCTTATAACTGCAAGCATAGCTAACACTGTAAGCACAGCTAATAGTCTCAAAGAAAGATTTCCCAATTGAGTCATCAAACAATGCTTCTTGTCAGATAAGAACCTCAAGAATAAAATCCATACACTGGTCATGTAAAAACTTCAGGAAATTGATAAACAAACTTCAAATAGAGTCGTATTTGAATGATAATATTTAAATGGATTTCCTACTTCCAAGGGTAAACAATAAAAAAATACAAAAATACAAAGCAAAGCCTGAGGCTTTATGTGAATCACATGACTAGATATGTAGACATAAACACAGCAACAGATCTACATCTTGCTCCTTGTAATTCTAGCTACAAGGAAGACGTGCACATACCTGCTTGGTTTGAGCTTCACTGGGTTAGGCCTAGCTGGTGGTGGAGGAGAGCTGTAAATTTCTTCAATTAACTTTCTAGTAACCTTTTGTTTTGGCAACATTTGTGCTTCATAGTGAGTCATTTTGTTTTCCATTCCAATGAGATCAAAAAGAGAGAGGTCTGATTCCTAAGGATATTGTAAAAGTAGATGTATTATTTTACATGTTGGCACTAAGTTAATTACTGTGTTCTATCCTGAAATAATTTTCTACATTTTACTTTTTGATATGAAATAATAACTTTAAACTTAAAGAATTTGTTTATTAGTCAAAACTGCCTGAAAACATGAGACCAAACAGCAGATGCCAACACAGTGAGGCAGTGAGTGTGCATTTCAGCCATGGCTACAGCAACGTGAAAGACAAGCCATGCTGATCTGCTAACAGTGGTGAAAATAGTGTTTTGCAGCTGAGAATTTGCTCTACCAGTGTTATTGTACTCTCTATACTGTTGTGGTTTCCATGGAAATTAATAGGAGGCTTTAGTTCCAGAGTGACCTATATAAATACTGGTATTTTTCAAGGACACTCGAAGAGAAAAAGAGTTAACTATTCCACTCACCTTCCAAATATCCCTTTCTAGGGCACTCAGTACAAGAGATGCAGTTCTATATTCCAGCGTTTCTGATACATATGAAGTACTTGAAAGCCGGGGGTTTATCAGATCTGGGTGATTACAGATCCTTTGCAGCTGCATCAGGACATGCAGGACACTGATGAAATGTCCACTTTTGAGGGCCTCTTGAGTTCTACCGAGTAAGATATGAAGAAATACATCAATTCCAGCACAGCTTTTATAAAGACATAAAAAGATGACCATAAATCAGAAGAGAATGTGCAACGCAGTATGTTATTCAAAATCCTTAGCACAACCTTAGACTTTAAGTGTTTCTAAAGCATTTAAAATAGCACTACAATAAATATCAATTTGGAAACATTATGTTTAGGGATCAGTGCTACCTATCAGCTACAACTTTATATCCCTATCCTCAAAATTCCTTTGTTTTGTGTCTGTACGACCCCTTTACCCGATAATAACCACAAGTAACTGAGGGTAAAGGCAGATACATTTTGGGCTTTAGATAATACGGAGCCACACATTTGAGAAAAATCTAAAAAGAGAGGCAAAACTGATCAATTACTATTTGAATTTTAAGTCCCGGATGTAAAAGCAGGCATTTTTCATTAGGCCCATAGCAACACTGAGCCGTCATTTTAGCTTACAACAAAATCACATTCTAATCCACTGTCACACAGAAAAAGCATTCTATTGGTCATTCAAAAAAATAATTCCAGCCATGACTTCCTAACTATATCATCTTGCTTAAGCACCAAAAATGACAGCATTTTTAATTCCATTTTAACTCCTTACCCTGGTTGTAATATGACATCTTCGTACATCGCTTTTTGTCGACTAGAAAGACGACACTTTAGTACATGTTCATATTTCTTTGTTAGCTGCTTTTCAACATCTCTCTTTGATCTTCGCAAAATAAAGGGCTGAATCATCTGAAATATTTCAGAATTGAACTAAGAACTTCTCGCTTCAAAGACAGTTTTACAACAAGAAGCTAAACTCATTTTACACCCAATATATTTTACATGACAAACCTCATAAGCCACAAACTGAAAGTACACTGTTGTACAAACATTACTCTCTGATTTCTGCACATTATGCTTCAAAACCTGAGCCTTATGTTTTTAACACAAACGTCCACTCTTTCACGGTAGCAGAAAATCCTGCTTACAGCCAGACTTTCTTCTGTCTGAACTGACCAATGTAATGAGAAAGGCCAAAAACCAAAAACCTAAACCTTATCTTTTCCTTTCTTCCTTATTTTCACAATGGCTTTTAATACAACTACTGTACAAGGACAGATTAAAAAAATGACAACATACCCTGTGTAACCTGATGACCAGTTTATGGCAATAATCCTGGTTCTCTTCGTTAGGTGCTTTTACTGGAAAATCTAGATAAGGTCTGGAAATTCCTGGAATCAAGAAGTGCACCATGGTCCACAACTCCATCAGTGTGTTATGCAAAGGAGTGTCTATCAGAAGCAAACGATGCTGGCTGTGAATAGTAAAAGAACATTTTTAAGCAATATAGTGTCATTATAAAAATGAGACCAGTGTTCAAATACTGTAGCTTTACGTCTGCCTGAAATAAGCAGTGCTAATTACATTCAATGTAGGATAATTTATCTTCTAAACTTGAATATACCATCAAACCAGCTTTCTCACTGCAGAATACCAGAACATACAAGAGAACCTGTTTTGAAGCACGGATTATGAGCAAAGAGGAGTGCTATTGTTACAGCAGAGACCACTACGGGATCCTGAGCATTTCTCTGTATTCACACTGTTTCAAGCATGGATACCTCTACAGCCAAGTACTGCTAAAGGGCATGGGAATCAGACAGACCACAGTACTCTTAGAGCTTTCTTTTGAACAGTAAACTCATGAGATGTTAAGAAAGGAAAAACCCACTGCCAGCACAAAAATAATGCTCCACTCCATACCTGCGCAGACTGAAAAGCGCTTCCCAGTGTTTCTCAGTCATGTTCTTAATTTGTTGCATCTCATCTACTATTAAATATTTCCATCGCATTTTCATAAATGCGGGGTGGCCTTTGAACAGCTGCTTGTAGGAAGTGATACACACATTAAAGCTGTTGGGTTCTGACCATTCCTACAGAAGGGGAAAGAAATGACAAGACAAAAGTTGAGACAGAATGCTCTGGTGTCTTACATCCTGCTACATCTTCACTATACTCTGACCCAAAGAATTCTAAAAGAAAGCCTTACACTACAGTCAGTTCAGAAAGCAGATTAAGTCTGAATGTGTTCATCAATACCAAGGGAGTTACAAAGATGCTTTACAGATCTAGAAGCATTAGATGCAAGTCCTCTTGTAAAGCAACTTGTAGCCCTAAAAACTTTTCATACCCCATCAAGGTGGAAGGAGCACACAGACAAATACAGGTTAAAAGTCATCTAAAATGAAAAATGTAACAGTGTAAGAATTGCAAAATACAATACCTGTCTCTTTGCCCTTAGTTCTCTTTGGCTGCCAAAGTATAGAAGAATCTTCAACCCTGGGCACCAGCGTTTCAGCTCCAGCTCCCATTTCAGTATGTTACAGCTCCGTACAACAACAAGATGAGGACCCCAGTTACCTACAGTTTAAAAACAGGAAGAAACTCCTGATCATTTATGTTGACTTGTTTTCAACCCTGATTTTTAAAATGAAGCATTACTAAATTCATCATTAAAAGTGAGATTCAACAACAGACAAAATTAAGTAACTAAACTATTTGTTATCTCCAATAAAAGATACCAGTTCCACAAGCTCTGTCCTACTTGTGTTCTTAGGCTACAATTGACAAAGATAGTGCTGGCCCAGTACCTATCCAAAATTGTAAGATTTAGATAATGTAAATTAACATACCTTCATTACAAGCCAAGTGTGCAAAAAAGGCAATAATTTGCACTGTTTTTCCAAGCCCAGCCTCATCTGCCAAAATGCCATTGAGATTTTTTCTATACAGTTTTGCTAACCAATCCAGCCCAATCTTCTGATATTCTCTGAGAGGCCCATATAATAGGGATGGAGTATTGTATTTCACCTGTAGTGAGAATGAATTGTTACTTCTAGTTAAATTCACAGAGCACATAACAAAACATGTTCATTCTGCGGTTCAATAAATAGGAAACATTTACTGTTAGTTGTGGCTAAAATCTGCTAAATCACACAGAAGGCATTCTTTATGTAAAACACACACAGTAGCAGGAAATAGGGAGTTTTACCGCTGTTGTTATCCTAGAGCTGCCTTTAGGTAACAGCACTTCTGCTGCTGCAGCAACTTCTGATATGTCTCGCATGTGCTTCTTTGGAGGGCTTGATCTGTCTATACTCTTGTACTGGTCAATGCTGAGAAGCGAGTCTATGAGGACAACTTCCTTCTGAGGACTTTCCCTATCAGACATATGGTCATCCATTTCTATGAAAGATAAATGACATTGGCATTGAAAATAAAGTTAAGAATCAGTAATTGAGCTGGCTACCACTCAGATAGGGGTCTAAAAAGAAACCATTAGAAGATCACAAAATAGAATCCTAGAATCATTAAGGTTGGAAAAGACCTCCAAAATAATCTAATCCAACTGTCCACCTACTTCCAATATTGCCCACTAAACCACATCCCTAAAAACAACATCTACATGTTTCCGGAACACCTCCAGGGATTCCACTACTACCAGGAGCAGCCTCCTCCAGTGTCTGACCACTCTTTTAGAGACAAAGTTTTTTCCTAATGGCCAATGCAAACCTTGTCTAGCACAACTTGAGGCCATTTCTGCTTTTCATCTGTTCCCTGGGAGAAGAGCTGAGTACAGGGAGATGATCACAAGCTAAAATGAAAATAATTTAAGCTTGGGAACACAGCATTTTCTAGATGTTCACCATTCGGTAGGTGAACAGGACCATTAGCTTTTTTCAAATTCTATAAAGGACTTTTCATAATACCTAAAACCTATCTTTAAATATTTCATTTTATCACCACTTCAGTGTAGAACAGATGGCAACTGTGTAATAATAGCTGTTATTATGTGTGCTGTTTTATTCAGTGTGGAGAGGTTCCTTTATTGCCCACTGTTGTTTCTGAGAGCCTCACACGCAACTCAAGCTGGCAAATTTTATTCCCTTTTCATAAACTGAGTAATGAAAAAAAAAAGAAATTCTTTACAGACCATTATCTAAAAATATTCAGTAAGAACAGGAATAAATCTAACAACCTTCCTAAATGTTTAGTCAGAAATTACTGCATTTTGCATTCATTTTTATAGAGAACATTGCTCATCACTTAAAAAATAAAAATAATTACAGATACGATTCACTCAATATTTGTTTTCCCTTGTCATTCAACAAAGATCCTGGGAGTCATTCAAATTGCTTCACTTGTTAAGCATTTTGAATTTCATTTTCTCTGAGATAAAAAGTAATTACCTTCTTCACTGCTGTCTTCTTCACTGTCAGGTTTAGGCTGAGGCCAGTGAAAACTTTCAGAAAAGGCACCTTCATACATCTTTAGCAAATCATCCAGAGGCAATTCAGCTGCAAGTCATTAACACATGTAAGTTTATAAATACCAAAGCTTTTAATAAATGATATCATTATTTTTAATCTCACGACATTCTTCACTTGTTTAAAACCAGTCCTCTAATCAGAAGTTAATTGAAGAGGTAATTACTACTTGGAGGATGGCAGTATTTATTTAATGACACAGATTACAGAGAACACTTGGCATTACACCAAATAGTTTGCTCAACCAGCTTGCTTTTTACTACATTACAACCCAAGATCCAAACTGACAGTAAGCTACTGATTGGAAAGGGAGATGCAACAAATCAAAGGAGTTGAAAGACAGTTGAAGACTTCAGAGCTTCAAAACTGAACTGTACCTCAGCCTTGCTGACCAGAATTTCTATGATCCCTTTTTTTGATTTGTCGAGGTAGGAAGGTACATGCTGTTAAAGGCCAATCAATCAAGAAACATTCTAATTAGGAACTTGGCTGACCAGCCAAGAGTTATAATCCCTCCAACTGGCCAGCTGGCTGCAGACACTAAGCTGCCAAACAGACCAAACAAATGGATTTGGAAACTGCATACTAATTGCCAAGCAGGCCTAGTTTAATGGGCAGCTTGCCTCTGAAAATCAGCAAGGTTTTCACCACAAGAACTGAAGTGATCCCTACGGGACACTTGCACACACCAAGCTCTGTACAGCAGCTATTGTTAAGTTGCTAAAGAAAGCAAACTGCCAGCCCAAACATTGCGTCTCAAAGCTCCTTACCTTTCAAGTACTTATACCCTCCAAGACCAGCCCTTCTGCATCATTTCAGACTTACCAGGTGTATCACAAAACCCCTCTGAGATGCTCAAGACAGCTAATGACAAATTGTTTATATTCAGTCTGATACACTTCTGTTTCTCAATATTTAATGTAACATGTAACTAAAACTTAGGCTGAGAGTCTTTTGGTGTGAAAGAAAAGCAATGCTTTGACAGAGACTTTTTTCTCAAGTGACCTTGCTTGTTAACTAGTTAAGGACTCAAACTCCCTCCTCAAGTACACCTGCCCAACATCATCCCATAAACTAACCTTATTTACAAATACAATAACTACACCATGTTCTCACCTGTTGTCATAGATCTTTCCAAAGAGAAGAGTAAAGCTACACACTTACCTTCCTTAACCAGATTTGACAATTCAGTTTGATGGTTTATATTTCCTTCTTTAGCTTCTTGTTCTTCAATTGTTTCTTCTTCATCTTCAACTAAAATCAAAACAAATACTAACTGCAGCATTCAAATTACATTACAATTTGGAAAGTTTATAACTATGCATCCTTCAAGCATACTAACAGAATATCACATTAGCAGGCTTCAAACAAAACAAGATGTGTAGATGGAAAACAAAATCTGGAAGTAGTATGCCCAGAAGTTAAAAAGTTTACAAGAAAAAGAGAGAAGTGTTACTGCCTTGAGACAAGGCAGAACAGCTTAGCATTGACTGACAGTGGACCCAAGAGGTAGGTTATTTTGTAGCTTTAAACTGGGGATTTTCCTTGTCAGAAACATGACACAGATACCTCCACAAGAAAGTCACTGAAGTAGACAGTTATTCAGTCTGAAAGTTTCAACAGAAGTTTAAGACTGCTAGTAAGGTTTGAGAAACAAAGGAATGAGGAGAAGCAGAATTATGATCTAGCAGCAAAGACAGTACTTTGTTTCCAGGGAAAAATTTATTTCCAAGTTTTCAAAATGAAACTCTTTCCACAGTTGACTATTTGATCTAAGTGGATCAGGGTTGCTATTTGTTTTGTGAAAAGCATCCAGTCCATGCAGTAACAGACCCCAACACCAGTGGCTTCAAGGTTTTAACATATAACTTATATACTATACTATAGACACAAAACTTCGAAAAGTGACATACCTTCCTCATCAGTCAAAGATGTGCTTGCCTTTCTTTTCCTCCCAGATGATGAACTCTAGTGTTCAATAAACAAAATATTTAAGATCATAGAGAAAACAAAGCTGGGAATTTTTTTTTTTTTTTTTTGTATTTTTAATGAATGCAAGTGCCTTGCAATGGCAGCAACAATCAGTAATAGACATTTAACATATATTAACACTTTCCTGGTCACACAAAAACAGAACAAAACTGAAAATGCCTTTGCAGTACCTGTGTCAAAAGCAATTACTTTCTCCCCGGTGTTTGTTGCCAAACTCTCATTTTTATATTAAGAACAAAGGTGTTTTTTTTTTTTTTTTTTTTACAGTGCACATCAAACCCTGTAATTCCATGTAAAACATGTACACTTTCAGTAAGCTCAAAAGTAAAAATTCCCTTTGGTGTTGATACATATCCATCTGCTTTACTCAGTGATCTACTAGTTACTCTCAGTCTGACCACCACCTGCAAAAGCACACTGCAAAAACAAATGACCACCTCAGGTTCAGAGACCATTAACAGCTCTCAGCCATACATTTTCACCTGGCCCACTTACACAGATGCAGACATTCTGCCCCTGTACTGAAGACAGCCTGCAATTAGCTATTTCAAATGTTTGTGGCCCAGCTGTGGCACAAAGTAGCAGAAGACTTTCTCTTAAAAGCAGTACTGAGGCACAAAGCTATCATGATTGGAATCAAAGACTCAAGTATTTGCTAGTCAGTAGAAAAAAGATAACATGCAGACTTTCATGCTGGTCTGCAATCATTCAACCTCAAGTGTCCAGCATACACCACAGCATGGCTCAGCCTGTGCAAAACAGCAGCCACAGACAGAGTTGGGCATACAGTTTAGCTGAAGCACAGGCTAAAGCTTGTTCCCAACAGAAAATGCAGATGCAAGCATTCTGCTTAGAAACAGTGAAGCATTTCTGCAAGTAGGCATCATCTGTGTCATACCACATGGCTCAGAGCCACAGAACAATCCCTTGCCTATTCTTCTCCTCTCCCTCTCCCCACTCATACAGATGGACTCAAGGAGCCTGCTCTGCTCATGAAGAAGTGAAATTGCTTCTGAAGTCTTCTTGATAACACCAGGCAAAGCATTGGCAGGTAGGCCAGTCATACACAGAAAGCTCAGCTGAACTCACCCAACTGGTGAAGGGGCCCTCTGGCTGTACAGCACTCCGTCTCAAGAAGCAGCCCAAGTCCAAGAGCTGTGCTTTCTCCAGTGGCTGTCCCTTCTATGAGCTCAGGGTGGCTCCACCCCTTCAAACAACTTGCCTGTTCTCCCTGGGCCAGCCATACCCCTTCACCAGGTGCTCAATCAGCAGTTCTGATTGAGCACCTGGTCAAGCCCTGACCTAAGCGCTCCCTTATGGAGTCCCAGTACACATTTCATCTAGGGCTAAAGATATTTCAGTTTTGTTTGGTTTAATCCACTCTGTAACATATATCTACCTATATCAGCAGATAAACTAGTAGGCTGAAGAACAAATACACACTTTCATGTCTCACAGAGTTTACCCCTGGCTACAGCAGAAGAAATTCCTGCCCAAAACAAAGTATAGCAATCAGTGTATTTTTATGGTCTTAAAATCTTACAAGGACTGATTCAAAGCCACTGAATAAATACGAATACTTCCTTTAACAGACACATATCAGCCACAATCCAATATTTTCAAATGACAGTAACCTGCTTGTCAGCACTTCATACTCAGGGAAGATGCTTCACGCTTATCAAAACTGGCTGTCATACAGGCAGTGACATTTAAACTCTTTATTTTTAAAGAGACAGAAGGACTTACCATTTCACTTTCTTTTTCCAATAAAAGATCTTCTGAAGATTTTGCATCCTTACCTGAAAAATTATTACTCTTGATGTAAGTGAGTAACAGTTTCAAACTAAAGAACATAGAGTTAGATTACACAGCAGGAAGAAATTCTTTATCATGAGAGTGGTAAGGCTGTGGAACAAGTTGCTGAGAGAAGTTGTGGATGCCCCATCCCTTAAAGGGTCCAAGGCCAGGCTGGATGGGGCTTTGGGCAACCTGCTCTAATGGGAGGCATTACTGCCTGGGGCAGAGGTTGGAACTAGATGAGCTTTAAGATCCTTTCCAACCCAAACCACTTTATGATTCTATTAGTCATTTAGCCATTTTACTTTTCTTACATTAACTTCTAAAAGTATTCAACAGAAAACAGAATTCGTACTAACAAAATCAAATAGAAAAATTTACCATAGCTTACAGCTCAGATCTGAACATGATTATTAGCACTGCACAATTCTATTACCAGCAAGACGAAAACCCACTGAATGAAATTACATGAAACAGCAGCAGAATTTATACCGAATTTCTTACAAAAAGAAACACAATTACCTTTTCTTGAAATTCTCTTTAAATTCAAAGCTTTTTTCCTTTTCTCTTGAAATTCAATTTGCAGTTTTATCTCAACAACCTAAAAGGTAAATAAAGTCTAATAAAATGCTTCACTTTTATAAATATGTAACTGAAGACTAAAAAAAAAAACAGTGTAACCCACTGACATACCAATAAGTATTTTACCTGCTCAATGTTAGACCAAAAGTATTCTATTTCTCTGGCAATTGATGCAGCAATTCGCCTTAGTTTGTTTTGTTCTTCCCTTTTAGCTCGCTCTTCGTTAAGTTTCTTCTCCTCATGATAACGGGCCACAGTTCTTACCATCTGCAATGCCATGAATACTGAATTAGCTTATTCATCATTGTATTTCTTAAGTTTATGTTAGTAGTAGGCAGATGTTGACAACAGTTTTAAAGTGTTAGCACTTCACTCTGTTATCACTAATTCTTACCATATCAATAAAATAGTAGACATCAAAAGCTAATGAAAAAGGAAAATACAAGAAGGAATTCCAAATTCACTCCTTTTACTCAATACAGGAATTAGAAACATAAGAATCAGCAAATAAGTCATAGAAATCACACCAGAAAATGTCAAGAGACCGAAGTAAAAAGAGTTCAGAAAGTACAAACATGAATGACAAGTCAGTGGCTGCTAAATGCTGATCCAAATGGAGGTCCCTAACATGCTAACTTCCAGAACTCTGAAGCACATTGCCAAGGAAAGGATGATTTCATATCTGCCCCGTGTGTTTCTTTGACAAAGACTGCATGCTTGTTTTAAGCAAGCAGATTTTACATATTTCATCACTCTAATTTTCATCCCACTGCTAAATGGATTATACTGCTGCGTTACCCTCTTCCCCTACAGAAACAGTTCTGTAACTGCTGCTCCAGTACTCCACATTTTCTCCTACACCTTTTCCTTAGATGAAGAGAGAATTAAAAGGACAAACACACCCAATGGAAGTTATTTACAAAATTCCACATTTCTATTCACCAAGAAGGAACAATAGGTATGTGAAATAGGCACAACAGCCGTAACATTTAAATATGACAAAGTTACCATGTTTACTGAGTCCTCTCAATAAGTCATTTACAGAGGAACAAAGCCCACAAAAGACAAAACTATTATGTGCATTTGTAGCCAATAAAATTTTCAAGTCCATGTCAAATGTCAGAAACACAAAGCTGACAACATGGCTTCTCATTTAAGTGAAAATCAGTGTTCTACATTCTCATCACTTACAGCCATAGAGGAAAATAGAAAAACAATGACCACATCCAAACAGCTTTGCAATAAAGCTGAACGATGCCAAGATCAACTGCTCTGATTCAAAACCGTAAGTATCTCAAGTACCTTCTTAGCAGTTGCCATCTTCCACTTTCTCTCTTGGGCAAAATCAGTCGCCATCCATTGCATTTCTTCCAGCAAATAATCCCAGTGAGATTTGGGTCTTGGAGCCTCTTGGAGTTTAGGCAATCGCCTCAGGGACCATAAGCCTTCTTTCCTTAATTCTGCTATTCGCTGATGGATTTGATTTTCCTTAAAAAGAATACACTTAAAATAGCCAAATACAAAAATAACAGCTCACACTCAATCAATATACATCGACAGCAAAAAAAAAAAAAAAAAAGTGTAACAGCACGAAACAAAACTCATGTCTGAACACCACACTAATGGAAACAATCTTAAACTAAATTCAACCTACGCAAAAAAGTTCTTTAACCTTTACTAGAAGAGGTACTTCATTAAACAGCAGGATAAAAAAGCTCACCAGAAAGTCCAATAAACAATTTATGAGACAAGTAAGCTGCAATGGAATCACCCATTTTTTAATAAATTGAAAATGCAGCTATATTTACCTACAGTGAAACACAAGAGAAAAATATATCTTCATTGTTAATACAACTTGATTTTGTGGCGAAAAATGAAAACTGAAAAAAAACCAACCAAGTTCTCTGTGATGTCAAATTTAACACACTGCCTGTATTAACTGTTATGTTATGTATGTGTTAACTGTTCACAGGTTTTTGGAAAAAAAAAAAACAATACTTACCAGCTTGACTTGCTCAGCAAGCTTGTCTTGAGAATTGTCCTGTGGCAATACTGCTGCATTCTGAGCTGGACTTTGTGTTTTAGGTGCTGCTGCCACCGCTAAGCCTGGAGGTTTTGATGCAATAGGAGATAGGGACTTGTTAGTTGCAGGAGAGGTCCTGTTTGTTTGTACTGGATACGTAGAAGGCGGTGCTGTGCCTGCGATAGCTGCTGGTGCAACGGATGAGGTAGGCGGTAGTATATTTGCTGTAAGACGCTGAGAAGTCTGAACAGGATCTGCAGATGGTCGTGTCAGAGTCACAGCCTGCCCAAGAAACGCATCTGTTAGTGATGAGTTTGGTATTCATCACTCTCTTAGTCTACATTTCAGCAAAACGTAATGAAGACTTTAATTCTGTAACAAAAAAACCTCACACCTGCACTTGTATAAGGAAAGACTTCTTGTTTGCAGGCTACCTGTAGATGCATTAATTTTAAAATACCTGTATTTCGCACATATTTTCAAGGAGACAGCGTTCTTACATCGTACTGAGCACAAATGCAGATTTATTCTCACCTCAACGACATCCACATACCTGTTGCTGTATTGTAGCTTGCGGCTGCGACACTTGGTTTGGTGTCTGTCCTTGTACATGGATTGCTGGTGGCACCTGCTGCTGAAGCGGAGCTGGAAGCGGAGCAGAAGTCAGGGGGACGCTTTGGGGCTGGATCTTCACCTGAATCTGGGGCTGAGACGGAGATTCCACTATCTGTGGCTGCTGCTGCGAAATCTGCAGTGCAGCTGGAAGAGACGTCATGGGGACATTCACAGGTTGCAGCCTCCCAGGCAGCTGCGGCGGCGGCGTATGCAGACTTGCGGCGTTCTGCACAGGAGGGCCTTTGGAAGGGTCGTACTGCTGTTGGCTCTGTTTCTGTCCAGTCAGCTGCACCGTTTGAGGAGTGGGAGGCATTCCACCTACAAAGCAAAAGGAAACAACCCAGATTAAATTAGAGGGTCCAGTGCTCTTTACTCATATAAAGAGGAAACCAACTGCAAATAGACTAATTTGTTACTTACTTTGCCACAAGACATCATCACTTGAAAATACCACATCACAATCACAAAATAAATCACTATTACAATAAACAATGAAACATTTCATGCACAGGATCGCAACTAAAATTTGGAGCACGGTAACTATAAAAAAATTATTAGATGTCTTCTGAATGTCCTCTACTTAAAGGAGAAAAAAAAAAAAGAAAAAGGACTGGTGAGCAAATGGAAATTTAACCTAAAATAACTGTATTTAATCTAAATAAAACTTAGTTCTTAGCACATTGACTCTATTGCTTAGTCTGAAGTTTGGCACAAATAATGAATAAATTTTTTTCTTGAAAGTTGCAAATTAGAGGTGGTTTTTCTTTTCACAAACCATTGGCTCAGGTCCAGAATTCTCAAATTAAATGTTTTGCATCAGCATCTGTGACGTATTTCCATGCCCACATGCACTTCTGGAGCCCGTCACTCAGCTCCTTAAACAAACCAGGCATTGCATACCAAGTATTAATTTACAAGGAGAGGTAGGTGGTGGGGCCAGGATCTTGGAAGGCCGGGAGCCCAAGTTTCTAGTCCCATCACTAACGTCTCCTTGTTAAATTAATGTGCAACTGGCATGTGGTGACACAGTACCTTGTGCCGTTGGCATTAGCTGTTGAAGCGGAACTCCTGAAGCCACACCCGGATGCTGAAAAACCATCCCATGACGGCCCACTTCAATTCGTGGTCTCTTAGACGAATCTGTGATATTCAAATTCCATTTATGGCATGGTACAATGGAATGGGTTGTTTTACAAAGCAATCTACTACACATGATTCCAACACTAGCTCAGAAAGCTATGACTACTGTACATGTGTAGCATTTATGAAGAAGATGCTCCAAGGGCAGGGCCCCTTTAACTTCCAGTTGGCCGTCTCCAATCTTCTTAGCCAGAACAAGCAACCTAACAGCACCTCCATGCTTGCCAGATCCAGTCCTATGTATTGTGAGCAGAGTGTGCTTTAAACGCAGCACCATTCACAACAAATAGTCCTAAGGACCTGGGAAAAATTGTGTTTCAAGAATCACTGAACAGTGGGCTCCGTTAACTGTTTGGAAAAAAAAGTAATAAAGAAAATGAACTGAACATCTTCCTGAGAAACATACCTGCTGGTGCCAGTGCCTGCTGTCTCTTAAAAGCCTCCATTTCTATGGTGTTCACAGTCCCTGTTACTGGAGTCCCTGTATGCGATTGCTATTGGGAAAAAAGAAAACAAATCACGAAAGTTCAATCTGTAGATAGTCTGGCACCAAGATGTTAATTTACAAATGGATCTAAAGAGACCATCACAGAACAAAGCCTTCAGAACAGTAGTACAATGAAGAAAGCAAGGCTGGTTCAATATCTGCCAGACGGTTTCAGATGCCCACGTTGCACTGATAGTCTTTGATCAGTTCAAATTTCAAAATTGCAACTGAACAGAAGAAGGTGGTTACACACAGTACACATTTACAGTTTAGTTTCATTTTTAATAAATGGATGTTTTCATTAATGTATCATCCTTTCTTTATCATTGGCACAAGGCTGCAATGAAATTAGAACAACATTCATATAGCTTTAGAGCTGCAATAAAAGGTTGACAAGAGAAATTAAAGACTGTGTCTTCATTATAGGATTAATTAGAAGGGAAAGTAGATGAGGAAAAAGAATTTATGCAGAAACTGTCATAATTAAGACAATACAAATATCAGAGAGCCAATGCATTTGTGAAAGCTAATCTTTTTCACTGAAAACATCATAAACTAATTAATTCTCATCCTGAAGATAGTTTTAAGCTTAAATGGGTCTCCACCACTGTCACCCTTAGGATAGAGCTCCACAAGCTTTAGACTTGAAGCATTTCAGGAATAATGGCTAAGAATAAAAGATGGAATAAAAGAATCTCAGCCAATCTGCCAATTTCAATTCCAGTTTTCCAGCCACTAGACTTGTATTTGTTGGCAAAATGACACTCATTAAGTAATATTATGAGGAGAAACACAATATTGCTGTAACTCTAATGTCACCTCAGAGCATGTCAGAAAATGCCAGACATTTTGTTGGAGCATAAATATCACGCAGCTATGAATTAGCACTACAAATTGAGAAGCACTGCTGGTATCAAGATGGTTTTGATTCAGCAAGTTGCAGCTTAGCTTCAGCAAGATTATGCAGTGCATGAAAACTTTATTTTCACGTTACTACAGTTAATACTGACAAAGATGGAAGATAATATATCCTGGAGAATTCATTCAGTGTCAGACCCAAACAGCAGACACTCATGCAGGATTTACCAAAACAAACTTGGGCTATAGGGTGATTTCCATGCTTCTTGGGCTCTCAGCTGCATGGCAAGTTATTAATGCTACCAGTGTTTGTAGGAGTCCAGCTCTGTTCAGTGCATTTCTGAACCTTATTTTCAAATTCTCCTCAATTTTTGCCATGCTAAGTTCAATATTCTTCTATGAAACTTACCATGAGAAAAATAAGGGCTATCCAAAGAAAGGGTTTCACAGATTCTGTCAGAAAATAAAAAAGCAGCCTTTCTGTATTGTAACCTCTACACCCTAGAAAATGAGCTAATCTAAGCCTCCTCCAGTTCTCTACACACAATTTGCAGTGAGAACCTCTACCACATCTATCTACAGTAACTATTGCAAAGAAATATTATGACAACATAGCAAAGACAGAAATCTCCCAGAAGGATCTTCTAGTTTACTCACAGTTCTTTTTTTCACTACTTTTTAAATAGAAATTCTGCCAATGTAAGTTAAGGCTAAGGAAATAAACACCAGTCTATAGTGAAATCAACTATTGCAGCCAGCACCCTTTATCCCCACTGCCTCACTGAACAGTATCAATAATCAGACCATGGCCACCCAGAATGGCTGGGTTTCAAACAGTGCTTTCTGAGGTCTGTACATCTCATAGCACTTAGATTCTGTCAACAACTGGGAACTAATAACTTCCGATCTCCTTGCTGCTGTGAGGACATTTGTGGCTGCTGACACACACTTAGATGGGAATTTTGGTTTTAAAAACATCTGACTTGCACCCACACCCAGTGCTCACAGCTCACTGCCATATCACACTCAGCATGGACCAAGTTTTCAAGCGTTTATCACAAGGCAAACACGCAACACATTTCAAGTTCCTTGGCCAATGTCTGGCAGAGCATAAGATGCATAAACATTTGGAGAACTATTCAAAATAAGTCACAGAAATGTATTTTATACAATGCTCCTGAATTAATTAACAAATCCTCCTAATGTGCTGCTGGAAATCAATGCTTTCTGAAGCACTAATGGGAGGAGATACGTTCTGCAAACTGCTCCAAATGCTGCTTTGTCTAATCCGCACTCTTACTCTGGATGAGCATACTCTGCCATTTTCAGGATGCACATCTACCTCAAGATTTTTCATTGGCATTTTCTGAAGTGCGTGCCTCCAGCTGTCTGCATCATCACCACCTAATTCAGGCCAGGCACTTCAAAGAGCAAAGAATTACGTCTTTACAAATTGCAGTCACATACCACTTACGTTAGACTAAAACTGTCCTAAGTTTAATTAAAATAACATAGTTCTCCAGAGGTCATGATTATGCAGCACGCTCAGTAATCATTCCAAGTGCTGCACTTACACACCCAATTTGAATGATGCTGATCAGGACAGATTATTACTCTGTAAACAGTTACAAAGACAAAGCCTGATGGGAAGAGCTGCTAACAGTTGGGGCTGAAGGGTATTATCACATCCACTCAGTTTTATACAATGCGAGCACATACTCCAGAACACCTCTGAAATGCTCTAATGCTTCTAGAAATACTTCTTTGTTGGTGTAGCCAGAGCCCAGATGTAAACTAACCACTGCCTCAGTAACCTGGTACAGTGTGACATACTTTGAACAGCCTAGACGAAGCCTGTGCACCTAAGGAGACTTCATGAACGTGTCAGCGTGGACCATAACAACGAGCTGTCAGTGAGAGCTGTCACTGTGCAATTCACTGCTGAAATGACACTGAGAACACAGTCTGCTTGTAATACATGAGTTGTCATCCACCCTACACAGCATTTAACTCTCCTTGTCCCAAATCCAGGATGAAGACAGTGCAGTCCATACAGCTTGTGAGGCACAGGAAAGTAACTCATCATGGGACATCTTTAAGTGTGGGCAATTCATCTAAAAGGTAAACATTGCGGTTGCAGGGGAACCAGGGTATGGCTATGAGACTTCTCAGTCTGGGAACACAGAGCTGAGGGCAGCTGCATAAGCACACAGCTGCTCCACTTTGAAGTTTCTACCATCACTGATACACAAAAAAAAAAAAAAATCCTATTAGATTTTGACAGAATCTCCGTTTTGTTCAGGGTTCCTTCGTGTTAAAAGAAAAAAGATCTAAATAATGAAGTTAAACACTTCAGTTTCTTCTTTCCAACATCTATGTCAGAGCTAATGGAAAGGAGTTAGTTATTTAAAAAATAGCATTAGAGGGTTATCAGCATTATTTGAAACATTTCATAGAAGGTATCACCAACACCTTCTCTAGTCATACTCAAAACCCTTAATACATAAAGAAAAAAAAAGAAAAAGAAATTTAGAAGAAATCCACAATTACAATGCCACAGACAAAAGAATCCATATTATCACTATGCAGAATGCACAAATGAAACAAATGCATTAGGGAAACAAAAGACAAACAAACCAAAGCAAAAACATTCAAGCTGAAAGTTAATGAAATAAGCCAGCAACCTGGAGACAAAGATGTAACTTCCTCAGAGCTTCATTAATATTGATGCATTTGAAGATTGCAAAGTGTTTTTGGTTTTGTTTAGATGATAAGGGATGGGCTCTAGGGAAAATTCTAATTCATCTAAGAAATATCAAATCTGAATGAAGAAAAAAAATCTGGGATGAAACTACATTTTAGAACCATTGAAAAGTACCTGAAATGGTTGCTGCTGGGATGAAAAAGCAGCAGAAACATTTGGAGGAAGCTGGGTTGCTATAGCGACAGGAGTACCAGTCTGCCCATCCTTTCCTGTCACAACCTTTACCTGAGAGAAATATTTTGGAAAAAAAAAAGAAGGGAGAATCATTTTCTTTTTAAAAGTTTTTTTCTTCTTTGTTGCTTTGTTGTTTGTTGTTGTTTTTTATTGGCTGCCCAGCACACCAGCAGGGCGGACAGCCCCTCACTGAAGAGGGGCTGACAGCCAGGCAGCCAGCAGCGTGGCTTGGGATGAGCTCTGCCTCATTGCAAAGAGCACAGCCGGTCTTGACTATCTACAGCAGCTTCCCACCGCTGCAAACCTTCTGTAAATCCAGTTTACATAAAACTGGATTTAAACGTGGTTTAAATTTCATGACTGCTGCTCCTAACAGACAACAAATCAGCATGACAGACAGTTTGAACTGAAGAGAGCTCCAACATTTATTCAAGCGATGAGCACAGCCACCATTCGCTCTGCCTGGAGCCGCCAGCGATCGCCCTTCCAGGCAAGGAATGAAGCGCTTTGCTTGAGCAGGAAGTGATAAAGAAAGGGGAGGGGGAAATAAAAGAGGAGACAAAAAAAAGAATACAAAGAACATACTCAAAAGAAGTCTTACTCTCTCAAAAGGATTCGCCGTTTGAAAACACACAGACTTTTGCCATTGCAGACTGCAAAATTCTGCAGTGTTAAACTGACAAACGGCCGTCACAAACAAAAGAGGGTCTGAACAGCACAGAGGGATGAAGCCTCAACTGATGTAAATTGTAGCAGTGCCACTGATTTCAGTGACCTTGTACAATTCACAGCCACCCGATTTCCCTCAAAACTCACATACTGTAGTTGAAGAACAAGAACACCCAAAAAACTGGACAAAATGCAAACCAAGTGAAAAGTCACTGGATTCCACTGTCAATAGCTTTGAGGTTATTGAATACAGAAAGAAATTGTTTCCTAGGCAAGAAACTTAACTACAAAACAATGAACAAATTAAACTTTCTCTATGATAATGTTAAAGTTCTGCACAAATTCCAGCAGGAGATGCAATCACATATAAAAGCACCAACGTCCCCTGAATACTCTGATTTCTAATAGATATTTCAAAGCAATACAAATTTCTTTATATAACTGGGTTTGTTTCATTTTTTTTACAAACTGGCATATCTATGTTCATATTTACTTCAGCAAATTTTTGACAGTATTTATTCGCACAGTGCCATCAGTTACAGCAACTGTTGCAGCCACTTGTCATGTAATTGGCCAGACAGGCATTGCTCCAGCACCCAAAGGCACCCTGTGCTGCAGTCAGGATCCACACAGGTAGGTGTAAACATGCAGGTAAAGTTGTACTGCAAAGAGGGCAACTCTTAGCAGCAAGCTTATTGCAAGTCATTTGCCAGTAGTAAACAGTGCATCCAAATTCTTTAGTTATTTTAAATCTTTGCATAAAATAACTAAGTTAATGTCCAAGTACAAGTTGGGTTTTATCATTCAGACTGCACTGCATGCACAAAGCTCTAAGACAGCCTAAATAAATTAATTTATTACTATGGACCCATGCACATTATAATTAGATTACTTAAGAGTTTTTCGCTGACCACAGCAACACTAAGCTTCAGGAATGTCTATGCTTAGAAGTAACAAGAACCAAATAAAGAGATTTTCTGCTTACTCTTTTTTGGTTTATGTAAGTCTAGAACATGAAATTTAATCTACGATGCATTCATTCTGAAAGCTTAGAACAGCTTCCATAGTAAAGCCACCTATATTTGTGTGCAGGCTTACATACTAACTAGGACAGCGAAAGTTGCTTTCAGCTCTCTGTACTTTGCTTTTGCAGCTGATGGCATGCTCAAACCATCACACCAGCAAGCAGAATGGCATCCTCTCAAACCAACCATTTTAAAAAACTGCCATACTTCATCAATAAAAACCAAGTTTTCAGGTACCATCACACTAGCTAATGCTTTACAATTCAGGTGCCACAACTTCACCTGCTATTTTAATCCAAAATATTAACAGATCCTACCTCATCATTGATGACCTCAGATTGTTCTTCCTCTTCTTCTTCCTCTAGATCCAAGTCATTTTGCCTCAGGTAGGCTTGCAGGGGAACACAATGTTTCTTCTTAAAAGCTAAAAAGTCCATCATATTCCCTTGAAGATGTTGCAGGAAAAACAGTTCAATCAAGCATTCCTTAAAAGTTTCCTTAAGGATTTCCATTTGCTTGTGGTGGTGATCCAAACACTGCTTTCTCATTTGGGCAGTCTCTTGGTTGGCAGGAGGTATCTCCTCCAGTTTTTTGGGTTGTTTTTTCACTGCCGTATTAACCGTAGGTGTAAGAGGAAGACTTGACAGCCCCTGTGGCACCGTGGCCCGCGAAGGACTTGTGGGAGGCGGTGGCGATGTCATTCCAAACGCACCAGGCCCTCCAACTCCGGCTATTAAACCCCCAGAAGCCCTGTCGTAGCCAATGGGTCTGCTCAGCTGCTGTCCTTGAAGCACTTGCTGCTGCTGTTGCATAAGTTGCCCTTGGATAATATTGCTGATCTGGGGTGGCAAGCTCGTTGTCGTAATGTGGCCCGGGCTAGTCAAGGATTGCATGTTTGCCCCGCTAGCTACAGGACTTTGAGGACCAAGATGATGAATGGTGCCACCGGACTGTGAATGAGGTTGTGAAAGTCGGCGCTCCCTTACCGTAGCAGGTGTCCCAGAAGATGGAAGTTGCACCTGCGTTGCAGCTCCTTGAGCAATCTGTGCAATTCCCGGCCCTTCCTGATACACAAAGTGCCCACCATTCGAAGGACTCAAGCTGATTTGCCTCACAAGCACGCTGGCATCCACAAACCCTCTGGTAGGGCTCTGGCTGCACATACCCAAGCCGGGGCCTGGAGTACCTGCCCGAACGTTCGGTAACGTCTGTACTGGCACAGGGCTGGGCTGCGTGGGGCTCTGAGACTGAACCTGTTGGGGCAGCGGTGACGTGACCTGGATATACGATGGGGATCCATGCTCAAACCGCCTCTGCTGAGGGCTGAACTGAAAACTGGGCGATGTCGGGTTTGGAATTGGCAGCGGTGTCAGTGTGATCTGCTGGTTTCCCGAAGCCACCGGTCCGACGTTCTGCAGCGTGATGTTCACATTCTGACCAGCCACTGGGCTTCTACTCATTATAAATTGCTGAATTTGATAACTGGGGGACTGGGGTGCAGATGGACTTGCAGAAGGTGCAAAAGAAGCTGCAGGAGACTGGGGCAGATTTGCTTGTTGCTCTTCTCCCTCACTGCCCGTGAAGGACCTGGACCTCTGGAGCTGGCGCTGGGCATTCTGAGGACCATTACCATGGTGCATTCTCAATAGTATATGGTGATTTCTTTTTACAGAATACGCTGAAGAAATACATAGAAACAGAAATTCAGGTAAGGCAAATATCGTTTGTAACTGAAACTCTTCAGTAACTACATGAAAGAACATGTTTTCAGTAAGAATTCATTTACCCCATCCTTGCAGTTATACATCTTCAGTCAGAACATGTGAAATCTATACTGACACAAACTCACTTCAATCTCTCATATGTTTCTCTAACTTCTCTAGTTGTTCTAACTAACAAAGTACTCTCGAATAGTTTGGAAATTATACATTCCTCCAAGCTAGCTAAACTGACCTTAAATAATAAAAAGTATATATTTTTTTATTTTCTTTGTAGCTTCAAGAATGAACGGCTTCCATTATCCCACGGACCTGCTCTTCTACATTTGTTATTCTTAGCACATCACTGTTATCACTGTTCACAACATTCAGTACTACCTTCTTCAGAATGCAGTACACTTGGAACATAAAGCAGGTTCAGTCAATGCTAACTACAAAGACGTCAACTGTGGACATACACTGTGTGACTACTGTTGGTGCTCTTGAAGAAAAAATGTGTTGTGAAAAATCTCCCCATCAAATAAACTCGAAGTTTGATAAAGCAGAGTGCCTGGTACCTTCCTCTGCCTTCCCCTTCCTTCAGAAAACCAACCCCATAACGGGATGAAAGCAAACGCAAACAGCATTTCATTTAAAGTGCTACTTATTGAGCCGATGTACCCAGACACCCAAAAATGCTTTGATTTTCAATTGCAACCATTGACCAAAACAAAACTCCGCTGACAGCACCGAGAGCTGGCGCGGCGCTGGGACTCGTGCAGCTGCCCGAGGAAAGGAAAGCAGCTCTCAGCGCAAACAGCCGCCGCGCGCTGCCTTCCCCGAGCCCGGCCACGGTGCAGCCCCGCACGGCAGCACGGCACTCGGCACGGCACCCTGCAAGGCAGCACCGCACTGGGCACAGCACTCTGCACGGCAGCTCGGCTCCCCGCACGGCGCCGTCCGGCTCCTCGCGCCGCCTCCACCCGAAGGCTGCACAGCGCGAGCGGCACCGCGACTCTTTCATAACTCCGACATCGAGCAATTAAGATCCAAACGATACCGCCCGTCGCCAGTAACAAGGCCCTATTATTTTGATTATTACACCTCGGTCACACACTCGCGGCCGAACGAAAGCGCCCAATTAACTACGCGCTGATAGGAAGCGCGCTGCCAGGAGCGAGGAGCGCCTTTTGTGTGCGGAACCGGGGCGGGCCGGGTGCCGCGGGCCGGGTAGCGCTCGGTGCGGTCCTCCCCCCCACAGGCCGCGGCCCGTCCCGGCCGCCCCGCCCCGCGCGGAAGGCCCGTTCCTCCGCGGCCGCCCCCGCCGTCGGGACCGGACCGCCGAGCCTCGGGCCCTAGGCCCGCGGGACCGGAGGAAGGGGGGGAGGAGGGAGGAAGGCTGCCCGGCCGTTTTCCGAGCCCGGCGGGCCTCACTTACCGAGGGCGCCGGGGCCGGACTTTCCATTCGCTCCTCGGAGGAAGCGGGGGCGGGGGGGCGGCCGGAGCGGCAGCCGCTACCAGCGCCGGCAGGAGACAAACCGCGCCTCCTGCGCCGCGCTCCGCTCACTGCGCATGCGCCGCCGCCGGAGGGCGGTCCGGGCCTGCGCCAATGTTCGCGCATGCGCGGTGTGGGATCGCGGGAGCTGCGGTGATGGCCGGGCGAGGAGCGGTGCGGCCGGGCAGAAGTACGTGATGTCGGCCGCCGCAGTAACAGCTGTGCTGGTGGAACTGGTGCCAGAGCGGCGCCGCAGGGCAGGGCTGGGCTCCTGCGTTCTCCTCACAAACATCTGGAGTTAAATGTTAGAGAAATAGCGGCTACAGAGCTATAGCTGAGGAGAGTTTAGAAAGAAGGAGTGACGGTGGTTCCTCTGTGTATCTCGAAGGTGTCCGTATCTGGGGCCTCCTGGAGGCTGGGCAGACATTTGGAGACCATAAACTTTCTTTCCTCTGTTGTTGCTCACTGCAGAATTTCATTTTCCTTCAGGGAAAAAATTAAAAATGCACAATACAGAACCAAGAGATGCTGTAAGAAGTACGACATGAACAACAAATAGCAATGAAAAACAATAGGAACAAACAAACGGTCCTTGGAGATGTTGAGATCGATGAGAAGTTCATTGAGAAGTCGCACAGAATTGAGAAATGGCAGATGGACAAAATTCCCTGAAAAGGTCACACAAAGGCTCGTATCTTGCCTAAAAAGCCTGGGTGCATTTAGCACACAGCACTGTTATTACCACATGTAAGCATTCTGCAGCTTCTGGTAAGCACAAGCACAAATTCCCACTGTGATCTTTCTCCCTCTAACCTAAATATGTTGCATAAAGCGTTAAAATAATTGATTCTGTTTAATTAAATCTCCTTCTAGACCGCCATTAGGAAAACAAATTCTGCTTCCCAAGAGGATCTCCCTCGTTCCTTCTCATTCCTTTTCTTCCTTGAAGAGAAATTTATACAGCATTTCTGCATCTCCAAAGGCACAGGAAAGCTGCAGCTGCTACAAGGCATTCTGAACGTAACTGAACACAAAGTTTCGCTGTAAAGGAAGATTTATGACCAGCTGTTCCGTACAGCAGCTATCTGAGGCAGATTACCAGTGCCTGGTAACACTGTTCTCTCCTTCCTGCTCAGGCTGGGGGAAGAAATGCCATCATCTGCAGCCTCAGTGCAACACAGGCCGCCTCTGTGCCCAGCCGTGGAGCTCCTCTGTGCTTAGAAAGCTTGCACTCATTGCTGCCCGATTCTTACAATTACACAAGACCTCACTAAAGCAATTACCTTTAATTACAACACTAAAAAACTTGCATTTGAGTGAGCTTTACCACAAAGCGTTAAAACATGGAATAGGCACGTCAGTGTTATTTTACAGCCTCTGGCATTTTTTTTTTCCTCCTCCAAACTGTTATCAAAACAAACTATAACTCCTATACCCACCCTCCCGCGGCCCGAGGCGAGGATCCCCCTCAGCCGCCTCAAGGCGCTTCCCGCCTCGCACCTCCCGGCCCGGCTCGGCCGGCGCAGCGCCAGGCGGGACTGCAGCGCCCCCTGGTGGCAGCGCCCGCGGCGGCACTCCGCGCCCGACGGCCCCAACGGAGGGGGGCGGTGCGCCATCATGGCGCATGCGCGAGTACTTCAGTGCCAATGGAGGCCGTGAGCGGCCACGCTCCGGTTTCCAACTCTAGGAGCGAAGGTAGCGGGAAAGAACGGCAGCTTTCCCTCAGATCACGGCCTTCTTGCTGCAGGAGGCGCACCGAGACCAGCAAATAAAAAAAAAAATACACCTGCAAGAGTTAAGAAATAACCGTTCTTTATTTTCTCCAGAGACAATAAACAAATTCCTGATGATTTTGACTTGTGTCAGTTTTGGTGCCTTCGTTATAAGTAAAGAAAGGGATTTGTCTTAGATTGAAGGAGACGAAAAGAGCTCAGGATAAAAGGTTTAATACAGGCTATGTCAACAGTATGAGTTAGCAAAGGATGTAAAAGAAAAGCCGGGCTCAGTCCCTCCCAGAACACCCAGTCTTGCTATGATAGAACAGAGAAAGGCTTTGCAAGAAGGATAAAAAGCTCTAATAAAAACCCATATGAAACAAGGCAATCCCTTGTGAAGGACAGCTCTGGCCGAGAACAAATCCCACAAGTAACATCAGTAACCGCTGCACAGAGGAGCACAGGGCCACCTCCCCCACAAAGTTCCGTGCGGACCGTGAGTTCTGGTGCCCTCCTCATGCACATCCAGTCTGTGTCCAAGGCTGAATCAAACCAAAAAGACCACAGCCCTTACAGCCCTGGATTTGTCCCACGTGAGCTTTCACAGCAAGCTGCCACACAACCCCAGCCAGGGAAGTTTGCTGAGCACATTTACTCAACTCCCAACACTCCGAGCCTGGTTCCACCCCTTTCCAAAGGGTCCTACTGTTATGGAAAGCAAGAGAGCTGCTGCCTTTACTCTTTTCTTTTTTTTTTTTTTTTTTTTGTGCCTGTGTGCGTGTATATGTTTATTTTTGCTTTTTTCTTTTCCTTCCACCACCTTCAGAGAGAGTTGGCAACAAGAAACAGGACTCAAACCGCAGCTGGGGAAGAGAGAGGAAGAATTCCAGAGTATAGAGATTCTCAAAAGACAAAAAATAAAATCTGGTTCCCAAAGAAAGTCTTTAGGCACGTGCTTCCCATACCACTGCACATCCTCCTCTATTCTTAGCAGCTTGACAGAAATTAAGAATTCACACATACAAATCAAACGCAGGCTTGATTAAGCCCAGAGGAAGTCAGCACCATTCCTTTTACACATGCCAAGTTGATTCAACCCCAAATCCAGCAGATGGCTAGCTAGTTTCCATTTAAAGCAGAAATACTAAAACCAGCACCAATACATCTAGCAAGTCACCCCAGGGAACACAGAAACTTTCACGGTGGCACACTTTGAATTGCAATCCTGGCAATTAACATACATGTTTCTCCGTGCATCTAAAGGACAGCTCTGTGAAACAGCACCTCAGGCAGTGGATGCCTAACTGCATAGTAGGTTGGATCTACATTTTAAAGCCCTCCCAGGCATGAGGTCCGCAACAGGAGGAGGACACCTTTCAAATAAAAGGCATTGTCTTAAAGTACATGGTTCAAGCCACGTTACAAAATTAAGATCTCTCACTGAGCAAGGAATCACTTCTTTGAGACCTGCAAGCCTTGAGAAAACAAAAAGGTTGATTCAATAACAAAAATCTGTAGCAGTTAGCATGATAATGAATTTCTGTCCCATGCATGTTATTTCATGAGAAAGCCACGAGTGACAAAAAATAAAAGCTTAACAGGATGATTAGAGATTAGAGTAATTAAAGGTGAAAAAAATGAGAAAAAAAAGTTCATGGAGTCATAACTTCATAAAAATAATCCAAAAAAAGTGTATTAAAATGTTTTGTCTCATCTTTATGTAGAGATTACACAGATTTAAAATACTATGTCCAGGTAAATGTGTAATAAAAACATTATTCAAATAGTGATTAAGACAACTTGCGTTACAAGAATCCTTTAGAAAGCTGTTTTCTCATCACACTATTTTCAAGTATACCAGTCAGGTGTATCAGTCAGTGGCACAGCCTCTCTTAGTCTTCTTCCTGCTGTTTTGTTTTTTGTTTTTTGTTTTTTTTTTTTTTGTTTTTTTTTTTTGCCCCACTCATTTTCTCCTGGGCATCTTGTTCTGTAAGTACGTAATCCCCTGCTTTACTGGATTCTCAGATCAGGAAGGCCACTTTTCTGTAGACAGAGCTGTGAGCAGTATGGGTACCAGGTCCAACCACGCATGGACTCAGTCAGAATCACCGTCACAACCATCACTGCATTCAACATCACTGTTCTGGAAAGTAAAATGGAAAATGGTTTGTCAGTATTTCATTTATGTGACATTGAATTTAAACATCTCCATGAGGATGAGTAAATGGGGCAAGATCCCAACTTCATGGCTTAGATCCATCTAACGCAACCAACTTCTGTGATGGTAGATGACACTTTTGATAGAAGAAAATGTTGTACACTGGACTAAACTCAGCAAGAGAAGAACTTGTCTCTGTTTGTAGCTGCATGAATATGACCTGTACAATGTGAGACATTTCGGGTATCTTGCTTGTGCTTTTCAACATGGCTGTATGCTTTGTATGTTAAACTCTTCCTCATACTCAAAAATGGCAGACAGAATTAAACCTGATGTTCTTCAGAGCACGACCATTATCTACATAAAATAAAGCTAACTTTAATGGTTCTATTAAGCAAAGATGGACACTTTCTTCCGAGTTGTACTACACAGAAACTACAGCCCAGCCCATCATCCTCTTTAAGAACTGCCATCCCTCTGACCAGATTTTCATTACAAACAGAACTGTATGCTCACTTCAGGTCATCAAGCCCAATCCCCCACTGAAGCAGGGCTTGCTTCAAAAGTTCAGCTGGACTTGTTCTAATGACCCATTCTGAGCACACAGCAGATTTACTTAAGCAGCTCCTAATTTTCTCCCAATTACAAAGTTTTTCTCATGAACACAGCGTTACACAAAATGGGAATTAGACTGAAAACAAGGAAATGCACTGAGCCAATAGGAAATTGCAACCCCAAAACTAGTCTTTCAAACAGCTTCCCAAAAGCAAAAGCTGGTGCTGTTTCCACAACCTCTGTTGCTGGTGTATGATGGCAGCCAAACCTGCCTGTGTTTTACAGCATTCCTCCCTTTCCCCTTCTCAACCACCCCATGCAAAACCCCACTGAAGTAACACTTCTATCATTTGTTCCACCATCATCAAAAGCACAAAAAGTGAAGCCACAGAATACATTTTATACTCCAGATGACTGTCATCTTCCACAGTATAGGTGGAAAACAAAAATGTTCTTAAAGGAAAAGCCTTTTTAACTTAACAGCTTCCCTTAGTAAAAATAATGGCTTCAATCATTACCTTTGAATTTTTCTTGTTAGCTTCCATCTCAGCAGCAGAGGAGTTGAAGTCATGAATGGAGAGGGTGCTTAGCCAGCTCATCATGGACTTCTCCTCCCTTTCTGTGTTAATAATGGTAGGATAGATATACTGCTCTTTGAAAACAGCGATCTTCTCCTCCTCCTCCTTCCACTCCAGCGGCTCGTGCAGCCCATCATTTCCAAAACGTCTGTTGTATTTTTCAAAGTGTACTCTTTCCAAGACCAGACCAAGCCCAGGAGCTTTGGGGACATCCACTTTCTCCTCTCCCCAGCTGCGCTCTATAACAGACTCAGGAGCATAACCTTTCACAATAGCTATCACCAGTCCAATCATTTTCCTTATCTGGTGCATCATGAAGCTCTGCCCTTTCACTTTGATCACTGCAAATTCTATGTTTTCCCGCACAAAGGGCTCCCCGCAGTACATCTCCATTATGTATCTCCTGGCGCTGGGGTCCTTGGGTCCCTTCTGAGAAGTGAAGTTGTGGAAGTTGTGTGTTCCTTTATAGCAAGCAAGCAGGCTGTTGACTTTCTCAAGGGTCTCTTTGCTGAGTCGATACGCCTCTTCCTGCACATCGTGGTCTTTATGGGCAAAGGCAAACGTCGGCAGCATGTAGGCGTAGGTTCTGGCATCACATTTGTTCTTGGAGTTGAATCCCCCAGTGACTCTCTTCAGCCCTTATTTTAAAAGTGACATCAAGTTTTTGAATCAGTAAGCTACAAAACTGCTTGTGACTTCATATTCATCAGCAGATGTGTGCTTTTTAAAATAAAATGCAATCAAAAGATACAATTTATTTTATAGGACACCGATTTCATACCAGCATAAGAGCACAGATTCTTGTTAAAACTAAACCCCTTTTGAGTAAAATTACAACAAAAAGGGAGAGACTTTGCGCAGGAGAAGCTCCTCTTTGACAAGATTTTCTCTGCCCGTGCCAGTATCCTTACCCAGAATTCTGATATGAGAAGGAAGATGGTTATTGATCTTTTCTAAGATGTCATCTATTAGCCTGACCTTTAGCGACACAATCTGTCCAGCTGCAGACACACCCTACAAAAATCATAAAACACGGACAATTATGCACCTCGGAAGCTCCATGTTAGCACGTGCAGAACTGAAACAGCTGAAGAATGAATTTATTCCTTTTTTCTCACTGGTCATTTCAGGCTGAAGTGAGGCAAAGGCAGAAACCCAAATCGGAATGCTGCTGGAAGACCACGTGGTGCTGCACAGCCATCGAGCACTTCATCAATCTCACAAAGCAGAACGCTGCACTCCCCTTCAGAACACATCCCGCTATATTTGACGGCTGTTAAGCACCAGCAGTAAAGCAATGACTTGTACATAAGGTCAGCCGTGAACCCCACTTCAGACTTCACACCTTGATGTGGCGGGTTAAAAAATCAGTTTCTGAGCTCCGCATCAAGCGGGCAGCAGCAGCAGAGGAGCAGCGTCAGGCTGGGAAGCTGGAACAGGTGAATGGGAGGGAAAGGCAAACACACAGCTTAAGTACAAAGCACCAGCTTCACACGCACCATCTAACCAATACCCCACGACTTCTACGTGCTTGCTTTGTACTCAAGTTTAGCAGGGGATGAAGGGAGGAGTTTCAAATACTATTCACTGCAGATAGTATTTGCTATTGGACCTCATGCTGAACAACGCTTTGACAGCACTGGAGGGGCAGAGCCCGTCGTGTGAGCAGCCCTGTGCAATGTACCTTATCTGTCCGAGCACACCGCTGGAACGACATCTTCTTCATGTCTTCGCCGTGGTTTTCTGGGATGCAGCCGGACTGCACGAGGGCAGACACCAAATCATCTTCGATGGTCTTGAACTGTGAAGAGCCCAGATTTCTCTGAGAGAGAAGAAGAAATAAAACAAGCAGTAATTATTATACCGCTCTGAAAGACATCACTGAAAAGTTTTGTTGATTGAACATCAATGTGAAATTCTTAATCCTCCTGGCTGACAGGTGCTGCTGTTCCTACAAAGCCAACTCCTTCCTGCACAGCTCCACCAAAGCGCACTGAGAAAACACGGACATTCCGCTTCAGCCTTCGCTGTCACTGCAAGAGATGGGGCATTTCTGATCCCTCTGTGAAATGCTCCTGCAGTGGAGTTTTCTGGTAACTCATCCACCTTTGTGCACGAAGCAGAACGACGATGTACGGCTGCCGTTCCAAGCCCGTTCATTGCACCGGCTGCCCGCCCAGCCCAGCGCCCCGCCCGGCCGCTCCTCGTCCTCCCGTTCTCCTCTTCCTCCTCCTCTTCGTCCTCCTCCTCCTCCCCCCGCCCTGCACACCCCGTACCTGCATGCCGTGGTAGCCTTTCCCCGAGTACGCCATCAACAACACAATCTTCCTTTTGGGCGTCCTTTTATTCTGCTCCTCCGCATCCCCTTCACCCGCGGCTCCCTTCAGCCTCTTGCCCTGCTGCCCGTTCTCCTCCGGTCCCTCGCCGGCCCCGCTCGGCCTCTTCGCCATGGCGAGCAGCTCCTGCACGGACGGAGCAGACCGCGGGTCAGAGCGGCGGCGGAGCGGCGCAGCAGCGGTGCGGATCCCTCCCCCACCCCGCACCCTCACGCACGTTCCGCGGTCGGAACCCTCCGCTCGCGGCGCGCAGCCCCCAGCGCAGCGCCAGCATCGGCCCGGCCCCGCCGCCGCTTACGGAGCACCGCGCGTGCGGCGATACGGCGGCCGGGCGGGGGCGGCGCTGCGGCTGCGCGTCGTGCTGCGCACCCGGCAGGTCCTGCAGCGCCCGGCGGTTCGTGGCCGACGAGCCCAGACGGGGAGGATAAGGGGAAGCAGCGCAGCACGTCCCGTCCTGCACGGGCACGGTGTCGGCAGGGGGGCTGCGCCACCCGCTCCCAGCTGCGCCGTCCCAGCTGGAGGAAGGTGCCGGCCTGTAGGGCACGCACGTGGCTCATACATCAGCGCCTCGTCTGCTCCCGGACGGGGAGGTGGAGCTCTGTGATCTGCCGCCCTGCGCTGAGTCCTGCCTGACCCCGCGCCTGCAGTGCGGCCGGCCTCGGGACTCGGCAAGCGCTGGCATGGGCAAGTAGCGCTGGGGATGTCGGAGTTTTACTCAGTTAAGCGCAACAGCTGGAGTCCGGGTAGCTAAAGCAGTCCAAAGGAGAAGCAAGCCCCGCAGTCCAGTAAGGAGCGGCTGGTTTTGCCCTCAGGTTCTGTAGCGCTGTGGAAGTGATGAGCTGCCAGCAGTGCTGCCTTGGAACGCAGCCCGCAGGGCTCCCAAATGGGTTGGGAGCACATTTCTCACAGGGGGTCTGAATGCTCCCTACAAAGGAAAGGTTATTGTCCTGTTTTCATTTGGGCCTTTTTTAACAGTGTGTTTTCAGACAGGCAGATGATGAGCGAGGAGAAATTCAGTGACATCCAGAGCTGCCCCAGCAGGGCTGGGGTCTGAGGAACATTGGTTATACAAAGGTTGAGTTAAAAAGACAGGAGTTGGTAACTTTAAGTGGAATAAGTCGATGTTATCGCTGTGGTTTAAAGCACATCCGCCCAGTTCTGCTTCCTTGATGTCACCAGGCAAGGCCTGACTGCTGGCTGCCCAGGGAACAGCGCTGCTGATGTCCTTCCAGCTGCTAAATATAATGTGGGAACAAAGGCAGGCGCACTGAGAATTGCTTGGGATTGTTTTCTCCTGGAATCAGCAGCAGCAGAACGTCACTGTGAACGTGCAGAAAGCTGTGCTGTTCGCACTGTGGCTTTTAAATCATTGCGGCCTCATGGTTCAGAGCTGCTACTCTGTTCTGTTGTTCAAGTCTTCTCAGCCACAGCACTTTTCTCTCTTTGCTCTGCTGCCTGTGAGCAGTGCTGTGGGTTCAGTTTTCCCAGAGGACACTGCATGCATTAAAAGCAAAGACCCATTCAAGCAGTGTCAGCACACAGGTGTGTTAGGATGGATGCTCAGTAATCTCCATGGATGCTCCGTGGCCGCCTGCACCACTATGCAGGCTGAGCCAAACACAAACCTTACATGGCACACCCAGATACACAGATACTGAGAACAGGCTGCTAACAACTTCAAAACAATTTTATTTCTTAAATCGGTGTTGTACAATTTAAAGCCAAAAAAAAAAAAAAAAAGTCACACAAAACACAAATAAAAAACGTTGACAAAGTATCGGGCGTTACCTTATAAAGAACATCATCATACGCTCTCACAAACCTGAAGATACGGGTAATTAGGCTGAGGTTTCTTGAAATCTATTAAGACACTACACACAAACGCTGCAACAGTAACGAAGCCATGACAATAGCAAGAGGACTATGCTAGCAACTTCAACAGTGTTGGGGGTTTTTTCTTTTTTTTTTTTTTTTTGCATTCCTTGTTGTCTACAAAGCAATAAATATTTTCCATCAAAAAAGTTGGTTTCACGCTACATGCACTTAGATAAAAAATAAAAGTCACCAAAGTGATGGCAAAATAAATCACCTGTCTGATCTTTTTTCTTTTTTTTTTTTTTTCTCCTTTTTTTCCTAGTTTTTCTTTTTTTATATATTTTTTTAAATTCAAGCACAGTGGCTAAGTTTCAAGTATTGAGAGAAAACATATATACACGTTTGTGTTTGTGCGCGTACATATCTTACACACACATACACAACTGCTATGTATATACACAAACACATACATATATATATCGGTTGGAGGGCTGTAAACCACGAGTTTTTGGAGCAATATATATTCGTGTACATTGAATGTGGACAATTTCGATACATTCAAGTAATTAAGTACAGCTGGAAGGTTAGTGCTGAGCTTGCCACGTACACGGACCATGAAACCTGCGGCACAACCACGGAACCCGGGCTGCGTTCCTTGGCAGAAGCAATCAGTGCAGGCGTGGGACTGCAGAGGGCGCAGGCCAGCAGCAGGCGTGTGCACGGCAGGGCAGTCCTGGCTGAGAGCCTTCCTGCTGCGTGCGTGCCCACCTGCAGCACAGCCCTGTGCACAACCGGCCTGAGCCTTTTGGAAGCGATCTGTGTCTCTTCGGCGGTTCTGGCCACAGGCTGGGGGTCGTCTCCCGGTTGTTGTTTTCTCTGCCTTGTCTTTTTTTCCTCCAGGCACAAGCAGAAGCGGCCGCAGAAGGAAGCGGTGGGCTGCGAATGCACAATGCAGCAGAGGCCCAATACTGACTGTGTGAGCTACGTTTAAGCCTCCCTGGTTGGGGGAATCAAAAATATTTCTTAATTTCCTTCTTGGCATTTCTACTCCGCGATCAGAAATATCCACATTGCCAAAGATGACGCCAGCTCAAGCCAATTGAGTTGCTCCTGAAACCATTGTAAAGTATCAACGCTGAACATGCCAATATCGAGAGGAAAAAAAAAAAAGCAGTGAGGACTTAACCACCATGTGCAAAGTATTATTAAATCCCCTGAAACAAAGCCTGAGGTTTCGAGTTGCTTTCAAAGATCCTTTTCTGCCCAGCGCTACCAAAATACTGCCATGACTGATAAATTAAGACACACACATGCGCACGCAGACAGACGGAAGGCAGCCGGCGATCCTCTCACACATCTGCTCACAGCATCCGAAGCCTCAACCAGAACTCGAGCCACTCGCACCTGCAGTCACATTTGGCTACAGAGTCTCCTGAAAAGAAATGCTGAACATTGAACCGAACGCTACCAGATCTCTTTATAAAAAAATGAAGCAGCAAATAAAACTTTAAAAAAAAAGAAAAAAAGAAAAAGAATCCATTTCCAATTGTGTGTCGGATCTTACACCTGTTCTCGAGCTCTTAAAAAGCACGGAGCTTCATACTGACTGTCCTTGAAAGAACACTTAAATAAAAACCCAAACAAACAGAAACATCTTGGTACTGCCAGACTGCGAGTCAGCGTTGCCTGGTATGGAGGAGGAACAGCACAGACTCCGCAGTGCCTCACACTCACAAATACAGTACAGTTAAATACGTACAGTTACACACAAACCATATATATCAATATATATTCAACCTCAGGAATACATATTAATATATGCACACACGTAGTGCAATAAAACAACCAGGAAACAAGGAAAGGAATAAAAAGAACAGCATTCCTAACAGTCGTGATGTTCCTGGGTTGTTGTGTGATGCAAAGTCAACTTCTGAAAGTTCCCATAGTGTGTAAAGTGCTCCTTTGATTCACAAAGCTAGTGTTTTCAGTTCGGGGTGAGGGCTCTGGGAAGGGTCTCTAGCAACAGCTGAAAGCAGGACAGCGCTACTGCTCCCTTGTGGTAGATATGTACTGACGGGCTGAACTGACAGCCAGGAGTCTTTAATGCTGACCCCAGTGAGCTCGGGGAACAAGGGAGGAACGGATTCGTTTTGGCTTCTGAGAAAGACAGGAAGGTTACGTTTTCTGTCGCCTCCCTGCATTCCGTGCAGACTCTTTCCCTGTGCCATTTGTCCACCCGCAGACAGAGGCAGCCCACGCGACAGCCACAGAGATGTGGACATCCCAGGGACAGCTCGCTCCCAGCCTCGCTCAGTACGTCTGCAGAAGGCAGCAGCGACTTCAGCCACGCTCAGGCAAAGCGCAGCTTCCTTCCTTTCAGCTCTGTACAAACTCCAAGGCTTCAGCGTGTATGAGATGGGATGAAGGAGACAGGCGGGGAGCCTGGGGCTGTCAGGAAGCTTGAAGGTGCCTGGCTGTCAGCTGGGGTAGGGGGAAGTACACAAACTGGCCTTAATTTCTGAACGACAGCCTCTAACATTAACTGAAGCCAGCAGTTTAGGCACATCCATTGCCTGCAATGGAGACAGCACTGGAATACCCTGTTCTTAAGCAAGTGGGCAGGCAGCAGTCTTATCCTTCGAAGTGCTGGGAAGAAGCAGACTGCTATCCTTCATCCCTGCTGCCAATGAGGGAAACCTTTCCACATCAGCTTCGTCTTCGTCCAGGCCTTTGGAAAGGGAAGCATTCGTGCTTCTACAGTCACACAGCCCCACAAAAGAATCTAAGACTGTGGAACAACTTCCCAAAATGCCAGAATATAGAACATTGAGCAGTTCATCCTCCAGGTGTCCTACTGCCAGAATTGTTTCCCACCACAGCAGCAGGCCATTGGAAACAAAGTGATCAGCTGGGATGAGGTGCATGGAGAACATCACTCAAATCAGGCGCAGAACCCCGACAGCAGAGCTGACAGCCTGCGCTCAATGCACAGTTTACCTAAGAGAAGAAAAAAACAAAAACACAAGAAATCAACTTTTCCTTTTCCTGGGAATATAGAGATGACAAAACATGCAGGAGATTTCGTAAAGAAAACAAAAAAAACAACTGTATTTTAGCAAGGCTAAGCATCCTGTCTAGAACCATTACCATGTACTGATTTAGACTAGGTGAGGACAACCGCAAACATCATGCTGGGAAGGGACAGAACAAAGAGATGAATAGAGGCAAGAAGGAAAGCTGTGTGCTGTGAGTTCTGACAGTGTAATCAAACTGTTCCAAAGGACTATCATCCACCGCCAACAATTCATACAAGGCATGGTACAGCCTAGCAGTCACTGCAGATTCTCATCATCTGCACCTGACACTCTACCAAAAGCTACATGTTTGGTGGAATTCATACCTCTAATAGGAGGACTTGCTTTATTTCTGTGTTCATATCACTTTCCTTTTCAGAAAAATATCATCAAGTACCTGAGATCTAAAATTAAATGCATACACATTACAGCCTACCAGAGAACAACTCAATCAGGAATCTGGAACATTGGGTAAAACAGGGAATACCAAGATATCAACTGGGAGAAGAAATTCATTAGATGCATTAACTGCATCTCTGGACAAAAGATGTGATTTAGGTTTGCTAAGAAATGGTACAATAGAAACTACTTAGTATTCCCTATTCACTCAGCCCTCCAGTATCATATACCACCTGCCAATCTCCTTTTGCTCTCCTTCAGTGAGCCTCATGTGGACTGTTAAAGTTGGTGATAATTAACTGACTGATTGCCTGTGAGCGAGAAATCTCTCCTCTCATTACCTACCCAAGAGCTCTGTCCACAAGGACGACTGGAGCAGTCTGGCAGCACTTTGGATGCTGGCCCAAGAAATGCATTCACTAGCCAGCAGAGAGAGAGAGGCATGGCTTGCCAGCTGTGTCCTTTCCCTTCAGCTGTTCCAACACTGCAGTGCCACAGTGAACTGGTTTAGCTGTGACAGAGCAGAGCTGAGGCCAAGTCAAGCTGCTCTAATAAGCAATAGCTGTCTCCCACCCCTCTGCCTTCCTCCCGTAGAGAGAGATAACAAAGATGATTAAGCCCTGTCCAGAAGGGCAGGGAAAGTTCACTCTGAGCAAGTGAGGTCAGTCCTTTCCACTCTGCACACATTTGCTGCGGAGCCTCCCCTTAACAAAGACAGGGTGCAGAAGAGGTGACAGAGCAGCAGAGGGATCCATCTGTCTCTGGAAAAGGAAGCCAAGTGATTGCAAACAGGTAAAAGCTTAGCTTCCACAATCAATTGCTGAAAAGAAAAATACTCGTCTGCTGCCTTCTTAGCTTGGCCTGGGGAACACAGGTGAGCAGCTCCATTTATAAGAAGTGCTGGAAGGAGCCTTAGCTATGCTAACTGACCATCTCTGCCTGACAGGTGCTGCAGTTTCATGTTCCCAAGCGCTCTGTGCAATCAGATGGATGGTTCCAGATGGAAACCAAACCCAGCCCTTTGCTGCTGCCAAACCACTTCCTTCAGCAAGTTCATTCATATATCAAAAGTTCCAACAAAACCCTGGCAATTGCTCTGCAGGACAGATCTCAAAATAGGGCTCAGGGACTTGCATTTCTAACAGTCTTCCAACTGTTAAAGCTGCACGAGGCCAGGCCGTTAGGAGCTAAAACAAATCAAGAGATCTGTGCTATGACCATCAGGACAGAGCCAAAGGAAAAAAGGGATACTGGGTACTAAAATTTCCGATCCATACAGCTAGAACAACATGACATGACCTGGTGGGAAAAAAAAGTCCCTGAGCACTCACATTTATTGATGTTTTCTATGTCCCCCTGTTCAGTGATGATGTTCAGGAGCCCCTCCATCAGCAGCAGAGCCTTGTGGTATCTCTGTGCGCAGTCCTCTCTGTGGTGGAACATCTCATCCAGGGCTGCAGACTGGACCTGCAGGCAAACCCCCATGCAAAAGGTCAATTCCATACTAGATCCAGCTTTCCCAGCATGGTTCCTTAGCCTCCCTCACCCAACCTCCAGAGGCTGCACTCAGCATCATGAACAAAACCAGCTGCTAACACCACAAGTGGGAACTGTTAATGTTTGGTGCTTGTTCTGTGCTAGCCCTGTTCCCTGGCTCTATACAGTTATTACCATTTGCACAGCATAGCTGAAGATGAGCTTCTCTGCAGTGATGCTGTTGATCTGATCCATGAGTTTCTGTTTGTCCAGGAAGAACCTCTGCAGTCTCATGTTGAGGCAGTGGCAGGATGAAACACTGGATTTATATAGCTCATTGAGCTTCTTCACAACTAGAATAAAAGACAGAAAAGCATTGGGCACCAGCTCCAGTTCTTCCTGTGACTCCCAACCTCCACGCACAGGACTCCAAACAAGTAACTTCTAGGCAACCAAGTTGTACCCAAACTTAAAACTGGCAGCAAAGTACCTGCTGCACCCATGAGGTCTTTTTCCTTTCCTTTGTCCCCCTGACCAATTGTCAGCCCGCACACTGCAACACCTACGTGCCTAGCTCACCCGAGGCCAATTTTTGTTTCCTTCAGTTGCCACAAGATACAGAACAGTTTGCATGGTGCAAGATGTACCACGTGTCACCAGAAGCAACAGACATGCCAGACACAAAGCTTCTGTTACCTGATGGGTGATGACATGCTGTGAAGAAGTACGTGACTCACATGTGCTAGCTGTTGGAGCTAAGTGTGGCTCAGCAGCACTAAGCAAGGGAATCTCTCCTGGGATAATGCTGTCCCAGAATGGAAAGACACCAATGCCTGCAAAAGGTCACCTCCTTTCCTGCATCACAACAGCTAGGACAGGAAGATTACGTGGCAGATAACCAAGAGTCAAGTATGATCTAAAGGGATTGAATAACAACCCAAAACAGCATGTGAAGCTAGCTGTACTGCTACACAATGTACCAACTACAAACTCCCACCATCTGATGAGCAAGAAACTGTGACACGCATCTGAAACCTCCACACTGCACAACTTGCTCCTAGGGGGAGGTAAAGGAACCTCAGCACCCTGCTGAGGGGCAGCCAAGAAAGACTTTGTAAAAAAACATTTAATGAAAAAATAGAACACTCCCCACAACAACAAGAAAACACAAATAAGTAAAGCAACATCCTCATTTGTGGAATTCAGTCAGAGCTCTGGGCTACGCACAAATTACCAGGAAGCTGATGGCTATGGGTAGGGACTCTGCCTGTCACTCACTGCCCAAGGATGCTCCAGGACAATATCTTGTTGCACTTCGGCTTTTTCCATGCATAAGTGAAAGAAGGCAGTCAAGTACCTTGAGAACTCTCTTGCCCTCCCAGTGCCCTATAAATCTCAAGGGGATAGTATTTTGTGGGAAGGGAAATAAGAAAAGACAGCCTTATCCTGTTCCCATACACTAGATTCATAGCATAACTGTTCCTACAAGTTGCAATTTGCCCTGGAAAGGGAATAATTAATTTGTGTTATGTCAGCCCGAACCTGTCCAGATGCAAACATAAAGCTGTACAACTAACAAATAAGTGACTCCTGTATTTGCTTCCTGTGTTTTTGCTTCATTTGAAAAATCATCATAGCCAAGACGTGTCTCAATTTGCCAAGTAAGCACTTACTGGGATGTGTACTATATAATTAAGTTGGACTGACGTCAAGTACAAATAAGCACCTGAGATAGAGATGTAGAAGGAATCAGATAAGATGCATTTCCCTCTCACTAATTAGGACTGAAGATTCTCACGGGGACATGACAGGAGTTGAAGACCTGAAGCAAAGGCTGAGAGAGTAAGATTCCTCCCAGAAAATACCCTGAAAGGAAGGCCTGGCTATGTGAGCGCACAATGAGCAATAAGCCTGAGTGCACACTGCTGGGTGTTCACATCTCAACCTCCTCCCTGCCTTTGTGATACACTTTTCATACTTTCACTCCAGGCAAGTTCATTGCACCGTGTGCCCAGCAGCCCCTTACCTTGCTTGACAGTGGAGGAGAGGCACAGCTTGCCAGCCTTGATCTGCTCTATGGCTGTCTGCAGGCCTGAGGACAGAAGCTCTGCTACTTTCAGGTACAGCACGAGCTGCTCTGCATAGCTGCAAAGAAAGCATATTGCAATGCAAACCGATCACCAGGGCAGCAGTAGGTGTCCAAAGGATGTCAGGCACAAAGATACACGCGGTGGCAGGGAGGAGCAGCTCACACGGAGCTCCAGGCCCTCTGCCCAGCCCTTACCTCCACTCCCGGCTGAGCAGGCTGATCTGGTCGGCCACCACGCTCTCCTGCAGCTGGTATTCGGATGCCACTGAACCGCTCATCTCGCTGGAGTTGCCTTTCAGGGCAGCAATCTCCATCACATAGTGGACAAAGGCCAGTGTGAAGCGGAGGCTGCGCAGGATGTCGGTGTGCTCTTGCTGTTGATAGGAACACCAAGGGGGGGGGGTTACAAGGGTAGGCTGCTCACATAGAGCTGTGCCAGAGACTCATCCCAAATGAAAGAAAGAACATCTGGGCCTGAAACCTTCCTACACTTCTTCTCTGCACAAGGAAAACAAACTCAGCACCAAGCCCACACTGCACCAGTTCCTCCTCTGCATTAAAGGCAGCAAGTAACAGCCCCAAGCCAGAGATCCCATGTCAGTCCCTGCAGAAGCTGGAGAGACTTCTTCAAAATGACATGCTGCCTTCCTAAGGAGTGTTCACAGCAATTATGGACCGTCTGGAAAGTCAGGCAGAAAGGTGACAGCACCACTGGCCCAGATCCAGACCCCACCACAGCCATGCTGTACAAACTGAAACCGAGTGTGCATTTTATGAGTGACCACCCCTTACAACACAAAAACCTGCTAACAGTGTGGTCCATCCCACACCCCCAGCCCTTGCTTAGCTGTGTCTCCAGCTGCTCCTGGCCCAGCACAGGGAGCCCTGGGTGAGGTCCTCTGAAGGGACAACAAGGACAGCCTTAAACTGCAGCTCCTCCCAGCTGGTGAGGGGACAGACGCACTCTCATCAAACACTACATCCATTTCAAAGCTGCTTTCCCTCTGCTGTTATAGACCAAAGGGTATTATCCCATTTCTCAGAAGCTGTATTACTTAAATCATAGCAAGCATTTTTGGGAAATCAGTATTTGTGGAAAAACTGAACAGCTGTGTGTCCTACAAAATGAATCGCTGCCTGGATCAGATGCAACTCCACTGTGTGTACTCTGTGTAGTAAAGAAGCTAACATGCTTGACCTTCAAATATTTAGAGGAATGGCTCTCTTACAGGGGCTTGGTGAGGCTGTTTCCAACATGACCACGAGGGAATGGAAGCCAACCAGACACACAAACATAAAAAACATGCTTTATGTTTTTCATTCACCAGCTCAGGCACTTGGCTGCCGAAGGAGCTTTGGCTATCTGAAACTCGAATCTCTCCTCTGCTATCTTGCTATCTGGACAGTCCAGTAAGGCAAGGAAGTGTTATCTCTGTCTTTCTCTATTTTCTTTAAAAGCAGAGGAGGAACTCGGAGATTAAGTAGCTGCCAAGTCATACAAGAATCTCGTGGCAGAGCAGGAATCTCCTAAGATCTTGCAAACCTCAGCCTCATATCTCTAACCAACGTACAGTCCTTCCCCTTTGCTTATATGGTTAGCTTGTGTTAACTACACTGGCATTTCTGGCCTCATCAGGCATCACAATAGTCTTGCCTTCCAAAGCCATCTCCGTGTTGTACCTTTAAAGCACTGCAAAACAACAAAAACCTGCAATTTGCCTTACTTGTACTTCAGGAAACATTTTCAAACAATGAGAGAAACCACCACCTATCTAAATGCAACAGCTCTTCTCAATACAAACAGGGGCTTAAATAGCAAGACTTCATTGCCATGAAAGCATCAGCAGAAAGCAGATCTGCCAGGTTTTGGTTCTGGCTGACTCTACAGAGCTCAAAGGGGTCTCCAAAAAATGCCAAAAAGGTTCAGTGTCGGGAAAGTTTTGTGAAGTGCATGTGAATGGTGGCTGCTGCGCCCAGCAGAAATTGTGACCAAACCCAACTGACTCATTATAGACATGAGAAGCTGAACTGAATGGGATTAAGATCAGGCTGATACTTCTTTACAACCCTGAAGAGCAGTGACAGCTGGCAGGGACCCATATTTCTTGGACCTCACAAAGACAGTATGCTCAGTTAAATTCAGTACTGCTGTTATGCATCAATGTTTAAGTTATAGCCTTGTAGCTCTGCAGCTAATTGAGCAAATTAATGCAATTCAATGCATAATTGACAAAAAATTTGAGCTACAAATCTGAAGCAGAAGAGCAAACCCACACTCTACAAACAATGCATGCAGATGTCTGCAGGTATCCAAGTGGTTTTTGAAACACCAGCAAAATTCCAAAGCGAAAAGCCTTTCCCAGTCCTAGGCGGTCCAAGAAGGCATTACAAATAGAGCTGAATCCATGACTGATTCAGTCTCCCACCTCTCCTGCAAATGGGCACCCTGACCTACATTTCAACTATATCTCAGCTACAAAAGCATTTGCTCTGCTTCAGCCAGCCTTCAGCCTGCAGAGAAGGGGAGTCTGGCAGTCTTTCAGCTCAGCAATCTGGTTCAGCTGTTCTTGTGCAAAGCACGTCATATTCCCCTTCCCCCCATCAGCAACATAAGTGTCACGTTTACTTTTTACAGACCCTTTCAGCTGAGGCTGTATCACTGACTGACTCCATAAATGCATGCAGCAGGCAGGCATTTGATATACCCAAGCTACTCACTCTCTCAGGTCAGCTATTACCAACACTGAGCCTTTTAAAAAGGAAAAGAACCAAAGTTCTCTTCAGAAACTCATGATGCAGCACACACCAGGTAACTGATACTTCCAACCTGCAATTTCAGCTTTTGAAATCATGAATTTAACTCCGTTCATGGGCTGTCTCAAGGACTAAAAAGCTCAACAGCAGGCTCAAAAACCACCGCGCTAAGTATGTCCTGAATTTCCCCAGCACTGTGTAGCCCAGCTCTTCTGAAGCCAATTCACACTGTCTTCGGAAGTGACTGCCTTGGCTACAAATGTGGAGCCAGAGAACCTCTGGAGTCCCTATAGGGATACACCTACCTCCATGAGTGTCTCTTCAGGCAGCTCTGGTGCCTCGAATGTAACAGCACCTTCCAGGTTAGCGGTGATTGGATCAGCAAAAGCATACCGGAGACTCGAAGGGCCCTCCAGAGCATCCCCACCAGTTCCCACTGCCAAGTGCCTGCCAGTGAATGAGCCTCCAGAACTGAGAGAGCTGGAAGACCCCACTGAAAAAAAAAAAAAAAAAGAAAGAAATTAATTAAGATATTAATATTAGGCGAGCTATTTCTCGCCCAGCACAGGGGATGCTTGTCATTGTAGGATCCAGGATCCTGGCTCTGGTTGGAGCCAGCAACAGGTACTCTAGAGGAAGATATAAAGACTTGTGATGCAAAATAACCACACCACATGCAAGATCCTCAGTGACTCAAGAAGATCAGTTTACAAGCTCAAGCAAATGTAATGCACCTGCCTGACTGCCAGTGATTTATGGTGACAATCCCAGAAGCACCTTTTTTTCTCCCTCAAATCCCTTCTGAATCCTGCCACAATATCTTGGGCTGAATTTATCATACAGCACCATAATCAGCTTCAGACTTATCATGGATCAGCACAATTCAAACCCTGGTCCCAAAGCTTTAATTCTGTCAATGAATGAGTACCTCTGATAAGTGAGGTTTTAAACACAGTTTGGCCTCTTGCATGCAAACCAGGAGAACTTTTTGTTACATGCCCTGTTTTCCTCTCTTTACAAGTAGGAGGTTGGACAAAGCAGGTGATTTCAGCTGAACCATGACCCTAACCTCAGGATTCAGGAGTCTTTAAGTACCGTGTTCATCAATCAATTCCACCACATTGTCTTTTTCCTTTCTTAGCAGTTGAATCCACCCTGAGAGTATACTGTTCATAAAAGATGCACACTCCAGAAAGAAGCTTCTGTCTCAGGGTACTGATAACACATTCATCAATTCCAAAGGGCTTCATATCCCCAACACATTGCTGCAGAGGGATATATTCTGTCCCTCAGGGGGATGCCAATACCAGCTGTAACACTTTACTAATTCTCCTCTGACCCTCCAGAGGAATATTTTTCTCTTCTATCCACAAACTTCACCTGCTGCCCTACCCTGATTTTGAAAGGCTGAACAACACAACACACATCTCAACACACTGATCTGCAGTGATGTGCTGCGTCCTCTCCTCCCAGAGATTTCTTCCACTTGGCAGACTTCAAAGCTAAGTGGGGATCATCAAAGACTGGTAAAGTATTTCCAGATCTTTCAGAGAAAGGAAAAGACCAACAACACCACATTCTGGATAGCCTGTAATTCTGTGGTACTGTTCACAGAAGCTGTTGTGATGACACATGAAACGGCTCTGTCTTTGTATCTGTCAAGTGATCTGACTCATGGATTGTCAACACACTTGGGGTGTGGACTTCTAGCTTGCAAAGCTCCCTTTTTCACCATCTATTTTTATGCATCAGCTATAACACAAGGAGCTATTGCAAAGATCTAATAAACAAAGCTTGTCAAGGCAGCATTGCTTTGACTGCCTTTATCCAAAGCTGTGGATGTGCTGTAGGCTCGCTATTCAATAGTCTTCTCTACTAGGAATTCCAGCTGAAATTTTAACTGCTCAGCAGACCCTTACACATCCAACTATCACCCCACCAAAGTGGCACTTGGATCTACTTCCAAATGGCTATTATTCCTTCAAAAGCAATGCAAGAAGACTGAATTCTCTATTCACAGCATTTCAGTGGCAGCTAGAGGCGCTAGCCAGGATAGTAGCCCCATTGTGCTACAGGACAGTCAGTCACTTTGTATGAGAGTCCCTGCCCTACAGAGCTTACACTCTAAATAAATGAGACAAAGGAAGGATTATAGAACCAACTTCCAGACAAGGATCTGAGTGGTTTTAGTTATGATGGAAATCCAAGCCATATCCAGAAACTGAGCCCATACGTCTCCCTAGTCTGAGTCAAGCAGCTTATTCATAGTTGCATCCAAACCTTCCCTGCAGTAATTAAGAACAACAGCTTCGACTACATTCAGATGAGGAATGGCCAGGACAAGAACTCAAACCAGCCAAAAATGCAGATAGAAGTATCCAAATATTTTCTTGATTACAGATTCCAGCTCCCAGACACATGGCCCCAAAATGGACAATCACTGCAGCCTCAGCTGTTGGCTGATGATGCCAGAGTGCTGGCACCTTAAAGGATCTGTCAATCAGGACTGCACTTCCCCATTTCCTACTTAAGTAATTCACAGCATAAGTAACACCACTTGTACTTTTGCATACAGAGCCCTTTCATGATGGTACTTGTGCACTGAAACTGCTTTGCATGAATGGTCACGCTTGCCTTTTATAACTTATCTGAAACCTATGAGGAAAACCATCTGAATACAGAGCAATCTTTATCTCTGTTAACCTATCAACAGCAATGGATCTATGAACAGCTGCAGCATTATTCCTGAAGCAAATAGAAATGAAGCAAAAGGACAGTTTGCTTCCCTCTTCCAGTCTTGGAAACTCTTATAAGACATTAGTCCTTGTGCCAGCATGAAGAGTTATGAGCAGTAACTGGGGTTGGCAAGGGCCAGTATGAGAACCTTAAAGGCATTTAAACCACAGAGCTCTCTCTGAACAGCCTGCTTCCACCACCAGTATGCAGCAGTGAGGAATACAGCACGTCGCTCTGTCTCCAGATATTGGAACAGGCAGATATCAGCCCTTTACCTGAAAACATCCTGGTCCTCGTGGTCTGTGGGGGAGTTGTTCCACTGGGAGGGGATCCAACAGTAAAAATCACTGGGGATGGGCTGGCAGAGCCCCCTGCCCGGGCACCAGAGTGCAGTGTCCCTCCGTAAGCACCTGAGGGAGCTGGGGAGACAGTTGAAAGGTGCAGACTGACATAACAGGAAAGTTACTCCGAGCACGGTGTGCCTCACCCAGCGGTGTTATGTCCCTGCAGACTCTCTCAGGAGATGGTGGCTACCAGCACAGACCAGCACTCCCTTTGGAAGCATCCCACAGCCAGGCAGGCTGGCACGGACAGCAGGACGTGAGCCTGGGCAGCGTTACACGGTGCTGCAGCTGTTCTTCCCTCCTCACTTCCCAACCTGCACGCGCAGGAAGACCCACCCTTGCAGAGTCATTCATAGTCAAACTGCCTGGCAGAAAGTCCCCACTTCCACACGATATCTCATTCAGAAGGGGCCAAGAGAGGAAGCCCTGCCTACGAAATCACACTGCTAGCCAGCAATTACACAGCACGCATAAAGCCACAAGCCTTCGAGCGCTCACAAAAGAAAGAAAGCATCACAACACTCCTCACACACAGCAGTCATTTCCTACAGCAAAAGTCATCAGAAAAGAAGCCTCCTTTTCATAGGAAGCATGCAGGCAAACACTTTCCCCCAACACAAGCCCATCCTGTCAAATCTGCCCATTCTCCCCACTTACCTGCAACTTCCATTGGCTTCTCACTGTTCAGGCTGTCATTGCTTCCAGCTTCTGAGATCTGTGCCCCAAAGGCTGCCTTGAGAAGTAGGTCAGTAAGCCTGCCTGTGCTTAGAGATCTAAAAGGAGAACATACAAGATGACCCATCAGTTCATGGGTTTCAGTTAGTTTGTGCCATTGCTGGTTCACAAACACTACACAGCAAATAGTCCAGAACTGAAATAACCACTAGCCCCATTCCTCTTTCAACAGAGTATCTGAAGCACCTCCTGTTACCTGCAGAAACCTTATGATTACTACGACTTGCAGTATGCAAGTACAGAGTACAGCATTACTGTAGTACAGTTTTTCTTTGATGGAAGATACGGAAATTAATACAAGAAATATGCAAAAAGGCAGGTAAGAAAAACTTAATGCTACCACCTAAGCAACCCTGTATCCTGCAACATCCACAACAGTCAGTACCTGGCTTTCAAACAGATCTTTGAAGACCTGTGCCCACTGTTTGATAGACAAGGAACACACACCTCTCACTTATGACAGGCGCACGCTTCAAAAAGAATAAAGCATACATTTGCATAATTGCAGGGAGTCTGCTCTAATAACCAGATCCTTGATCCCCACTTGACAGAACCTTGGGCAGTAACAGTGTAAAGCTGCAAGCAATCTTTCATGTCAAAATCTAGGCCATGGCCTGCCCCTGTAGAGAAAAGTCTTTAAAAAAATCTGCGTAACATCTGCTTGCAACCCAGTGGTGCTAGGAGATGACTGCAGAATGCTTGCAGATACATGATGATTGAAATAGCTGACATTTGAGATCTGCCCTATCCATCCCATGTTAGGGAAAGAAAAAACACTGTGTACAAAGCAGACTACAGCTCACCTGCCCTTGATCTCCTCTACAGGCCTCAACCCCAAGCCAGTCTGCTGGCAGTGGAAGTGACCCATCTCCTTCAGATCTGGCAGGGTCTTGTTCCGTGTTGGAGTCATCATGACCCCCTGATGGGCCAAGAGAGTGAGAAGGTTCTGGGAACTTGGAGTTTTGGGAAACTCAAAAGGGGACACAGCCTAGGAGAAAGAGAGCACAAAGAGAACTGTTTTAAAAACATCCTTCATTTATTTATCAAAATTAAATTATACACATAAAAGCATGTCTGAAATGAAGAGGTAGAAATCCCAGCCCACATAGTTACTTGTTCCCTGTCTCAGAAATGCTAAAATGAAAGGACAACAAACTGCTGAAAATTCACTGCAGCTTAATAAAAGCACAGAGAAAATGCTGTCCCAGCTCCAGCTTCACATCAGATGCTAGGGCTGCCACCCACCCAACAGCCTGCTGTCTCTGCTGGGATTTCTACTGCACGCACATTTGTGTCAAAAGCCTTGACATGCAAATCAACCCCGACACTGCAGCCCACTAATGCGCTTCTGTCCTAATCTGGTCAGCTCCTTTTCACTGCCTGTTTAGAATCCTGGACTCTACTCAGACTGCAAATATGCTGCGAAGTGAATTTGAGAAGAACTAGGACACCATCACATCTCACACAAATTATTAAGCAGCCCTTGAAGAACAGTGAATGAGTGGTGATAAATCCAGGTCAGAGATCATACAGTGGTTCACCCCGAAAAAACACAACAGCTCAAGCTGTGAAAAACCCAAAAGCAGACTCCTTGATTTACCTTTGTAGGGGAGCCCATGATAGTTGGCAATGGGCTTCTCTGCATGAACTCAGACAGCTTTGGTGAGGATCTGAGCTGCCGGCAGTGCTGCAGGCCATGAATCTGCAGAGGTTGGCTGACTGGGGTATGGCCAAAGTGAGCAACTAGAGGATCAGAGTGCTGCTTGGTTATCTTCTGCCTGCAGGAATGCAAATCTGACAAGTTGGGAGCACTGTGGAGCCGGGAACCCATCCCTCGAGGAGAGTGTTCGGGTGCTGAGGCACCTGGAGGTCCAAACACAGTGACAAACCACATCATTTTCTGGTTCTAAAAGAAAATGTCAGACTGATCACAAGATTAACTGATAAGACACCCAAGAAGGTAAGCTTGTATCAGGCCTCTACAGATCAAACCCTTCAATTAACGGATAAAGATGGCACTCTGATCAGTGCCACAAAACTTCTGTGCCTGACTGGGTTCTGACTCCACAGGAAGAACAGAAGGAACAACAGGGACATAAAAATGTAGTTTCTTCCCTTTACAGCAGCCCTTACAGAGGAAATTAGACATCTAACAGGCAACAAGGCAGAAGAAGAGTTTGAGGGGTTTGAGATGGTTTTCCTCCACTCAAATCAATTAACTGCCATGTCCCAAATTAGAGTTTGTGTGTCAAAAGATCCGTCAGCACTAGAAGATGGATGTCAGAATGTGAATGGATCAATTCTGACTCCTATCAGTGCACACAAATCCTGGTGGCCAAGCATCAGGAGAAGATGCTGAAGGAACATACCCCACCCTGAAAAGCTCTCAGATTATGGCTCTGGCCTTATCCACAGGAGTAATGAAGGAAAGCAAGGACCAACATACCAGCTGCAGGAATCCGACTTCTCACTTCTGCTCCAAGAGAAGAGGGGATAACAGTCTGGCTGGGCTGCTCCGGGATTGTTCCAACTTCAAGTTAACACAATCAAAAAGTTTATTTGGCATCAAGTTTCCACAGTAAACAACACTACTCACCACCTATTTTAAAAAGGGTGGTGCTTATCTCTCCCATAATCTCAGCCATGGTTGTATAGTAAAATAAGAAGAAAAGTTCTAGTTGGTACTCGCTTAGCCAAGTTTAGTCTGACTTTCCAGAGACATTAACTCAGAGGCCTAGAGTACGAATTTTCATTAGGAGCACTGAAGTTTCAAGCCCTTCTAGAGCCAGTTGGAATTCTGCTCTGACAGCAGTTGGGTCATGTTTTTCTCACTCCATCCCAAACTGATAAAAAGATACTTTGTCCATAGATAAGCCCTGTGTAGAGGACAGCAACATTTTTCACAGAGACACTAGAACACTGCTTACCTCTCCTGAGGCTAATAGGTGTTTTCTGCTCCATTTGACCAAGGCCAAAACACTTGATACTCTACTGAGAAGAGTCAAGGGAGAACACAACCATCTGAACTCCCTGTTACCAGACAGCTATACCTGGTCAAAACCTCTTTACAGGAAAGAGACATGATTAGAGCAGGAACATGCCAGTTGACATCTTACCTTGTGGTGATGGCATAAATGGCTTGGCACCGCCAAAGGAAAGCTTTCTAGAGCTAGGCACAGATCCATGCTCTCCAGGATAAGGAGGGGAAGCACCAGTTTTAGGAAAACCAAGAGGGCTTGTACTGCTAGATCTCCGGACAGTACCAGACCTTGCAGGAAACAAAATACACATTACTCCAGTTGCTAACAAAGAGGAGTAAGGAAAACACCATAACCACACAAACACACAGTGCTATTTCCATAGATGTGGAGTTTCATGGTTGCTTATTCTGGATCAAAATCGCATTATGCCAGGACTGCACAAATACAGATCACACCCAGAGGAGTTTCTCTTTGGGCTGGAATGGTCAGTACTGCCTGGGTGCCAAACTCCTGTAACACCTTATGAAACCTCTCCTTGGAGAATTCAAATCAAAGTGTTTGTGCTACACATGCAGGAACCTCAAGTATACCCAGCCTAAAAAGAAACAAAGAGGAAACTAGGATAGGGAGAACATGAATAGAGCCACACCATCCCTCTGGAGAAAAATGGGATTTGAGTATACTATTCCTCAATTTTTGAACGGTGTCATCACACCTCAAGAGCACAGCCTAAATCCTATCTACTGAAATGCTAATCTATCTCTGCATGCTCCTTTCACTAAGATTCCCATTACACACCTCTATATGAGAAAACAGTTTTTCACCAACTACTTCATTCTACTCGATTTAAAAACAGCTTTTCCGTTGCTGAAAGGACCTCAATCACAGCCAGTAGGTGGTGTGCTGGAGAGAAATCAATGAATATGCTGAATAAAAAACCTCTGCTCAAGCCACTGAAGGATGCTATCACCAAGGTACCCCATCTCCCATCCCAGCAAAGCAGTATTAAGCTGTCCATATGCATTTGAACAGAAGGAATGAAGCCATACGGGTTTCAGCAGTACAAGCAGGGCTAACTGCAGTAGAGGCAAAGTTGCTCTGATGAACTGTCAATAAATCTATTCAACAACACTACTAGGTATACGTGTTACTTCTTGTTTTTTTTCCCTGAAACGTGACATCAACAGTAATAGAGATAAGAGTGATTTCTTTTCCCTTCTTCCTCCCTAGCTTCAATCCAATCTGTTACTGTTTTTCAGTCAAACACATCCACACTATGTGCACATACTAGGAAAAAAAGAAAATGAAGAAGAAGGAAAAAGGAAATCCTTTAAAATTTTAACGTAAAAATCACTTCTGCTCAGGTTGCTCCAGATTTAGAGGCGTAACACTCATCGAGCACCCTGTCCTGAAGCAAAATTGAATGCACAAAAAGGAAGCAGACACCTGGACACTCAGTGGCAGAAATAAGGTATTGATTGCTCTGCCAAGTTTTCAACTCTTCAAAACATCAACCATCCAGGGGGCTAAATATTATCTGTTGTGAATGTGAAGGAAAAAAAACAGGAGCTGATTGAAGCTGCTGAAAGATGTGGAATGTTAATACTGCCCTGTAAGTAGATGAACGGGACAGGTGATGTGGTCAGAAGTAAGCACACATAATTATCACCTCAACACGCAAGATACCTGACCACAAACAAGCTATGCCACACAGGCATCACCAGCCAGTCAGATGACAGTGGTCGATATTTCAGAATCTGAGTGTATGCCAATGTTTTTAGTCAAATGACTTCCAAACATGACAAGTCATTTGGCTGGAATAACCTGTTTGATACAGCTGATGGAAAAGTGGAATGACATACAAAATGCTTGATGAAATTTTCTTCTTCCATTCTTGAAGTATGTCTAATGAATTTGCTGATTAGAGGAAGTGATGATGAGAGATAAATATGGCTTCCTGGGGCAGAAGAAAAACATGACGCCAGAGATTCTGAGGTGATGCTAAAAGCAGAGCATGAATCATCTGATTGGTTCCATTCCTCGAGTTCCTCTGCAGGGACGATGCTAATCACACCATTACACAGTGCTGACTAAAAGGAGCAAAACAGGAGTTTGAACCCAGACAGGTAGTTGCAGGCTGTGAGCCTCAACTCAGCAGCCTGTCATAAGCTTCGCAATATGAAATACAGGGCACGTAGGGAACTGGAAGGAGTTTACACCAAACCATCACACATTCAAATAACTGAGTGTAGAACAGTATTAAAGTAACACTGGCAGAAAACAAACATCTTTGTCAATCCACACTTCAGATCAACACTGTGTCTTCATTTCTGGCGCACTTCAAGTAAGCCTTACCCTTAATTAAGCTGGTAGAAGCCCAAATTCAGGCTGACATAGGCATTACCCTACTTCTGACAGCTAAACTTGAACTAATTCAGATACTGTGAATATTCTCTGCCCTCACTGTACAAACTCTTCAAGATCCTGTGCAATTCTCCTTCCAACCAGTCCATGGTCTGGGCTGCCACTGTTAAGCCAGATCTCAAAACCATAGGAACCATCAATCACACGTACCAAGAGGCAGAAGCCTGGCATTTCTTGAAGGTACAAGACATTACTCCCGAGCTCAGCTGAAGGCTGACATCCAGCTCTTCCTGAGGGCCCTCATAAAGCATGCTCTGCCTCACAGGCAGAGATTGCTCACGACTTAATCAGACTGCATAACCACATTACCATGCAACTCGTGTAAGAGGCGTCATCGATGGTGTGATTAGCTACAGGAACCAATTAAGCTCAAGTCAGGTAAGTTCTGCATCCCTACCCATTTTAGTTGTTTACCTCAGCTTTTTCCTTTTATAGAGAAATGTGCCACACGAATGATTGTCCCTGTTTGGACACCAAAACTGTAGGAAAAGCAGTCAGACCCCAAAGGGCTTTCAATCTGCACAGAGAACTTAAGGGAGCTGTCTTGTATATACATATATAGTCAAAATTTACAGTACTTGGCAACAAATACATTTCAACACTGGGACAGATGTTGAAAACTTCCAGAGATACAGAGAACAAACCATAAAAGAACCTCCCAAGATGTAACAGAGTGTAATACACTGATGTCAGCCCTCACCCCCAGCACTTACCGAGGAGAGGCGTACTGGTGGGGAGACTGCAGGTTCTGCTCTATCCGACGGTAGTTATGAATTTGGGTTGGAACCGGGATGGGCACAGAGTGTCCGTATTTGCTGCTGGAAAACTGACCTGGCCGGCTGTTGAAAGGAGAAAAAGTCTCTTGTAAGGGGTGGACCTTCAGGCAGGTAATTGGAGGTATTATCTTTATAAGGCAACCACACGCAGGGAGTGTCCATTTTGCTCCTCTCAGGTTGTGGGTTTATCCTGGGAGGCAGTTCAAAGCTGTATGAATGGGAAGTGGCACCACACACCTCCTGGAAGCAGGCACCTTTCTTCCAACATGATTCCCACCCACAGTTAAAACATACACCCAAGCACACCGCTCCCTTCAGGAAAATGGGAGCCCTGTTATTTCAGGCCACAATTGGCCCAGTTTCCTACAGCCTCAGATCCACAGCCAAAGAGCACATAATTGAACAAAGGCCGAATGCTTGTGGCTCACACAGGACACCACCAAAGACTTTGGTGCCAAGAGGCACTGCTGCAGTGATGGTATTTCTATGAAAGTCTTGACGTATCATGAAGAAAACACACTTCTGGAGTGTATCAGTGTATTTGCAAGTTAACTGCAGGGCGAAGAAATCAACTCAGAATAAATCCAGGGGACAGGAACCAGTATCTCTATGCCCATCAAGGTCAGCAAGAACATCACATACACAAAAAGGGATAGGCCCATTCTGCAAACTTCAGGCTTCCTTCCATTTCCATCCAAGCAGGTTAACAAGCTCATGTCTGGTATCTGTTTCCCCAGGTGACAGTTTTTCTGTTATTCTTAACCTGTATACAACTCCACAAAAAACACACCACACAAAACCCATGCAAACATCACAGTTAACTAAGTAGCTGCCTAAAGGCTTTTCCCAAAGGCTCCAGTATCCTAGGATTAATTGCCATGGCAATGTTATTTACAACTGCCAACATCAATTGCAGGGTGGCTGCACAATTACAGAAAGATCTTATTGGTAATGAAGGCTTCTACATGTTGTCAATGTACAACACACCTGTGTGTGCCCCTTAAAAGTAGGAGGCATCACTTCAGGTCTATCTCTCAGAAAGGAGGTGTTTTACATGAGATGAAGATGAAAACAGACATGTAACCCAGCAAGAACATACATATGTGCATTTGGGAAGAGAGAAGAATTTCTGTCTTGATAGAATGTTTTGAACTGCCAAACAACAGAATTTCTTTTTTGGAGAATGTCAGCAGTACTCTGTGGCTTATGGAGATAGTGTTCAACAAAGCTGATCTGCTGGCTTGTGACTGCCATCCTCTGCACCATGCACCATGCCCAGGACAATACTCGTCAATCACAAACTCACCAGTTAACTGAAACAAGTGATTCTGATTTCTCTCCTTTTCTCAACAGGTCTTTTATTTTTATTTTTTTAAGTCATACACATTCTTCCTTGTTTGTTCTTACTTCTCTCATCAGAGAACAGACTTACTGCCTGCTATCTGCCTCTAAAAGAGGACACGGAAGCCTTGCTTCTTCTTGGTGGATATAGTAAAATAAAGGCATTAAAGGTTTCCAATTCCTAGTGGCAATGTGAGCTTTTGTTGTCACTGCTTTCCATCAGCATAAGACATGGAGTCAGACAGACACAGTAAACAGCTTTAACCAACAGATCTGAGGGCTGATGTCAGACTTTGTATACATCCTGACTTTTGACACAAATTTCAAACACTGTCTCTTCAATCTGGCCAAAATCCTTTAAGGGAAAAGAAGATTTGGGGTGAAAGGATTCTCCCTATACCCAAAGGTCATACAAGTTCCTATAGGAGCCAGATGTCCTACACAAGGTGCAAGCTGCAAAAGAAAGCACCCAAATTAGCTGACAGACTAAATCTGCTAATTGGCCTCAAGCCTTAAAGACTGCAATTGACCATAAATTTGCAAAGACAAAGAGATAAACCTGAAACAGGGAGTTTAATTACTTGGCAGCAATTAAAAGCTCTTTGAAATGGCATTAATCCATTGGTGTGGAATACATAAAGGAAGTACCTTCAGTTAGACTTATTAAAGATCATCAACATGGAAGTGTTTTTAAAAAAGAAAAAGCTCAAACTGTCAGCATATTTTAATTATACCTAATCCTAATAAGGAGAGCTGCTCTACAGTATATCGTGATATCCTGAGGAAAACCCATTGCCTGCCACAGACTCTGCTTTCTGTCCTACTTGGACTACATCCAAGCACAGCTTGCTAGCCTAAAGCCACTCATGAAAAGGGAGAACTGCTGCCTGCAGGAAAGGCAGAGGGAGAGAAAAACAGGACTTTTCTGCACCAGTGAAGCCAAGTGCTGAACCAGTGGGCCACATGAAATTTATGGTGAAGAGGACTGAAAATCATGCTAATAACATGGACACAGCTGATCGACAGCAGTTCTAAGATCATACTTTGCACTGCAGATTCGGGGCGGCTGCTGCAGAAATTAATTAAGTTTTATTTCCCATCCTGGGCATGTTAGGAAGCAGTGCCTCAGTCTTTCTTTAAAGCAGACAAAAAAAGGTGGGAAGAAGCTCTAGAGCAAAAAAAGACAGCAAGAGCAGAAATACAGCCATTGGCAGTGACTTTCTACCTTGTGATCCCCCAGAACACAAAGCCAGTTTGGTGAAGGGAAGGCAGCAACTGAAGTGAACATCCATGAATTTCTACTCACTGCCTTCCAGAAACAAGGCCAAATCCTTTAATAAGGACTGATCCCCAGAATGCAAAGGAATCAGTTTATTCAGAATAAGCTGTTAAAAAGCTTAGCAGGTAATGGCATAAGAAGTCTCATGCAATTATACTCCACACTGTGGTATATGTCTGCCAATTAATCTGATCACGTCAGCAAGGCTTTGAGCTATATTCCTCTTTATATTTTTCAGGCTATGTTTTGTCTCCTTTATATACTTTCAGGCTATGTTTTGTCATTTTCTGGGCTCTGTTTATGTGACAAACATGTTCAACACAGACTGGCACAACATTTTCTTTTGAAGTAAGATTTTAGGGGCTTCCTCTTCCCTAAGTGTGAATTCCCTTCCAACTCTCCTCCTTCAAAAGCCACCATATAGACAGAATAGAAGAAGAAAGATGTCCTGCTTCCTCAGCAGACAAGAATGAAGTAGGAAGCAAGCCTGCCAGCTCCCTGTAAACCAAGTACATACCCTAAAGTTTCAAGCTCTAGAGTTTATGCGATCACGTTCCACAGACAAGGGAAGTTTCTCCTAAGTTGTTCTTGTTATCCTTTAATTAAAGGACAGATGTGGAACTTGCTCAGCACACCAACTTCTCTTCCTATCCTGGAAGTCAATGGCAGTTTAAATAATAAAAGTTTAATAGTTACCACAGAACAGTCCTTCTTACCTGGAGGGGCTAGGAGAACTGCTGTAAGGGGGAGAAGGAGATGGTGTTCTTCCCTGGCTTTCCAAGCCAGCTGAAGTCACCAGAGAACTCCTGAAAAAATGACAGAACCAAGCTGTTAGAAATCTGTGAAACAACCCTGCTTTCCCCTGCAGAACACAGAACAGAGCTGTGTCTGCCCAGCACCCTCCCGAGTCTAATAATAGGAGCCCTGGATCTGTCATGCTGCCCCACATACACTCCAGTATTCAGGTGCCACACACTGATCACCTGGTAGTGGCATAGGACTGAAAGGCCCTTTAGATTGCATTTCTCTTATGCCACTTTAACCAGGATAAAGAGCCTTACAGCAAATGAACTGCAGTTTAGTCCTAATGGATGAGGAAGCTGAGCATAAATGAGTATCAACTTCAGAAGCTGTGTACACACTAGCATACACACGTTCAACAATTTCAGTTGCCTTGGTGCTCTTACCCACTGTACATCAGGCTATCTTGGATTGGCTTCCCTCCTGCAGCTTCTGCAGTCATTTCACCTGAGGAACAACAGAGCAAAGAAACATTAGTGATTATATCCTCAAAAGAGCAACTGAATTTCCTGCTCCTTGAAGATCTGCCAAGTTGCACAAGATTTGCCAAATTCACGCAGGCTGAAACTTAAGTTTGTGGATGCTGCTGATCCTCAGACCATGAAGTCCTGGGTGAAATCACAGCATTTTTCACCAAGTCCCAGCTCAGCAAATTATCATACACATGGCCAAGATTGAACAACATCCTTCTGCTGGTTAAGTACTTAAACATAAACATACTTAGGTCTGCAGCTGCACTGGAGCTCTGACCCTTGTCTATGTTTCATGCAATTTCTATCAAAGTATAAACATACAGAGGTACTAATAACAAATTCAAGATATTTGAAGAAAAATCCAACACCTCTTTTTTTTTTTTTCCTAAATTTTACAAGTATAAAATCCAGTTTGGTCACTGAATTCTTGCCTTTCTCTGTGCTGCTGAGTGAAACTGAACATAGGATAATATGGGAACATCTTCTGGGAGTGGAAGACACTTCTCTGTGAGCCTACTTACCTCTTTTTCCAAATGGATTTCCAGTTTCAATCTCTTACTGCATTCCCCAAATAACCTTTACTCTCATATCCTATCTTAGAAGATAATTACTAGTATCCTGTGAAATTAACCAGCCAGCCAGATGTCTCTTGCAACTTAAGAACAAGAACATTCCCGCTATTCTGTCGAAACAGCTTTAATCAATGTTTCAACTGTCTATTAACTACCTTTAGGACCCACATCCACCTTTCCTCAGAATGTCTGCAATTTCCAGAAGCCAACTTACTTGAGAACTGTGCAGGGACCATAACAAAGTCATCAGTGTCACAGGATGAATTCTTACTGCTGCTTCCAGCAGAGTCCTTCGATCCATGCAGGAAGCCGGGGGAATCCTGGGTAGGAGATGCTAACGCCTTCTCTTGCAGCTGCTGCTGCATCTCTCCAAGAGACTGCTAATTCAAGGAGAAAACAAACACTGGCTTCAGCACTGCTACCTCATCATTCTGCTGGATCCTTTAAATTGAGCTGCACAAGGCTACAGACAGCATTTCTCTCATAAACCAGAGCTGATAGCTTGCCAGAGGCAGATGTTCAGTTTACTGAAAAGGAACAGCTTTTTATGTCAGTGTCAGAACTGTGCATCTTTTGTTATACAAAACATAGTGCCAGCATGCCTGATGCACCTCAGATAAGAAAGCTAAGGCTTTCCGGATCAATAGTGCATTTGATACCAACTCAATCTGGTGAGGTTGAGAAATAGAAAAGCTTTCAAAGCTTCTATCCCTACCCACAAACACATACACAGTGTCTGCACTTTTGGGACAACCCTGTTTTGCTGTTTCAATATGAGGAGTTAGAGAGACCCAAAGGAGGCCAAGTATTCTGCAGATGAACATCACCCTGCTTTCAGAGGCATGACAGGCTCTAGACAGCTCCATTTCTTCTTCAGCCAGAAGAAAGCAAGCCCCATAATCCTCACCTCTGACAGACAGATGGAGGAGGCTGGATGGTTTAAGAACTGCCCGCTGTGCAGATCACAATCTTTATCCTAGTGCATTTTTTTTTCCATGAGAAAGATCTGAAACAGCTTTTTCTTGAGCCCTATTTAGGCCCCGTTTGCCATGAAGCCTCTTCTGCCATCCCTACAAGGCACTGACTCTCACTACAAATGCAGTATGCACAGGCAGAAGGAATTTCCCAGCTATCAAAGCTCTTTTCCATGCAACACGCTAGCCCTGCCCTGCAGACAGGGCATTTTTCACATGCTGAGCCAGCACAGCTCTGTCAGCGTATCTTCCAAATGCAGACTGGGATGGGTGCAGTACACTTCTAACATGGAGACCCCACAGTACAGCAGTGAGTCTGCACTGCTCATGAACCAGGAAAGCTTAAGGAAAGAGAATCTGTTTGATACTATCTACCCGCCCCTGGAGCCTTCTGGCCAAGGAGCACCCCAGCCAAGAACCCTTCTGTCTGGGGCTGCAGGGGATTAAAAATGCAGTCAGGGACACAATTGTGTGACATTTAGAGAACAGACCTTCCCTCTCCATGCAGCCTGCACCATGAGAATGTAAATCAGCTTCAGACTGTGCTCCTACACCCTTCCCTCAGCAGCTCCTCACAGCAGATAAAATACTTCCCACAAACACAGAAAGGAAGCCTCAGTCACAGCACTCACTGCAGGAGTTGAGAAGCCTTGGCAACCTCAGCAAAAAAGCAGACAAGCAGCAGTAACAGGGAGAAGACAAGAACATTCAGTCCTTCTCCCTTCCACTACCCATCACACCACCAGCATCCCTCTGTTCAAAGTTGAAAGGCAGCTTCCACCAGCAGCCTCCAAAAACAAGCTTTCCCTTCAGTGAGCTGAAGGAATGTCACTGCACTGGTCAGTTCATGTCCTACCCTTCAAGACAGTTCTCATAATTTCAGGTAAGCAGAGAGAAAGCTGTCAGTTCAGATCAACCCTCAAGAGACCACCAGACTAAGGCAGGCCTGGTGCAAGCAAACAGGCTTGCTGAATGTGTCTCTGTGGGGCTGGGAATGCTGGGCAGGAAGGAGCAGTGTCGTCTGTCAAAAAAAGGGTTGATATGCTGTCAAGTTGCAAAGACTCTGCTTGAGAACAGAGAACTTGCAGCCAAATAAGCTATGCCCTGAATTAATGACTTTTTTTGGTTCCAAAGAGCTTCCTATCTCCGCCAACATGAGCAATATTAACACCAACTCCTTTCACAAAGGCTTTTCATGTAATAGGCAATAACACTTTGAAATATTTCTTGAGGAGAGAAAGACAACATGCAGCATGTAAAGTATAAGCAGACTGGAAAACACAGTGCACAAAACCCAGGGAGAACTCAGGTTTTCTGTCACTCACAGCAGACAACAGCAAAAGCAAAGGCTGCACTTCCAAAGAAGCAACAAGAGGCCTGCAAACAGAAGTGGTGCATCCTCCGAGCTGTACTTACAGGAGGTGATGCCAGGTGGGAAGTAGAAGAGCTGCTGGAGGAACTACCAGAGCCCGAACTGGGGTAAGAAGGCATTGGCACAGAAGCAGCTAAAAATAAGGGAAAGAGAAAAGAAGAAAAAAATATATATCAATACAAAATAACTTGTCAATATGAGTCAATACTAAAGTCTTCTTTTTCATCAGGTTTATCTCACATGCCAGATACTGCCAACTAAAGGAGAACAGTAGAAAAATTGGTATTCTGTTCAGTTCTGAGATTTGCATCCATCCACTCCTCCACACACTAATTCACCGTTACAGCTCTTAGGGTGGAAGGTCCCAGAACATCTAACCAAGATCAAATTTAAGTGTGCAACCATTTTAGTAGTTGAATAACTTTAAAAAAGAGATCAGATGGGACAAGTAAGCGAGAAGAGCATTTTGCTTTGCTTTTCTTCCATTGAATTGGCAGAGAATTAGTATCCTGTGCCATTTTCTACCTTTACAGGATCAGTGCTAATCATTCCATGCTTGTTAATTCAAGGAGAGGCAATAAAAGACCCTAAAAGAACACTTCTGTTTGAAGTAAAACTCTGTCATTTTTTGCATTAACTACTACAAAGTTCAAGACAACAAAGTGGAGCAAGTAAACCAAAACTACACTTCTCAGCAATTAACTGTTGAAATGGTGTTTTAATTATAAAAGAATGGAAAAACATTCCAATAAAAGACTTTTATAAGGTCTTCCCTTTTAGCCTATCAAAGAGGGTTAAAGGATGGTGAGATCAGTGCCTCCCAGCACAAGGAATTCTCTTAGATGCTGAAGTCCTTAGTCTGACAGAGGTGTAGTGAAATCCAAAAACAGGAAAACAAAGCCAAAAAAGTACAGACTTGTTAACTGGAACAGGGTCACGGTGCTCTTCTCCCCCTGCTTGTTAACATAAATAAAAACCAAATGTTTAAGTTGTACTGCAAACAGAAACCAATTCAGAGCTCGGGGGCTTGTGCAATAGAAAGCCCCAGCAGCAGTGACGTGCACACACACATACAGGTGCCTTCCACAGTGCATTAGAACACACACCAGAACACTGCGTGGTAGATCCAGAATTAATGAAATCTTTCTAAACCTTCTGAGAGAGTACTTTTTTTTTTTTTTTTTCTTTTTACCCCCCACATCCATTCCTGCTTGGTTTGCTTCCTGCAATGCACTGTTAAAACACACGGCTCTGGATCCAGGACAGGAGCAAGCACTGTGGTGCCCTGAAGATGGATGTTCTGGGAGGTCGGTCAAGGGCTTGGCATGGAGAGCTACACCACCCACATCCCCTTCCAGCCCCCCAGGCTTCGAGCACAGCTGCTTCACACTGCCCACGCTCAGGGAACACACACAGAGGTCTGGGAACTTGCCTGCAAAACAGAGCTCTGTCCTGCCTATACCACCCCACTACTGATCTCACAGACTCCCACAGAGAATCCCTAAGACCTTTCTCAACTGCTTAATGCCAGGAACCAGAGGTGAATCTCTCTATTTTTATCCTGCCAGCTGCTCTGGACCACTCACCTTTGCACAGACCATCCCACTATGCAAAGGTTCTTAAGAGAAAGTAAACAGCTTTTGAACTGTGCCCACATGCAAAAATTGTAGCACTGGTTGTTTTTCCTGGAATTGGTATTTTCATTAGAGTCATATCAGTTCTCTTTCAAGGTCCCTTCCATTCTAATTTTGGTTCGTGTTTATTATTGATTTAAACCTGGCTGAAATTGAGACTTTTCTAATTTTGTCTGTTTGCTTTGGCCAGCTTTCCATTAATCTAGAAAAACAGACAAGTAGGCAGACTTCACTACCAACTGAAACTCAAATTAAAATGCTATCTGCTCAAAGCCCAACCTTCAGATACAGCATTTTTAATCATGTTCTCATTTTAAACCCAGCAAACTCCCCAAATCCACGCTGTAATCCCATGAGGTCAAATACAAAAGGACCTGATGCTAAAATTGGACTTTCAATCCATGCACCTCTGCCTTCCATGCACACGTTGGTGCATTTTTCCATGTAAGGCACATAGGACAGCTTGAAAGCACAACACTCACTTCCATCTCCTCCACACACCCTGGCACTCCCAGTTTAAAATTAAAAAGGGTGCAAACACTTGGCTCATCATGCTTTCAGCTCAAGTCTGAATGTGGGGAATGTTAACATGAATGGTAGGCCCCCACCCAAATCCAGAAATTGCTGGGTTGTAACTGTAATGTAAATAAGTCTGTTTTCATAATGGTCCTCTCCAACTTGTTCCAGCAACAAAGCAGTCATCGTGTGTGTTGCTGGGATATCCAACACCAACTGGTTTCTGAACTAGAGAGCTAGGAGCCACAAAGACAGGCCTGTGCTCCAGCTGTGTGGATCCTGATATCAGATGCCACACCTGCAGAAATCCCTGCTGGCACATCATCCTACAAGGGACTCAGCTGCCCTAAAAATATCTGATCCTCCAGCTTTCCTTCAGTTTACTTGGAATCAGAGTTTTATGCACATTTGGAGAAACATTTTTGTAATTATTTCAATTTAATCAAAACCAGTCATTAATAAGTTACTTAATTGCAGACAAAGCAACAGTTTAAGAGGAAAGCACTTGCCTGAAGAACAAGCTGCTTTTTGTAGTTAAAAAAAAATTGCACCACCACCATTTTGTTCATGTACAAGTTCGGGTGATTTTTTTGCTAGTATTTTCCTGGGCAACGAGGCACATCAAGATTATAAAAATGGAAAAAGCCAGTAAGTCAGACAGATCTCCCAGACACCGAACCACCCCACCAGCACTGCAGTGTTTGCCTATGAACCATAACTGCTCATGAGTTATATTCTGAAGTCAGGGTAAAGGAGGTACCAGCTTAGCATTTATTAAAGACAGGAGCAAAAGAACTCCAAAACAATCTGTGTGAGTACCAATTACCCTGTGTTTACTGAGCAGACTTGCACAAGCACCTAATTACGCCCTATTACTGTAACACACTGCTCCATACCACACGGAGAGCAGAAGCCTGGCTACAGAAAGACATCCTGACTAGACAGGGTGTTGTAAAGACTTTATTAACAAAATTGTACACTTCTGTAGCACACTCTTAGTCACAGGTACAAAACCCACAATATAAAATTATAAACAGAGAAAAAGTGGATGCCTCAGTTAAGAAAACCCAGGGTCCTGAATCCACTCTCCAGGCTAAAGCCAGTGGCAATCAGAGCTTTGTGGTCTGGATGTCAGAGGATTTATGTCCTCGTTTCAGACTGAGATGATTGGAGAGAATGAGCTTGTCAGAAATGTCGAATTTAAAAACTTCTGACAGAAATGTCGATTTTGCTGAAACGTCTTGAAAAGTGTGAAAATGTGAGCGAGGGAACCTGCACCTTCTTGGCAACTTCAAAATTCTCCTCTTTAAGAAAACTGTGGAACTCCTAAATGTCATTCTGAATTCCAAAATTTCACTGTTTAAATTTAAAAAAAAAGCATCTTTCCATCTGATTTACCAGGATGGGGCACTAACATATCCAAACAGAACAAACAGCTCATGGCTCTTTGTTTTTTTAATCACTGTGTGATTTTAATCACTATGTGAGCAGCACTTGGAAGGCTGGATGATGTCTTCAGCTCTGCAATCAGCACTGATCTGCCTGCAGGGGCAGAGGCCACCTCTACAACCAGAGGTTGTAGACCTGAACAGATGATGCAACAAACTTTCCTATGAGAAACTTGCACACTCAAATCTGAATGTGCTAGTGCTGCTTCCACTGAAGTCACCAGTAGCACAGTTATCAGCTGCCCGGGAAAACAGATATGAGTGTATAATGTCCTTCCTCCAAGCCTGAGGACTCCATAATTCAATGGGAGCGTGACCATCATGATTCAGATATAATCAGCTTTCTTCTCTTTGATACTTCCTGCATTCATGCTGCGGTGATTCATACAGATAAGGCAGCACAATAAGCTCTGGACTTGGCTTAGTTCTGCACATAAAGCTATAGTAGGATAGCCTTTCAGCCACCGTGATCTTGTTTCATCATCTGGACCTGTGCAAATACGAAGCCTGCCATGTTAAGCAGCATCCTGACATGAGCAATGAGTAAGCTTTACAAGGTCACCATGATCCAGGCATTTGCTTACGCAGTGGCTCTTCTCTCACCAACTGGAAAAATCAAAGGCTCCACAAGGAAGTAGTCCAGGCTCTTCACTGTACTTCCCAGATGCCTCCATCCACCACTGCCACCCAGCAATGGCAGACTACAAGAAGGCTCTTCTCCAGTAGCAATCTTCTCCCAGTAAACAACAATTTAATGGCTTCCCAAGATGGGAATGCATTTCTCCCCCCATCTTCTCAAAACCAGTAGTAGCGTATCCTGCCTGGAGAGGACTCCAGGCTGTGGATGTGTGCCTGGGGATGGGGGACAGCAGAGGCTTGGAGTAATGACAGTCCTTACCTGCCTGCACAGGTGCTCTCTTTACTGGACCTTGATCACATACCATTAATTCTGGTGCAGCTGGGAGCAAAGGCTGAGCTACAATCCCCTGCTTGTAATGTTGCCTCTGGTTTCCACACAAATGTGCACAAGTTGGAAACTGAGGCCAAACCAGGAGAACCCTTCCCTGTTTGCAGGGGGTTTTCCATTCTCCTGGCGAGTGAAGCAATGGAACAGCTGGAGGTAGGAGATGAGTTGGTGAGCATGCAAGGCAGAGCTGTGGGAGTCCTTCCCCGCCCATTTGGAGATCAGACTTTGAAGGCTTTTTCCCAGAGAGCAGAGGTACAGCAGGTGCTGAGTGTTGAGCTGGCTTAGGAGCAGTCCTAAACAGGCAGAATCTTTTCCTGCCTGTTGAGCAGTCCTGTTTCCCAGGACTCACACCACATCTTGTTGGCTTGCAAGCTCCCCTAAACCAGAAGCATCTTTTCTTGCCCGCAGGACGGTCACCTACATACACAGTTAAAAATCTGTATCAGAAATAACTCAAATTCTGCTCTGGACCAGGAAAGAGACTGAAGATCAGTGCAGACTTTAGATGTGGAGGAATCCACTGCAACACTTGTCCAAAGGGCTCTGTGTTCAGAAAGCACGGGGCACACTTCCACTGAAATTCCCAGCCCTCATGTCGGGCACCCCAAAGCAGCCACTGCTGGAAACCTTGGCTCTCTTACTTAAGAGATCAAAGGCCTGTGAATATCCTTCCAGAAGAAAGTAGATGACTACACAAAATTCCATCAAGCCAAGTCACCTGGCCAGAGAAGAATTATATCCCATGCATTGGCAACAATTCTGAATTACTTTCCACCAAAAATAAACCTCTGAATTGCAGTACACGTGGTTGAAAGTTTTCAAAAATTTTGATTCAGAAGAGGAAAGAATTTTCAACAGAAAACTGCTGTTGTTTCAACAGAACTCCTCTAAACTAAAATTTAGCATGAATTTTGAGGTAAACACTGAAACAATATTTTTAACTGGAACCCACAATTCAGCAAAGCCAACCTAAGGTACCACACCTAGAAAGTGATGACAACAATGTCAGCTTCCTTTGCCCATTCACTGTACTGAGCTGTCCTACACATATAGGTGAAAACAAGATCTTCCCACATAATCCTGTTTATATCCCTACCGGACAAGCACTCCATAGAGAAGAGTTAAATGCATTTCAAAGATACTTTTACTTTTGAATTAGATTTCTAAATAGCCCGCACATTCTCCCTCTGAAGATAATTCAGCAACATTAAATACATTCTGATGGCAAAATCTGGACATGACACACTAATGACCTGTGAATCCACACCTGAACAACAAGAAAACATAAAGCAGCCTTTTTCTTTCCTTTTGAGCTAGCAGCACAGGAAGATGTCATGGTTTGGAAACTGTTGTAATGAAAATGCAACACTTACATTTTTTCATTGAGGCACTTGCATCCAAGAATGGGTGATGAAAAAACTCATCTGAAAAAAAAAAAAAACAACACAAGAGCAATGAGTCAGTGAAAGGAAAAGACTGGAAGAAGTTTACAAAGCAGTTCAAGCATAACAAGGTACAGTAATTTTTACAGTATTTTTCCATGCAATCTAGTCACTTAATCATGGAAGCTGACTACTGCAGGCAGCACTGGTAAAGAATACAGATGAGACTGGTAAAGATGTGGGACTTGTTCCACAGAAAATGAAGTTGTCTGGATCCAAGAATGGGAAAAAAACAAAAACAAACCCAAACAACAACAACAAAAAAAATAGCAGCTCTTGTGCTACCAGGCATCTCTGCAACATCAGCTAGGGGTGAGGAGGGAAACCAAGTGTGCCACTTACAGTAATGAAAAAAGGCAAGGAGAAAAAAAGCTTTGCCAAAAGCATGCCTAGTAGTAGTGGTGAGTCTCAAGCGTGTCCAAGCGGCTTTTCCTTTCCCACAGACTATTAAAGAATCTGGTAATGTTCTGCTGCAAGATACAAGCCTGAGCTGCCAGAAGCACTCACTAAATTAATTGTGAATAATTCCGTCTTTCAACAGCTATCGCAGTTGTTGCAGCTACTGAGGACCAGAAACTACGACTGTGTCAAGAGTTGGCAGGACTGTGTCAAAAGCTCTTATCAGCAAGAAAAGGCAAATGCTAAGATGCCAAGTAGCATCAAAAGCCATAATTCCTAGTTGATCAGAATGACAAGTCACCCTAATCATAGGGATCCAAGGGAGATACACATTTATAGTATTGTACTGCCACTAATTCCACAAAAGAGACAAATGACTTCTATTGAGTGATATTCCATAATACACAGAGGGTAACTCATCCTGCATTCAAGGCAGAAATGCATCTTCCAAAAGGCCACCACAGTATTGCAAGACCAGAACTCCTTATGGCACTTGTGCTGGTATATCTTCACTCATCATAGGAGAATTTTCTAGTTATCCAGGTCATGAAATGTTTCTGTCTTGGCTAGAGACTCACTACACATTTTCCTGTCCTCCTAAGTAGCTTGATACCTTCATCTTCAATCCACTGCACTTTTGTACTGATTTTTCCTATCATGACCAGTAATGCAAAGCAACTCAGCCTTTCAGAAGTATTAGTCATGGATCACCACTGATTACTTGGCCAACTGCAAGCTGTTCAACTTGTTTTCCCAGCATGGATTTCCTGTTGCAACACCCGAGGTTTGCAGACTCCTGAATTCTGTAAACAGCTCCTCTTTGGCCAGACAGCTTTCCAGAAAGCAGAAACTGGTTTCAATTCTGTGGGGCTTATTGTTTTGTTTAACATAATCCCTTTCCCCTCAGCCCATTCTTGCCAATGCAGTGCCAGAGTCCTGCAGCCAGAGCCCACCCGTTTGGTGCTCAGCACAACAGAAGTAATGGAATTCTCTGGCAGGGAATGCTGGAATCTCAGATAACATTTGCTGTGGATGGAGAACATCTTATTCATCAGGAGCTGCCAGTCCACTTGACTTTCATGCTGCTTCTTCAGCCCACTCCTCCAGAGGTACCAGCCTCAGCTCAGCTGATTCAACAGGTTATGTAGTAACCTTAGAGGGTGGAAGTGACTATTTCTTTCACGTTTTCCCCTCCAAACTGCTTGTTAGTTGTTAGTTGCTAGTTAGTTGTGCTTGCAAAGCAAAATTTAACAAGAAATTGTAATCATCAACAGGCAGCTTGCAGTTTTAAACTCTCCTTATCTTCCTCTAGATAATCTTGAGATTGCAAATTGCTGGTAGAACATCCAACTAAAAGGAGCTTCAACCTCATGCAGCGCAGCTGTATGGAATACTGAGATGTGGAGGATTTCTGTGGAGAGCACTGCTCGTATCTCTAAGGGACCACAGAGGGCCTCAGGAACCAAATAAGAGCAGCCCTGGCTCAGCAGCACACACAGATCCTAACCATCAGAGCACAGGAGGGTAAAGGGGACAGCTAACAAAGGTGCAGACCATCAGCCAAATTAGACCTTTTATAAATAGCACAGGTGAACAGAGCAGCTTTCAGTTAGTTTGCCAGCAGCAGGCCAAAACACCTGTCTACCAGGAGAGCCATCTAAGGGAAGAGGAGGCAGGAGGAGATCTGCTTCAGACAGGATCTTGAGTTGTAGGGCATTAACACTTTGTGTGCAGATGGCCACGGGCAACAGTTGAAGACATGACAAAAGTTGGGCACAGGAAGTGCTCTCAGCTAAACAGTGCTACTGTTTTGGCAAGAGGCACCACCCAAGCTGACACTCTAAGGAAAAGCCTAAAGGTCCATTCAGCAAGTGTATTTCAGACTCTGAGCCCCCAGGAATATAAAAGAGCTGAAGACCTAGCAGCAGAAGGCAGCAGAGAAAGGAAAACAGTTGGGTCACAAGCAGGGATGAAGCTCAGATTTTTAGGCAGAAGTAAAGAGTCAGAGCATAGAAGGAAGAAGGGACGAGGCAGAGAACAAAACTGGATGATGAGGAAGAAGAGTACTGGTCTTTACTGAATCACTGCTCTGGCACATGTTTTCCTCTTCACTGAGGGGAGATACTGTAATACAACATGAATAGAGCTCAGTGGCTGTCTGGCATCCTTCTATAATGCACAAGGAACATCTCTAGCATAAGCTCCTTTAACAATACATTCACAAACTCTCCCTAAGAAATAATTACGTATTACAAGGACATGCCAATCTGTAGAGCAAAGGATCCCATATGTGATTAGGGGGAGAGAATCTCAATCCAGTAAGATGCTCTGTAACTGTTGTCCTCAGTGAAATCAAAGTATATTATCTTAAATTTCCAAGAGTAGAGAGACAATGACTCATGCACTCTATTCTGAAGAGGTACAAAACCAGCTAACAGGGTGGCTAAAAAGGTTCACTAGACTCCATTTCTGATAGCAGGGAAATGGGAACCTCAAATGTATTTTTCTTTTGAGATGTACAGCAGCATGACAAAAGAGGCAGAGATCCACAACCCAGATAGAAGATCTGCAGGGGCTACTGAGAGAGGTACTTATATTCAAGTCAGTCTGTCAGTATCTTCAATAATTCTCTTTTGAAAAGGTTTGTTTTCTTATTTCTGCAACATTGTAAACAGTAGTCCTTTACATTCAGCATGCAACAATTGCAATCAGACTTGTCAATCCATATGCTTGCTTTACCCAGATGACAGTGTCCTCAGAAAGGCACTCCCATTATCTCTAATCCAAAGGAATAACAAAGGCTGCGAAACAGCTTATCTTCATCAACTAACACATGCTGCCCCAAAGGAAACAATCCACCTGAGCTGATAAGCAACAAAGAATAACAGAAAACCAACCCTTAAAAGACAAGTAACAAATCTTTTTATCCCAAGTTGGACTCTAAAGTCATATTCCGAAAGTATGAGCTTACCCTTATTCAATTTATTTTTGCAAAAACCAGCCAATTGTGTGACAACCTGATCTAGCTGTAGATATTCCGGTTCATTGCAGGGAATAGGCTGGGTGACCTTTAAGAGTGCCTCCTGACTCAAGTGATTCTGTAACTGTGTTGTGATACTGCTCAACTGATATTTCACACAAAACTGTGGGCCCTGAGACCCCAGCAGCAGGGAAAACCACTTAAACAGGCTTGCCCAGCACTAAGCACCACTCAGATGCTGGGCAAGCAAAACTTACCATTCCACCAGCAGCACAGACCAGTGAAAGGCAAGCTGCTCACTGCTGTTCTCCTCTGCTTTATGAGGACCATATGCTATCAAGACTTTGGTGAGAGACACTATTCTTGTCCTGATTTTCACCTGAGAAAGGGCTGTGCTGTCTTTATCCAAAGGAAAGGGAGAAGGAGAAAAGACCAGAGCTGCCTTAAGGTGACTTGGTCCTTTAAGGGACTTCAGAAAAAAATTCCACACTGCCTGCTTTCCTCAAGATCATGACTTTCAGAAAAGGCTCTTCAGGTCTTTTAGCTCAGCTAGACACATCTGGAAGAAGCTACTACAACCAGAACTGCCTGGCACCTAATATTTGTTCTCAGCCTAGAGGGTATTTAAAAAAAAAAAAAAAAAAAAAAGGGATTATCACTACAGACCCATGAAGAGGGGAGTTATTACCTGAACTGACCATTAAATTGATATAGCTTGCAGCTTTTGGAAGACACTATGACAGTTAAGAACTGGGATGCACAAGTTGCACATTTCACCTGATCACATGCTGAACACTAAAGACAAACTACAAAAGCAGAAGCCAGGAGAGGGAACATAAATTAGAAAGCATTTGACGAAGTCTGCCAAATCTCAGGGTTCATAAAACTTTACTGGAATCCATATGTGTTTCCAGCACATAAATAACTAAATTAAACCAAGATCATTGAGTCTCCCAGGCAGATAAACACAGGTCTAGTTGCTTCTTCAAAACTACAAACGTTTGTGCAGTGAAGTGGCAGAAGAAGGCACAGACTGGCAGCAGAACTAAAACTGGAGTGGTCTCTTACCAAAGTCCATGCGGTCCTTATGATTGCGCTGCAGAAGGCCCAACAGTAGCTGCCTCAGGTGGCTTGATGTCTCCCTGGGGATGCTAGGATTGAAAACAAAAGCAAAATAAGAGACTCTCAGTCTGTTTAAGCTACTTCTGCATATTCAGAAAGGCAAACTGCAAATGCAAACTCGTGTTTGTCCCTGCTGGGCTCACTGGAAAGAGGCTAAACAGGAACATCTCTATTTGCATCCCTGTTTGGCTTTTACTCCCCATTGTAACTGCTAAGGCTACAACTAATCTAGCTGTAGTGGCCTCTCCCATGAACACCTGCAGTTCCCCCTTCAGCAGCAGTGCCAATACCATCCCTCCAGCTCTCAGCTCAATCCAGTCAATAGGTAATATTTCACACTGAATAAAATCTCTTCTACTTGCTCTAGTGGGAATAAAGAAGTCATTAAAATGAAGCAGTTCATGAGAGGAAGTTTCCAATTAAGAATCTGGTGGTGAATATGTATCTCCAATTACTACCATTTTATTAAGGCATTTCTTTTTAAACACAGCTAGCAAGTGACCTTTGTCTATTTGCTTCCCTGATATACAAACAACATTTATTAACCAAAAGCCATTAAGATCTAAGCATCTGTCACCCAAGCAAGCTAAAATTAGTGCAGCTATTTCCCCAGCTTCCAGTATGACTAGGAAGAAAGTACTCCTCTCAATGGTCACTGCAGAACAAGAGAGCCAGTAAATCACTGTTCTCACCCCAGTCCCATAGGTAGACAGGAGAGAGGTCAGGGCAGATATTTGCAACCCCAATGTACTGTGAGAAGCAGGGAATAAATGAATGGATTAAGGAAGGGAAAGCAGAGTTCAGCTCTTGCATAAGTGGATTTAGGTCTGTTACTTTCCTCTGTAACCAGAAGCACCATTAGGGCCTGCAGCAGCAGGTCCTGCGTGCAGCCAGAGCAGAGTTCTCCAAATTAAGTGTAGGTGGCTCCAACTCCTCTCAGTATTAACTGTGTTTATCACGGCTGTGCCCAGCACGGCCCCACGGCCTGCCAGGCTTTTCCCAATCCCCACACAAGGGTCAGCCGAGGTAATGGCATGAGTGCTCAGCACAGTAATTTGAACTGCGTGGAGCCCGAGCCTGCTCAGTAGCACAGCACATGGTTCACTCGGGCAGCACTCCACTTTGCTGGGCTGGCATCACTTGCCACCCTGAAGCCAAGGCTGACAGACATTGGGAGAAGCAACTGTTCCTGCACAGCTTCCACAGACAGGGTGGAAAAGAAGCTGGGTCAAATGGAAGAGAGAAAGAGTGCTAGTTGGCTCTACCAGAATTCCATTTGGTCAGAAGTGAAACCGGAGATGTTGGGCAAGGTGGGTATTTATAGGCTTCATAACTATCTGGTTATTTTTCTGTGAAGTCCTAGGCTTCATCTGTGCAGGAATTTGAATCCAGTGATTCCTAGAACAGAGAATCATCCCAAACATACACCACCCCTCTGTTTGTACTGGAGGAGACACTTTTCCACCCGACACTGAAACAGCTGTGTGCTCTTCCCAGCCTGACAGAGGAGACCACAAGGACTCTGGGTGGGATGCAGTTAAACTAAAACTCAGTTTGAGCCAAGAAAAACAACCCCTTGTCAAAAAGCACGTGCCTTAGAAGCACACTGAGCGTGCTTCTCTGGATACCCGGGATACCACAGCTATCAGTCTCCTGAAAAATACATTAGTGTTGCAGATCTGCAGTCCTCTACTGTTATCATCATCATTTATTTATTCAAAACACAAAGCACTCATCCAAAATGAGCCTGTTTCCCAGCAATGACTTAACTTTTGTATGATTTTAAAGCCAAGAAACAGGCAGGTCAAGTAGTAGACCTCAGATGCTAGAACAGACTGATGAGATGGCAGATTAACAGCCTGTTTGCCTCCTCCCATCTCTCACCTCTAAAACATCAAGCTTAGAAACCTAAGCAACAAAACTGCCACTTTCCTTCCTGATCTAGAATGTACTTTGCCATGCAAATCAGGGCAATGAATGTTAATTACTTAGATCAGTGCTATTAAAATTGTGAGGCCTTTGGGCTTGTTCCTACTGCCATGGGCTCCCCACCTCAGAATGGCATTTCACCTGTCAGCAACAGCATCAGCTTGGGAGGTAGAGGCTGCTGGTAAGGATTTAATCAGCTGTTCTTCCCCACCCCATTCCCAAGCCAAAACACACCATCTTCCATGGTGATGCTGGGGAGGTGGCTGCCAGCACGCCTAGCCCCAAGGAGAACAAAACCAAACACTGGCACTGCTGCTATCTGAGAATGAAGTCCTGAGTCGTTTCGTGTCCCATCCTGTACTGGCAGGGCTGGCAGGGGCAGTTCATTTGTGTTTACTCAGGAAATAGCACAGATTGCAGCTCACGTTAAAACTTACAAACTTCAGAAAGCATTAACACAAAGGCCACTTCGGTTCAACGTCTATGGTGAAAAAAAATAATGGGTTTGGATTTAAATATCGTGAAATTTGGGAGTTCAAAAGTAGAGATGAGTGAAAATAGTAAACACAGAGCGTCTATAGAGAACTCACAACAAAAAAAAAGGACTAATCTCTATAAGAACAGACATGCAGTCCTCTTACAGAAGAGCTTCGTTTCTCCCCTTGGCTGTCTCCTACAGCACACATTAGCCATGCAGCAGGGCAGTGTGATCAGAGACAGGGAGCTTATTAATTGCAGTGATTTATTTCTCTCTTAATGAGAGTCACTACCTCAAAGGTGAGCAGCCATGTTTTACGCTTGTGTACAGGAAACAGAAGGTCTGCTTTCTGTTTACACAGACTATGTGGCTCCAACTATGTGTCAGTGGTTTTGCTCTGAATTGTTTTGAGTGTTTTACTCCATCACATGCTCAGATTCAATCTAAAAGAATACAGACCAACTTTGGTTCTGATCAAAATTTGCCTCTTTGCCACAGATCAAAATATGAAGTACTTACAGGAGAACTAAACACTTAGCACAAGCCATTGCTAATCACTCTGGCTTCTTTACAGTTTTTTCCCCCCCATCTCTTGGACCTGTCTGAACCGATAAGGAAAAATCCATACAAAGCAACTCAAGGAACTTCCTGCATATGTGGTTGCATTAGCAGCTCTGCCAAACAGAAGCTAACTTTCTGGGCAAAAATGCCTTCCAATATTTGGATATGTAATCTGGAACTTCAGTCTTTTCCTCTACTAGGCTGAGATTTCAAAAGCACACATGACGCTTGGCTTTAAGAACACAGATCAAAAGTACAGACCACAGCAACAAAATCAAAATATACTGACAAATCAGAGCACTGAGCTAGCTACATCGCTAGGTAACATACACCCCTGGGATGAAAAGAGTTATCTTCCCTGTATGACCCATGGAGACTGCAGCAGTGTCCATTTCCACAGAGGTTATAGTATTTCCTCCTATTAGCAGGATGGACGCAAGCAGTTGCTGTCCTGACACGTGAGAAACAGCAATGTGATCTACACAGTCAGGTACAGCAGATTACAGGAGAGAGACTGCAGTTTGGCTGCTTGCATGACTCAAGAATTGCCACGATTTTTATTTTATTCTTAATAAATAGCTGTTCGTAGCCTCAGGAAAGCCATACACCAGAAAGGACCACTGCCAGGTTCCTGACATCATTAAAATCCTGATTTTTTTTTTTTTTTTTTTTTTTTTTTCCAATAAAGGAGAGTAGCATTATCTATAGAAAGAGAGAACACCAACTATGGAAATGCAATGTTCTTTCTCCGTGCCACATCACCGTTGGTTTAAGGACTGGGGCAAGGCAAGTTGCCAAATATTTTACAGTCATCTCTCAAATGACAAGCTGGGAGCACGCAGGGATAGGTGTAAAGACAGAGTAAACAAGTGCATACAAACTGCAACACTGGGAAATGCTTACTTCGGCATCAGCATCTTGTTTTTCTCATAGAAGAGACGAAGATCCTGTGGGCTACTGGCCTGTAGAGGAAAAACAAAACCAGTGTGTGAAACAGCTGACAATAAAGGAAGAGCATCAGCATTTCTATTTCACAGTTATTCTGAAGAGCAGAGAGGCACTTTTCAAACCCTAATAGACACAATCAGAAGTTGCAGCTTGCTTTAGTCTAAAAAGCCAGAGCTGATCCAGAGTGAAAATACAGTATTTCAGCCTCTTGCCTTTCTGTCCCTGACCTGGTTCTGCCCTGCTCCCCCTTTCTGAGGGCTGAGCATCATTTCAGTGGGCTCCAGTGCTCAGGTCAGAGCTGAGCTAATAGCCTCACTTAGGAGGCTAAATAATTGCAGACGTGAGGAGTCCCAAATGACAAATGGCAGCTCCTGCTGCCAACATGGATTACTGCTGCAGGGTATTTAGAAAAGGGGCAGAGTCTGTTGACAGACAAGGAATCTGAAGAAATCAGAAACATCAGGAAACAGCAACAGAATCAGTTTTCTACTTTAAATCCAGGAAGCTAGAAGGTCTCAAGCTACAGGTCCTATTTCTGCACTAATGTACACAATTACTGGAGATGTGGACAAGATCCCAAATTCTGAGAGCGGAGATTAAAAAAAAAAAAGGCTTGGCGCAAATGAGGTTAAAAATAACATTTCCAGTACAGAAACGCAGACAAAGATCTCCTAACGTCATTCCTCCATTTGTTTTATACAATGAATAAATACAGACTAGGAAGCTAACCCCAATGTCTTAAGCTTTTCTGCTTAAGCAAAGTCTCTTTATTAAAGAGAGAGTAGGCTGGGATGACAGACAAGGTAAATATAAACAGGGAAGGGAGATTAGAAAGATTCGCGTGCAAGCAATTACTGGGACAGCAGAACGTTTAGGAAAGTGTGAACCAGGAGGCATCAGGCAGCTCTCCTGGCTTTGTATGCTCCAAAAACCCTCAAGCCTTCCACCTACTTCCATTTCAAAACTGGAAGCATCTAAGGTCAATTAAGATGCTTAAAATGGCAAATTAGACAAGCCAACCCGCAGATGGCCATCACAATACCACTAACACAGCACGGCTGGAAAGGCAGCCACATAAGATGCTGTTTCAACATCACCTACTCCCTCTGGCTGAAGATGAACATAAAGTTAAAAACTATGAGAAAGCATAGTACAAGACTCTGAAAGAAACCAGAGGGAGCTGCTAATGCCAACAGACTGCTGTAACACTGATTAGAGCAACACTTCTTTGCTTAGTGTTAGCAAACCAAACCTACTAGCTTTTCTATCAACTGGTACCAGTAAGACCAAAACAGGCATTGCTGTTTACACACTCACCCACCCAGATCCTTGCACAGACAGAGCTACTAGATTCCTAAGAGAAGGAAATCAAGCTTTCCTATAATCTTTCTGTAATAATCTATCAAACAGGAGGTGCAAAATACATTCTTGAGAAACCATTAAAATGAACTGAGTTTGGCAAAGCATGCTGTTATGCAGATGCCAATCTCTGTCAACATTTCCAGTCACTGCCATTCAATTTGATTTGGTAAAACTCCATTTTACACCTTACCCCTTGCAGATCTTGCACTTTAATTAGATTCCTAATATTTGGCAAACTTCAACGAGGCAAGTGTACACACTGCACCAAATGGCTCAGCCACAGCGCTCTGCAGAATGAAAAGTACGCCTGACAGACAATGAACAAGAAGGAACAGAGCTCTACTGCAGGGAAGCTGAGTGCCTGCTCACTTGAGTGAGGCACAAGCCTTGGCTGTTTTCTCTGTTAGTTTCCTGTTGCAACAACTCAATTGTTTCACAAATACAATGAAGCTCTGATCTATTTCAAACACTGCTTTGTCAGAATTTTTCCTGGCAATGAAGATGGGGTATATTAAAAACAGCACATACACAAAGCCATTAAGAAACCTCCTCTCAATAGAGGAGGTTTCCACCCAAGCCAGTGCTTAGAAACAACATCCTCAATAAAGATCACCTCTTCACACAAGACGCTAGAGGAAGGAACTGAAATGACAGTTCTAGCTAGTAAGGACTCCATCTAGAGAGATACTGATCTATGGAGATACGGCCTATCTAACCAGAACACTAGGAAATCCTTGTATGCACCTAACAACTGAACCATTCAGGGTACACAGAGCCAGCTGCTACCTGTAGGACAGCATCCATCTGTCAGAAACCAGGGTACAGAATGGGTAATTCAGCTTTATTTTCCCCACGCGTAGGAGACACAGCAGCAGGCCAACTCCTGCCCTTGCTCCTCCTCTCACGTTTCTCTGGAGCAGCTGCACTGGTCTGGTTTTGTCTGTCCTTTCTATATATATAAGACAGTCAGACAAATTCACTCTTGCCACTCTGCCCCTTTGTCCTGAGCAGCAGTAGAAATATGTTTAGCCAACACAGACATTCAGCAGAACCTTGCCAAATCCCACTTGGTGCTGGCTGCCTGCAAATAAATTGCACCCAACAAGCAGTCGTGCTTCCAGAAGCACTGAGCACTGGATTTGTTGTGCTTGGGGGGAAGCTGGATGCAAAAGCAACAGAGCTCAGTCAGAAAAGGACCAGAGACATTCACACCCTCAGTGAACAGCACTGTCTAGTCAACATTTCATAGCATACGTAATGGTATCTGCTCCAGCTAAGTGGCAAGCATCCAGGGGATCCTGAAAGCACAAGTAGCAGAAAAAAAGTTATATATATAGATAGCTATATCCTTTTTCCTTAGCTGTCCATGGAGGCTTTTCTCTCAGCTCCCAAGAGAACAAATACAAGGCAAAAAGCCCGTGGCTCACTGACCACAGCAACAAGTTTATTACTGTGCCAAGTTCAGGTACAGCAGCCTACCACCACTTTTTAACCTCAGTGAGGCATACATCTGCCTACGGACATAGAGAGGAGCTCTGGGAACAGAAGAGCAGCCTGCCTAGCAATAAACCAGAAGTTCAAATTCTGGGAATGAAGTCCTCCTCCCCTACTTTTTTTCAAGACCCTTTTTACAACACAGCAGTTGTTTTAAGTGATATATAATCCTAGTACTTACGCCAATTGAATTGACTCAGAAACAAAGCAGCAGACTTGGTACGTCAGGCTTAGAAATTAATTTTTCATCTACCAGCTAGCTGGGACAAGAACATACGCACGCAAGTTAACTCTTTCAGAGCTGCCAGACCAGCAACTTGTGCTCACTCCCTCTCTCCCTTCCCTGCTCCTCGGCTCTCTTCATGCATCAACAGCACACTGCAGCCATACAGCAGCGAGGAAATTCATGCAAGACCTCCAGCAGCAGACAACTAGATCTCCTGGTCCTTAGCAGGACCTGACAGCCCAATCTTTTCATCTCTAAGCACAGGAGAAAGCTGCTACACTCTCAAGGCATTTCTCAGGATGGCAGCAAGACCTGGATATACACTGTTCAACTCCTGTCCTGGGTGACAGGAATGAAGAGATGCAAGTGCAGACCACTTATTAGGCAAGGCAAATTAACAATTCCACATGAATGCAGTACTCAGCAAATCTGTTTATAGGGATTATGAATCCTATTAATCCCATCCCTGTGGCAGACTCACTGTTTTGTTTATGGGCATGTTTAATACAAAAAGCTCCTTATGACAGCTTCACAGGCCATCCTACCAACTGTTCACACTGAGCATCTGCAGCTTCTTTCTTGTCTGCATGCAGGGAAGGAACAGGAATGGCTTTGGGAAGTTGCCTTGGATGACCCAGCTGCAGTTAAAATTAAAACTTCGAGACAACTATAAATCACATCCACAGACACACACTCACATACACACATCTCTGTCTAGATTTACAAGCACTTTCTAGACTGACAGCTGCCTCAGCCTTTCCATACATGTTTGATCTTTTCTCCATCTAACCCAGTCCCCCAAAGCCCATTTATTTTTAGACACCTAACTCCTCCTTGCTACAGATAACACCGGAGTCCTTCAGGTTTGCATAGCCATGAAGTTGTCTAATTGGCTCACAAACAGCTAGAGAGCCCAAATGCAGCATGTTTAATTCCCATGGGAATCTCAGCTAGCTAGAGATGAGGTGCTGTCCTGGACAGTCTGGAAGGGAATGCATTGTGAGGATTTAGCCTGAAGAGGTTACCATGAGAAATCCAGTTCCTGGCTGCCCTGTACAACCAGGCTTGCTGGTGACACCATGCAAAGTGAGCCTATTATCTCTCCATCCATTTCTAGATGTGCCCCCCATCAAAGCACCAGCTTTGGAGTCTCCCCAGTAACTCTGGTCACAGGTCCACCACTTTATCAACCACCCTTGTCTCTCCTCTTAAAAGCCTGCAAACAACAGCCTGCCTATCAGCAAATTCTTACAAAACAGTCATGCCAACAAAGAAATAAAATTTGTTAACCTTTAACTAGATTTCCTACATCTGCACTGGACAGGCTTCATTCACCTGAAACTTGCAGCCTAGAGAAAGCAGTTTGTGACACAGTCAAAATAAATAGAGGGTACACAGAGAACCATCTGGGCTGAGATTTTCTTTCTCCCTAATCAAACAAATCCACAGCTGCTACTGCAGTAACAAATGAGGCTAGCATTTTGTTTCAAAACACAAACCCCAAAAGAGAAAAGGGCATGGGGAAAAAAGTAAATCAAAACTGAGAAATAAGTGACCCCTCAGCCCAACAGATGCCAAATGCATATGGGAGAGAAAGAAGTTATTGGGTCAGGCAAGCGCAAAGCAATGATCAGGAACTGCTGGGCAAGGACTGAAGTACCCCTTCATTGCCCAGTGCAAAGCCAGAGAGTGCCATGGCTCAAAGGGACACAGGCATTGCAGGATTGCCTCACCTCTGTGTGAGCCCGAGGACTCATGATCAGAATAACAGTAGTCCATTGCCCATCTTCCCACCCAAAACCTTGGTTGAAGAGCTGAATGAAACTGACTGGTATTTAAGTTCTGTGAGAAACCTTCACTCTCAGAGCAAACATTTTTAGAACAACAATTCTGTGACATGCTTCAATGACCAATAACAAAGGCTACCTAACTCTTTTCAAAGAAATCAGATGCCCCAAGGTTGTATGAGATATTTTAAGTGGAAAAACTTAAGTGAAAAAACACCTGTGAAAGTCACACAGGTGCAAGCTAACACCACCTGAAGGAGTACAACATCACAGGCCTTCAGAGACTGAAAGGCTCCAAGGAACAAGACTTAATTGGTGCAAGGCTCCCTGATGCACACAGGGTCAAAACTTGCTTTCTCCACACCCATTTTTTTTTTCCTTAATGCACAAATATTTTCTTTCATCCCAGCACTCATTTTCTCCACTCAAACAAAGACACCAACACTAACAACAAGTGGATGCAGCCAGCAAATGGGAGCCATTCAGGAGTTTCCATCTACTTAGTAGGGATGTCTATAAAAAGGAAACATGCAAAGGAAATGAAGCCTCGTGCTAAACAGAGACTAAGCTGGCGGGTAGAATATAAGGCACTGAAATGGAAGAGGCATATAGCAACAGGGAAAAAATTACTCTGAGGGGGGGAAAAACGTTCTTAGCTCTGAGATAAGAATCAAAACATACCATCAGTTTATTTCTGTATTTGTACACTGTTTCCTACAACAGACAGTGAATTCACTTTTTCCCTCCTGGTGATATAACTATATAAACATTCAAGGTCTCATACGAAGTTGTCAAGAGGTGTGGAGCTATAGCTCAGAAAATCCTGTAGCACAAAGTTTGGCCTACTACATGAGCATAGATTCTACTCCTCCTCACCTCTGGAGGAAAAAAAAAAAACAGGATGAAGAGAAGTCAGACCATGAGGGAAAAAAAAGGCCACAGATCACATATGCCCTAACTGATCTGAAGCCAAAGCGCTGCCATGAACTGGAACTGACATCAGTATGCAAATCTGTGGTTTCCTGTTTTTCCATGGATTAGACAGATGAGCTCTGCAGAACTCAAACATCGAATGAGTAAAGAAGCATCAACAACCTGAGCATCTCTCTGCTATGCTACAAGTCAGCAAGGAAAACACCTGAGAAGCACAGTGCTTTAAGTGGTTGTAAGGAAGAGTATGCAGATCTCATTGGGCATGGAAGAAAAACTAAGTAATATGCAATGTACTCTGTCACACTAATGACTGGGAACAAGACAAACATACAGTTTAGATTAACTCCAGTTATATATAAGATTAAAGGTATGTGAAGCAATCCTGAAGCAACTTGTGTAAGATTGAAGTAAGTTCTCCATCAATTGGGAATTTAAAATCAGAGGATGTTTTTCAAAACTGATATTTTCTAACTCAGTCAGCGTTTGTGGCATAAATTACAGGGTGGAGTTTTACCAGACTGCACTGTATTTGAAGGGGTTTGGACTTGATCAACTTAAACATTTCAGGTTGGAAAGGATTGCTGTGAGATGACAGAAGATACTTTAGCTAAGAACCTAATTAGCTGCTCTAAAACCAAAAGTTACTTCAGCTGCTACACTTTACCATCAAATCATCCTTCAAATTAACTTGCAATTGTCCTTTCATAATTGGTATTTGTAATTCTGTTGTAATCCAGCATTAAAACATATAAAATACCACATTGACACTATGCTGGACTGACAGACAAGGGCAAAACTGTTCCACATGACAATATAGATTAAAGATACTTCAGGGGAAGTGGATTTAGAAAATAGTAATAGTGGATTTGAAAAAAAATAATGATCCAGAAACCTTAGATCTAAGCAACTCACCTGAAAAGGAGCCTTTCCTGTCAGACACTGATAAATGATGGTTCCAATACTCCAGAGGTCAGCTTTGGCATCGTAGTGTTGAGACATAATGACTTCTGGTGCCTTTTTAGGGAGAGAACACAAAAGATGTCTGTTACAAAAGATGCAGATATTTTTGGCAGCTGCAAGAAAGGAGCAGAAGTCACCAATATGCTTTAAAAACCGCTATGCTGTTACTCCTCTTTGGGGAAACAGTTCTGTCCCATCCCAAGCATAGCATTTCCAGCTGAACCAACTGCACTCAGAAATTTCTTTATATTCTGAAGCAAAGCAAACTACAGGTAAATGACTTGAGAAAAGCGAAGGCTCACACTGCACAGGTAAACTTTAGCTTTTACCCTGATCAGCATCACTTGTATTTTCCTTATTTAGCCCAAGATGGCAGCATATTAATTATGCTCCAGAGCCTGCTGCCAAGGCCACAGTTTGGTTTCAAAGCCAAATCTGTGTGCTGCAGTCCAGCAGCGTAAGCCCCACTGTGCCTCAGACTCTGCTTTCCAACCCCACACTGTCCTTGGCTGCTCTCTCCCTGGCCTGCTCCAGAAGCTGGACATGGCATGAGCTGTAGGTTCAGCACAGCAGCAATGCAAGAGGGGCAGAAGGGCAGGCTTGCTAATCCCACACATTTGTAACAACAGATTTCATCGTAGCACTGCCAGCATGGAACAGGATCAATTTTCTAGCAATGTTAGGTGCAAAGGCCACATGTAATGGAAAAAAGTGGCAGTGAGAAAATTAGGGACAGACAAGCTCCTGTCAACAAGAGAAGGAGGGATGACACCAAGCAAAGCCAGAGGACAAGAACTGCAGATGGGGGCTTCAAGCCTCACGTGACATGGATCATATCGGCATTCAGCCACAAAGCTTGCTGTGGCATGGTTAACATGCCTTTCTTTGTAAAGAAGCAAAATGAAAAGAGCAGCAATGGGCTAAGAGGGAAAAAGGGCTTGCCTTCCTCCAGATGTTCCCAGCTAATGCACACAATCCACAATAGCAATAAAGAGAGGTTTCAAATATCCCCTAAATTTCAGTTTCACCCTCCCTACTGAGCTTCCCTCAAACCTATCAGTAACTAGAGAACAACATGAAGCATTCTGAGATTCCCTGTCCAGAGGTCTTGAAATTAAAAATACAAAATAGCAAGCAAGAGGTCATTGGTAATTTCTTCCAGGCTTTAAAAAAAAAAAAAAAAAAAAGAGCCAGACATTTTGATTTACTTTCATAGGAGACTCAGAAAGAAAAAGTATTACTAAAAATAGACATTTCAGGAAACTCTCCTAGGAGAAAAAAAAATGACATCATCTTCATATATAGCATAGTTCAAATAAACATCAGACTTCAAAGAAAGAGAGGAAGTCTGTTTTGCTTGAGTTTATACTGTGGAACAGACTATCAAACACACTCCACACCTCTGTGGAGTGCAGCACAGTCCAGCCTAACTCTTTGCCTAAAGGGTTCAGACTTAAAAGCATGCGAACGAGCCCATGGTTCCCAAAGCACTTCTAAAAACTTTAGCCTAAACTGATCTATTACAGCTTTTTACTTTGAGCTCAGGCACCCACAGTCTGGTTTTGACATTTTTATTTCCAGCTTGGTTTTATCATTTTTAATCTCACAGACTTTATGCAACACAGAGGTCCTAACTACTTCCATGAACACAAACAGCAGATCAGCTCCTCACATCCTGGTTCTAGACTAAAACGTGCAAAGGAAGAGGAAGGGATCACTTTTTTTTTTCAATCCCATCTGTTTCTCAACCTAAGGAGCCACCCTTGAAGTAGTTGGTTTGGTGGAAGAGTCGGTGTGCATAGAGTGATTAAAGTAGTGAGTGAGAGCAAGTGAAACAAACAGAAGCAGACAGGCTCCATTTACATCAATTCCCTGAGTACAAAACATACTATGCTGTAAGTTAGCAAGAAAGGCAATATCTGTGTCTAAATATGCTCATAAGCCTGAGAGGATTTTGCAAGACTGAAGAGCTAAGATCAGTTGGAATTTTACAGAACTACTATTACACTGGGACCTTCCTCCCAACATTCTAGCTTTCACAAAAACAACTGCAAGACTCAGAGTGACAGTGGGCTTGTGGAACCACAGCCTCAAAAAGGCCTGCTGAAGCAATGATTTACTGAGGTTCTTCAACAAGGAAGCAACACTTGAAATACAGCCAGATGTGTGAAATATCATCCTGGCCCTCACCCACTGTTGTTGTTGCTTTGCTTGTAGCAGAGGAATTACATTTCATTTCCCAGTGCCTTCAGCAGAGAGGCTCTGCTCACCCCTGGGAGATGCAGTTTTTGGGAGCAGAGAGAAATGAATGTTCTGCTTTGTTTAGTTTTACTTATGAACAACTCACCTGAAAGTTAGACAACAGCTCAGGCATCTGTTGTCAGGCACTATCAGCAGCTAAAACTTGGAAGTATCCCTGCCTAACAGATGTTCAGTTTTTTGGTTTGTTTTTTTTTTTGTTTTTATTATTTTTTAGACAAGTATATAAAAATTCATTTTCAGAAGGGGGGGAAGACTAATGAAAAATGAAGTTTTGTTTCTGGGGAGACAAAGCAAAAGCAATATAGAAAAACTTGTAAGCAAGCACACTTACCATGTACATTGGTGAACCACATAAAGTTGCTGCCATCATATTATTCTGCAGGTAACGGGCAAATCCAAAGTCAGCTACAAAAAGAAACAGAGGTGGATCAAGATCAGACACAGCAGTTCTAGAGAGCCTGTAGCTTCGCTGTTGATTCCCATAGTTCCTGTGAGTCCTCACAACAGGTAAAGTACCCCACCTGAACTATAAAACAACAGACACCTCTCCTTGAGCATTAACATTCATGTGCTCATTGCACAATGCAGACACGAGAAAAAGGAAAACCAAGCTGCTTAAAGTATTCAGAAGAACAAATTCTCAACTATTTTCAGAAATCAGCAGTAACTTCTCTGCATCTACTGGCCTGCATTCCAAAAATGTCAGCTGCTAAAATTTTCTTGACTTCAGAGATGGTGTGCCAGCTCACACTAGCCAATTCACCTGCCGCTGTCTCAGCTTTCAATTTGCAGAAGTGAAAGTTACCCTCCATTGAAAAGTGTAACAAGCATCCAAGAGAAACCACTGCTTGCCACCATCAACAGTTCTTGAACTGCCCTACTGAAAAACAGTCTTAGTCTGTTCCTTTAGAGGGGAGAAAGCTGAACCATTAGTTCACCTGATGGAAAAGCCAGGGGCTAGGAATATCAATATGAATTACATCTACAGGTTACTCAGCATCTGATCATATGATATTAAGAGGTTCTCTCAAGGTTACTAGATATTTCAAGCCAGGAGATATCTGACACAGCTGTTTACACTGTCACCTGTCACTAACTGGAATAGCTAGCTATTCCTTAGACCACTTATTTCTCAGGGAAGTGGATGAAGGCTGAAGAGCAGCAATGGAGCCCTCCTGTGTCTACAATTCCCAGTCACTTCCATCTTCCAGATAATTCTGCACTTCAGAAAATGAATCAGCCATAGTCAAATTGGCAGCAGATTTAAAAAAAAAAAAAAAAACTTTTCCACTGAACACTACTTCTCAACTAAATGAGAGCCCTTTCTGCACACTGCAGGGTTCAGGCAAGAAATAGCTGTATTTAATCAGTGTCAGCTTCAGTTTGTGAACAATACTATGACCTGACAGATTTCCGCATATTTATGGGTGATACTAGGCAGCACTTGTTTCTGAGGCCTACAAGGGATAAGTGGAGTTTCTGGAGCATTTGTCCCTACTACTGGAGCAGCTATGCTACTTGCCATCTTCCTTACCAAATATGCAGAAAGTGAATTTCTTCAAGACACAGCTGAGAAACCTGGCTCTAATTCAGACTTTGAAATGCACCTAACTTCCTTCATGCTGTGAAGCCAGCCAGAAAAGCAGTGAGTTTTAGGCCTTAGAGGCACCAGCATTTACCCTCAGCTCTAATAAAAGACATGCATAAATCACTGCAGCTGCTCTTTTCTTGGTAAGCCTGGAGATTACAAACCTATTAGGGCAGGTTAGTATCTGTTTTTACAAAGGGAGGTACTGTTCAGCTTGGAAACAGAGCAAGACTCACTCAATTTATTTTGCATTAATCTGTGTCCTGACAGAGCAGAAAGCTCTGCTGACTGGAGGCTTGCTGAAGTTACCTGAGCTTGGCTATTTCTGGCAGAGAAACTAAGTGAGGAAGCAATAAAACATTAGGACATATTAAAAAGCATAGAAATTCCTTTTTTCCTCCTAGACATTTCCCAAAAGAAATTGAGGCTTGCCACCTATCTGTAACCAAACTCCCCTGAGAGGTGTTAGGGTGACACTTGTAACAGGGTCTTACCAATCTTTATGCGAATGTTGTTGGGATTTGATTTCCTGCCTCCAGCATAGGAAAGGAGGATATTCTGTGGTTTCAGATCCCGATGGATGATGCCTTTGCTGTGCAGCATTTTCATTGCACCTGCTATCTGCTGGAGAAAGAGCCTGATGGTGTCTTCACTAAGTGTCCGCATAGCTACAGAGGAGTAAAAAATAACCACAGACGAAAGAATTACAATGGTTGTTCTCCAATGAGCCCAGAGGATAGATACTCTATAGCAATTAACCATAATTTGGCATTCTTTTCTTCCACATAAGGTTTTTTTTTCCTCCACACACTATTTCTAAATTATTAAAGCAGACTCTTTGAATTCCTAGTTTATACAGTGGCCAAGGCTGTTTTCAGCCTTCAGAGTCTAATGGTTACGGTGAACTCAGGTCAGCAACAGATGCTGAATCTGGCTTATGAGCTGGGCCCAAAAATGACATTTGATGAGGTTTAGGGCTTCCCTCAGCAAGAGCTGCCAGCTAGATTGAAGCTTCCAGCCAGACAGGGCCTGCAGCCTGATGACTGGAAGGCCTTTGAGCTATGGTCAACAGCAACCAGATACCTAAGGTTACAGCTTTGAGGAGAGTTTGTTTAAACCTGGAAACACAGGCAGGATTAGAATTTGTGCCTGTAGAAAGAATTAAGGCCACCAGGTATCTGTAGCATTGGGATACAAATCCAAGTCTAGGCCTAACCCTTGTGCATCACTACCCACTAGAACAAACCATAATTCCAATGCAAATCCAGTGTTGGAATATGCTTAATTTTAATGAAAGTACCCCTAGCAATTGGCCCCTGCATAGTCTATTTGTAAACAGATTTAAAAAATAATCAAATTCTGCAAATATGGAAACACTGAACTCCACTCTCCTGAGCTACAGGCTTCCTAAAAAACACGGTGTGACAACTAAGAAACATAGAAGAGATTAAAATAATATTCAGCTGGACCTTCTGATCAAACTGAAGCGACATAAGCTCTTGTTATTCTAAGAGCCACAGGTATGAAACTGTTGCCAAAGGCAGGAACAGCCTGCTGAACAAACCACAGGACCAGCAGCGCTACCAGCCTGCTTCCTTATCAGTCACCAAGCAAGTCAGGCTTAAAGAAAGCACCATTCCACTTAGAGTAATTTCTTTTGTAGAAGGTCCCTGAAAATAACTTGGGACTTCATTAGTGTTTTTCCAGCTGCTCTCTAGTAAGACCTTAAAACAAACTGGCAGGAACTTCAAAACGCTGCTCTACTTCATCTGCTAGAAGGGAGGAATCCTTATGAAAACACACATAAGGTTGCAAGCAGCTTTAACACAACACAGGAAATTAAAAATCTAACTTTTGAAATATGCACATGGGAAAACAGCAAGGGACACAGATAAGTTAAACAATATTTAGAACAGAAAGCCTCCCACCACTCCCAAGGCTCGCTGTTCTGGAAGGAGGCACAAGCAGAGCTGAAATGTCACTACAGCTATCAGCCAGCCCTGGACTCGTACATGTGACAGCAGAGCACGTGTACATAGAGTTTCTCTCCCCTCACTGGGCCTTCTTCCCTCATGAACTGGCACTCAGCTGGAATCCAAAAAGAACACTTCTGCAATAAGGAGAGGTTCTCTGAAGAGATTTTAAAGATAGCAAGAGGCAGCTTAGACACAAGTCTACCAAACCTACTTGCATCTTCTGGAAAAAGTACCGCCTGCTCTTTAACAACTGCAACAGGGAAACTTATCCAGAAACAAATCACCAACCTTACACAGAACAGCAAGAGTTCCAGAGACTTCTGCCCAACTCAGCTCAGGCCCAGGAAAGGACAGGTTGTCTCATTTTCTCCCAGACAAGAAGCAAAATGTGGAACTTGGCAGCTCTTAATGTTAAGCTAGCAGGCAATTATGAACTGCTGGCTAAGTACGCTTTGCCTCTAGCAGAGAAGCTGCTTTGTTTAGAGCTTTGTCCTGACCTGCAGCTCCAGCAGCACGCTGCATCTCTCCAGGCATTACCCTCCCTTTTACATAACATGGTGACTGCAAGACTAACACAACACTAGCCATCATCCCTCAGCCAGGATCAGGAAGAAGTAGTCAGATAATAAAATAAGGCCTCTAAGTTACCAATCTCTACAAAAGAGAAGTTCTGTAGCAGCTCTTAAATCTGCAAAACTTTTATGCTCTCAATACACGTGGCATTTAAGCTCTTGTCCTGACCCTGCAGAGAGTCCTCCAGTTCATCTGCTGTGGCACAAGGAAGGCACCATGCTGCAGCATAGCAAAACTGGGCACAGGTCTGCTAGATTCTTGGTAGCATGAAGTCTCAAGACTTGTTGCAGTGCTGCAGGGCAGGGCTGTGAAATTAAGAAGCTGCCCTCAGCAACAAAGTGAGCTACATAGGGAGCATAGGGGCATACCCTTTACCTCACTCCATTAACAGACATCACAACACAGGAAAAACAAAGGCCCTTATCTCGTACTCAGCCCATCAGTCTACCAAATGACAGCAGCAATCTCCAACAGAAGGACAGAGAAATAAATTCAACTGTCACTGTCAGAGACAGGAGACTCTGGAGAGTTCAGCAAAAAAGGAATACACTTGTACCTTCAAGCTCAGGGATTCAAAACCCCACAGTGGAAGCCTGAAGGGTCAGACTCCTGGTCCCTTCACACTTTGCAGCATCTGGATTTTTCAGAGTACTGGCAATAACTCATTTTGACACATTCTTCCTACAGACATCTTTCTCATTTTCTTCAGACTAGCAGATTTAATTCCACATCAGGTCACCTTGTTCTACAGCAACCAGGAGAAGCAGCATTAGCCACGCTCCACCAGAAAGATTTCTGACAGCCAGAAACATTGACACAGTGGTCTGCAAAAGATCTATAGACAACTCCCATTAGCATAAGGAGAATATATAGGACACTCATTCAATTCAGATGTGGAGAACAAAACAACCCACTGTCTCTACTGCACCTCAAATGGGGAAACTTGCACTTCTGCCCCTGCAAAAAAAAAATTAAGAAAAAAAAAGGGGGGTAGTTTCTCATCCTCCCCAGCAAACTGCTGGAAAAATACTGAGCTTGCACTGCAGTCCAAGCTTCTCCATGGAGGCCTGTGGTCAGCAACACATTCTTGCAGAGAACTGTTTCACAAGCCTCACTTTGCTGCTCCTGAGAAGTAATAATATCCCTGTGTTTATTTTCATGGGCTCCACTTCAGTGACGAGGCACTCTGCTTACTGCCCTGGGAACGGCTGCCTCACAGGTCAGTAGATCAGAACAAACATCGACTGCGGGTCAGCACAAGGCCTGCATGCCTCGTTGCTCCCAAGGCACAGGAGAAGGATGGAACCACCTAAAAAGGTGGTTTGTGGGCAGCTCTGTGCAGGCATGCAGTGCGTGTTCCACCTGGCAAGGGGCTGCCAAGCAAGCTGTAGCACACAGGCATTGGCAGCTGATCCAGGGGTAACACAGAGTATACTTGATGGTTACGTGACATTTTCCATTTTGGAAAAGTTATTTAGGGAAAATAACTTGTCTTACGGGTCCACAGGTATCTCAGACAGAGATCTGATGCAGTCACACTTATTCCCCAGAGGCCAGGCAGATTTATCTGGGGTCCATCCCACAGCTCCCCCAGCTCCCCTCACCCAGCACGTGGCTGGGGTGACTCCTGGAAGGGCTCCTCCTGCACGAGCCAGAGCACTGCCATGAGGCAGACTGAGTCTCACCATGGATATTCTTAATTGCCCAGCTGAAAGGGGTAGCACAGACATCTCACTTACAAAGCACTGCCCACAGCTACTCCAGACTAGAAGATGACAGCTCCTTGCATGTTTCATGGTCAAACCAAGAAGTGTTCTGTTCAGATGCAAAGTTCTCTCCAGAGATGTGATCTCCAAGAAGCAGCTTTTTAGAAGAGTCAGGAATACATGCTTATGAACTATCTACAGGAGCCTGTCCTGTCTCAACACCAATTCACAGAATTTAAAGAAATTTTAGACCAACTGGCTCTGATCTCCTGTTATAAAACCACAGAACTCCAGTTACTCACACAGCAAAACCAGCAACTACTGAAATGCCTCTCAGTTCTACCATACATTGCAGAGATCCACCTCTGCAAGCTCAATACATACGTTTCATTTAAAGCCGTGATGGCTTTAAATCAAAGATCTCATTTGAACAAGATCTATCAGAAAAGAAATCATTAAACAACACAGAAGCTCTGCTCAGTAGAACACGTACAATCTTAGCTTGTACCAAAGAGGTGAGGCTGACAGTTTAATCCAACACAAATGCACGCTGCATTAAACGTGCACATATGCACGTCGTCCAGTTATAAAGACAAGGAGAATTAGAGTGCCTTTTGATTCAACACAGAATTACCATATTGCCTAATGCTTGTAATTAGAGGGCAGAATGGATTGGGAAGCTTACAAGCATCTCATTCAATGAGAACCAGGGGATTTGCATGTGCTGCTTGCATAAGTGCTGCAGGAACTATGAGCAAAAACGTCTGAGGAGTCAATGGGAAAGTAGATGCTGCATTGAAATACAATCATGCAATTATCAAAATAATTGAAGCAGCACAATAAGTGCTCAGTAAAGATGAGCTCCTGTGCTCATCCAGTGAAATACTCTGGAATAAATATGGATTTTCCAAGAGGAACTTCCTTTCAGGAGAAAATTATCATCAAAAATCACCCTGACTGCCTGCAAAAATGCACTTCTTTGGAATAGCTCCTCTGCAAGTGCTGGAATGGAGAAAGCCACACGATGGAAGAGCTGAGATTAGCATCTAGACCCTAGGACTTGGAAAACCCAGATTTCTGTTTTAGTGATGAGACTAACTCTCTCTCTTTCTGCTGACCTTTACTGTCCATCTCCTGGATATCCATGCCTGCTCAGCTGTCTTCTTTACTGGCAGATGTTAAAAAGCTAGCCTCCAGTTTCCCGGTGACCACAGTTGTTGGGATAAAATACTTTAGAAGTGAAAAAAAAAAAAGAAAACCAACCCAGAGTTAGTGGTAACTTTCAACTAACGCAGGCATAGAAGGACCAAACCTTATCCCAGGCAAATTGGGATAAAACTCAGTTTTACTTTGCAAACATAATTCATTGTCACTTTCTCAAACTAGCCACCAGTTTCCTGAGCACTCTCATTTGATAAATGAGGAAGTGAGCTGTGCTAATAGCCTAGCTAATTGTACAGAATGCTTCACTTTTTTGAGTGGAGGAAGAAAAAAATACAGTACACATAAAAGCAGCAATATGAGAAGGAAGATTTTCTATAAACCCATGTTTTTAGAAACCATTCAGATAGAAGCTGTGTTCTAACTTGTACACAGCTTTGTCAACAAGCACGCACAACTCAGTGCCTTAACATCAACAAGGTTCATTTCACGTGACCAAAAGCTAAAACCCTGCCAGAACACTGGCAACACTGAAGTTTGACTAGTTTGAAAAGCACTGCATTATTAACATTTACTTCTTGTGTTAAATAAGAAGGTATCAAATACAAAGCCATTTCCACTTGGTATTCATAACAATATCCCAAAGATGTTGCTTTTCAAGCATAGCAATAGCCAACAGATGCAAAACACCATCATCTATGTAAAAAAGCATATTAAACCTGGATTTAAAAAAAAAAAGTAACTGTCACTTCTATCTTATCCACATCTTAAACTAAGAAAACATGAGAAAAGCAGAATATTTCTTCATTTGCCTTAAGTATTAACACTTCCTGAAAATTTGAAATCCAGAGACACACACATCTGCATGAATAGCGCGTGCAACGTACCACCATCAAGCCTGAAATAATCACTGTAAGAATATCAACACTAGCTGTAGGACAAATGTAAATTTAGCTTTTAATCCTTCAATTTCTGCCATTTCCCAGCATCGTGTACCTCAAACAAGCAGCCTGAAGGATTATCCAGCTGAATAGTTTTAAATTTTAACAATGAACAAAACTTTGTTTAACTATAATCCAGAACCACACAAGAAATGAGATTAAAGTTATTTCCTCCTATTTAATAATCTTTTAGTTAGCATGCAAAAACAAGAAAGCTAATTTAAAATAAGAAAAGCAGAGCCATAGACCAGCAGAAGTATAAGCAACTTGTTAAATGTTATTCTCCTACTTTTCAAAGAATTCATGAGGTCATCCTATGAGGTATCCAGGTACAAACTGGTTTTCATATACACCAGCATGCAGTATCTCTCCAGAGGGCTGCACTGAAAAATAACTTGCAAGGCTCAAGTCCCTGCAGTACAATTGAATAATATGGAAAGCACACTTTGTTCAATTTAATGGCAAAGATACACTTACTTCAGTTTCACCAAAAGGTTCTTTGAGATGGCAGTAACAGATACCCATGCTACACTACCTAAGAGATCCTGAAGCTTGAAGATTTCATCACCCCCACAACACAACCAGCTACACTATAGTCACCCTCAGTATACTGTGAAATAAGGAAAGTGCTCTGTCCTAGGTGTGGGGACACTCCTAAGGAGGATATTGAAGAAAACTGAATATATTCTTGGGATCCTGTTTTAATCCAACTCTATAGAAATGCAATACCTCAGTATGAATAGGCTTTTTGCAGTGACCAAGAAAGAGGCCAACCACGTCCCCAGCAGTGTTAAAATGTGACTAATCCTTAAGGTTGCTGTAACTAAAACAGGTATCTGCCGACTGAAAAGTCCACATCCTTCAGTCACTACTGACCTACATAGGAAAGACTACAACACTAGCTTTTACTGCCATGGATTCTCAGTCAGCATTTCCTTCTGAATACACCAGACACGCTCCATGTTGTTCTACTTACTGTGAAGGTAGTCTGCCAGGTCACCACCATTGCAGTACTGGAAGAACAGAAAGCTCAGTTAACATGAAGAAAATCAAAAGGTTTCAAGTTCAGTAGACTTCACTAGGATCACAGGTGATAAATAATCACATATACATCAAAATAAGTATTCATTAAGTGGTAGAAAAAAGCTTTTCCAATAGGTTCCCTTTGTGTCACATTTCCCCTACACACCACATTGCATAATGATAAACCAGCATTAATTAGCTTTGGTGTGCATGTGTATACATCTGTGTACATGCACAGAAAGACAAAACCAAAATAGAGCAGACAGGTCATCACTTGAAAGAGCACCAGCAAGCTGGCTAAGGAAAATTCAGGAGCAGCCATAGCTGAAAACTGAAATTCTCTACAAGGTGCTCCATATTATTAGGGAAAGTCAGCAAGAGCTCAGAGTGAAGATTGAAGAGGGAAGCAAACTAGCAAAAGCTTTGCAGCTGTTTTGTGTGGATACAGTTTTCTTTCCACGCACCTTTGAAGTGCTTACTACTCAGTAACACCTACTTAGCCCTTGAAATAAGTCATTCAACTGATTAAACCTGTACCAGTATGACCTTCTGACAACAGCAATATAAAATATCCCACTGACTGCTATCTTCCCCCGCGCTGCTCCAGTTCTAAGAGGAATGCAGCTGCAGATTAGATTAGCAAAAGCATCACATGTGATGCTAAGCAGAAAGCTCTGTATGTGTAATAAACTCATCTGCTTAATTCATGTTAAATAAAAAGAAAAGAAAAAAAAAAAAAGACACTCACCTCCATAACCAAGTAGACAGAATTTGCCACCTCCTGGGGAAAGAGAAAATGGAAAGAAAGGATTTATGCATCAAAATACTTCACATGCCTTACAGCAGCTCACTTTTATTTCAAACAGGTGAAATGCTCTCTAAGTAACAGATACTGGAGGAATTCTGTTACATATTGATTATTGAAGGATCACTTCCTTTCTAAGCATCAAGTACTTCTCCCCAGTTTAAGCACATTATTCCTTCCTGAGCATGCACCTGTTAACAAAGCAGATCTCCTGTATTGTGGTTTGGGTCTTAATGTTCCTTTCTGGCTGTTGGGATTAACACCCAAACACAATGCAGATGCTGGCACGCTATTATCTCAGAGCCTTAATCATTTCCACATTTAACACAGACCTCTAGAGCAGCTATGCCCACATGAGCAGCCCTCGTCTGGAACAAAAAGATAAGAGCAATGCATGCTGGGGACCTGCGTTTCAATCCCCACGTAGGAAAGGTGCTTAATGGGAAGAGCAGATGGTGAAGGTTTCTGAGGGACACCGTGTCTTTCAGCTCCCTGTGAGGCCAGCCCCAAGCATGCAGTGTGATTGTGATACAGGGCTGAGAGCAGGAGCACGGCACAGCCTGCAGCTCAGCACCACCAGCTCAGCACAAGGCAGCGTCCAGGCTCACAGCAAGTCTCCAAGTCAGTGTTTGCAGCCTGCACGCAGTTCCTCATACCACAACAGTACTTTTCATAGAGGCTCCTTGCTGAGCAGGCTGTAGACACTACAGCTCAGCAGCACCTCTAACCCATTAATACGTACAGTGCCAGCAGGGCTCAGGAAAGCCTATTATTACCTTTTTAGAAAATGAATAGGCAATAGAGCTTACATATGCTAAATCCAGAAGTTATTACTAGTATCTTCTAAGTTATTAGCTAACAACTAGCATACACTGCATAGCTTGGTTATTTTTCCTCTGTGCTTTATTTAAAGACTGTGCAAACATATCATAAAGCAAGTCACTGATTTTTAGTCACCAGCGTGTACAGTGACGGGGTTAAATAAGGACGCAGGCAGAAAAGGGAGATGCTTTGGTCAACTTCCCCAGCAACAGTGACAGCAGTGGGTTCATCTCACAGCACAGAGCGAGGAGATAAGAAGGCGCTGCCCAACAAGAATCAAAAGAGAAGAGGTAACTTCCCAACCATCTGCTGGCAACAGCACCCTCTGCCCATCCCAGTCTTATTGGGGAACATTCTTTGCTGATTATGTATAACATGAGCCTCACCAAATTTGTCTTCAATACCCATTGTTTCTGGTGGGAACTGAAATCGCCTTCCTTTGATTTGGAAAAATGCCCACAAGTGAGAACTGGAAGCATGGTTTTCTCTGTGGCCACGTGTACATTAACAAACTGCAGAACATATCACAGCAGCAGTGCAGAATGGAACAACCAACGCCAAGGACTCAACTTCAACACCAAACACACTGCAGGGGGCTTATTTTGTAGAGGTATTTTGCAGGGAGTGTCAGCTTCCACAGTTTGCTAGCTGTTGGTACCTGTGAGCACAGTGCTGGAGCCCACCGCCTTCCAGCTTTCCTTCCTTCGTGAAAAACCCCATTTGTGGGCACAGAGACCACATGAGCTGAGCCAGGGCTTTAGCAGCATGCAGCTATGGGAGCCAGCACCCCACTGTGTGCACACTCACTGCAGCTTCAGCACTCTCAGCTCACAGATGCCTACAGCAGGGATGCGACAACTTCCATATTTGCAACTTCAGCATTTTAAGACTTACCAGACAGATCTGTAGGAATTTTACCACAAAAGCTAAACATTTATTCAGGAAGAGCCCTAGAAACAAAGTCATGCTTGGCACAAGCCTTCAGCCAGTAGCTTACAGTGGCTAATAAAGGAAACAAGGAAGGAAAGAGATCCCTGTTTTCTCAAATGGGCCGATAGACTTCTCTTAGGCTGATTCAGCAGCAAAAATTATTTCTTCCCTTTTTTTTATCCTTCATGGTACTTATGATTCATTCATTCGTTCAACAAACAGGAAAAAAACACCACAAGGCAAACTTTGCAGGCTACTAGTCTCTCTGAAAAGCATCAAAATGCCCGACTCATTTCCACACCAGTAACAAGAACAACATCACAGTTGGTTCTGTTTCTGCAGAGGCTTATGTCCAAGAAGTGCTGCAGACAATTTATTGCCATGTGCCAGCCCTGCAGTCAAGGCCAGCCCTACCACTTGCCTATGGATCTGCACAGAAATGACACCCTACTTCCCTCGTCACAGTGCTCCAGCAGTACCTTACCACAACAACACTAAAGGCCTCTGCCAAAGACATCAAGCTGATAATTAATCAGTCTGGATCAGTGCCTGACTTGCAGTTCTTTCAGCAGAGGCCCAAGAAGTGAAGTTACAATTTAATTGAGTGTAAAAACAGGCAATAGGCTCTACTGTCCACAAACAACACACATCTGCCAACAGAGGACAAAGAAATAAAGAAACTTCATTTAGCAACACAGCAGAAATCACCTCGGGACAGCATTTGTTCAGATCCCCCACTGAGGCACTGAGCGTGATGAGGTTAGTGATGCTGAGGCCCAGTAGTCCTGTCTCCCTTTACATTCTCTCTCCACCCACACAGGAAGGTGGCATGATCCTCTTCTTGGAAAGTGTCTTCTTTAGGTGTGTCCAAAGGGAAACATCTGGGTGTACCCACACTTAGTCATCCTCCTGCCACAGCTTAAAAAGGCTGCAAGAGGAAACGCAGAGAGGTCCTCCCCTGCGCTCTACCCCAGCTCCTAGCCTGCTACCAAATTTAGAAAGACGTTCAGGGAGGGGAATAAAAAGTTTAATTACACAATACTCCAAAGCCCTCACAGCAGTGCTGTATTTTCACCCATCTGCATGGAATCAGTGTTGTAACAGATGCTGAGGTAACAACTCTGCAAAGAATGGCTTCCATCTCACGTAACTCATCTCTTCCAGGAGGGATGGGGTGCAGAAAGAGGATTTGGAAAATGAGCACTGCTGTGTGTTACACCCATGTGCTGCACACCTCCTGGCTGGCAAGGCTCCTTCTGCATACAGGAGGGAATATGCATGTACTCCAGTCCTCAGAACCATTCTTGTTGCCGTCCTGGAGAAAAGCACATCAGCGCCAGATTGGTCAGCCTCCCTCCGACAAGGAGCTCCTGTTTTGTACCTCCAAGAAGATCCACCACCGTGTGCTGCCTAATGCTGTCTCTCAGCACCTGCAGCAGCTGCCAAGCAAAGATAATCACCTCAGAGACCTTTGTGAACAAGGCTAGACCTCACCAGTTGTACCAGCCAAACAGAAACACAAAACACCGGGTTAACCTGACAGTGGAAGATAAAGTTGACACCAACTGAAAGCTAAGCTTAACACTGAGGGTTTTTGTTTGTTTTAAATGCCACTTCCCCCGCTTGCTGCAGCAGAATCTCAGCACAGAGGTACGCTGCATCCTCCGGGTTCTCATGAAGCCTGTGTCCTTCTGGCATAGGAGCTCTACTCATCCCTCTTCTGAATGCAGCACTGAGTCATGAACATCAGCTGTAACAAACAGAATTTGGCTTTACAGACACACCTCCTAGGCCAGAGACACCTGGAAAAAAGTCTTTTGTTGTGGCAGTGGCTCCCGTGCCAGCTGGGCTCAGCAAGCAGAACCTGCAGTTCTCAGGAGAGGAAAAAGTCTCCCAACAGCAACCTTTGAGGAGGAACAGAAAGCCTTCATGCCATGCAAGGATTATCTCGACACAATTATTTGAATGGAAGCAAGATAAGAGACAATAGCAACATTAATCTGAGTTATGGGAGCACCTACCAGTGCTCACCCTCAGCAAAAGGGATCTAAAACAAAAACGTAGGAGACATTCATGTGCCTCTTGAGCCCTTATAGAAAGATGAAAAATAACTCAGAGCCTACTGCCTTCCTGTCCTGCTCCCTCTATCCACTCTTTCTAAACTTTATCAGTAAAGAACTCAAGAACACTTCAAGCAGTTTCATATTCAGGAGATAACAATTCACGTGAGAGACAAAAGAAGAAAGTATTCATTCACCCCAATATACTCTCCTTTCTGCACAGAGGCACACTATAGTACAGAAAATTTCTTACACCCACATGAAGCTTTAAGGCCAGACAAAAGCATGTTTTAGGACAGTGCTTTAGGATTGAAGCTGTGCAGCCAGCAATGTCCTGCTCCATAACAAGGAACCACGGTCACTTCCCTCTTGTGCCAAGGCCACACTGGAATGAAGAGAGCAGCTTTGGGCTGTGGCAGCAGTCACACAAGCACAGTTGAGGAGATGGTAAGCAACCAACAAATGCCACCATGCAACAGCCTACTCAGTATTTTTGCTTGTTTTGGAGATCTGAGTCCAGCAATAAAGCCTGCTGTTACTCTCTGGGAAGTGTTCTAACCAGCTTAGTACCATCTGCAAATCTTCAACATACCAAGAGAACAAGGGCTCCCAGTGCCTTCATGCAGCTCCTACAGTGACAAAAGTAAGACCCAAAGAGGCCCAAAGACTTCTACAACCGCCCTCAACTACATTCTGCTCCTACAGACTTGACATCTTGTTCCAGGATTTGCAGCATCAGTCAAGATACAGGGCAAGCAGAAGGGAGGCTCTGCAGCATAGAGGTTTGTGGACACCATGCTAAAGGTACAATTTCTATAGCATCATGAGAAGTTGCAAAGGCCAGTGCTACTCCATTTCAGGCACTATGCTGTTTTCTGCATATGAAACAGAAGAGATGTTTCAGTGCAGCTCATACTTAGTGCAGGTTATTAACAGCAGGAGACCTATCCTCTGGTTCTGCACGGGCTTCAGGAAGGGAGGAAAAATACTTCCCATACAATCAAATCCCCTAGCAACAGTCCTGAAGTCTGACTATGTGACACCTAAAAATGAACAGGGTACTGTCTCTTCTGTGGAGTTACAGTTTGCCAGGCAACTAATAGGAACAGCAGAACAGCTATAAGACAGCTCAGCCTTTGAGATTCAAAGGAACTCCACCACTCC